AGGCCGGGGTCATAAAATTTACAAAAGTTTCAAAGACATTCCAAAGTTCATAAATATCTGGTATGCTTGTGTAGCATGAAACAAATAAGTAAATCCCTGCAGACGACCGAATATTAATTATATAGCACAATTAAGAGGGTATGACCCACCATTGCAATTTCACACCTAATATTTTCGGAACCTCCAATTGTAAACCCACCCTTACACATTTCCTTTGTTCTCGTATACTAAAATGTTGTAATGTCGCACACTAATTTCAAAACGCTCTTATTTTAACCAGAATGTACGCTGTTGTCCGCAAACACGACAATAATCATCTAGTTTTCAATTGTCAATTGAACCATTTTCGTCAAGGGATGAATAGCTCAGTTGGTAGAGTACAATCAGGTTCAAACCCCACTCGAGTCAAGTTCTTTGTTCACTTTTTAAAAGTAACTAATTTATAGCGCCCTCCTATCCTCCATAAAGTCAGACGTGTGTGATTGTATATCAACGCATACGTACTACGTACGGGTGCACACCGGTAAATCATTAGGCATAAACCCATCCGCCGAGCTAATAAAAGTTAACCCTAAAAATATTCTTTAAATGTATTAGAGAGTTCTGCGAGCCCTAGAATTGGGGTATTGAAGAGATATGGCAATGAACCTCTGACCGAGACTTAGAGCTTCCAATTCTGAGCGTTTTGGATGCAATCCGCGGGCTCAAAAGTGCACTTTGCCAATGTTGTAGCCTTTCTCCCAGGCCATCGGGATAGAGCGGCGGAGTTGCGAAGACCCGAAGCGACTGGAGCAAATATTAAGTCAGCACGCACGAGTGGCAAAGCCACGAGGCCTTTCCCAACTTGATTTTGTTGAATTATTCATAGTTTTATGCAAATAAGAAGAGTGCTGAAGGTTAACCAATCAGAACGCGGATTTTGCTTCTATTTTTAAAAGAAGGGTGAGTAAGGAAAACGTAAGAGCAAATAACTGTAGGCCTAAGTTCAGATGAAAAATAAGTTCATACACTCAAATAATTTCTTGAAATACTTTTATAAGTACAATTAAAATAAGATAATGTAAGAACAATTACGCGGTCACGATCTCGTGGAAAACTAGACTCGCAATTTTTGTTTTTAAATTCTGTGCAAGCGGTTTCGCCGCTTTAAATGCGGGCAAGTTAAACCACGATGGCCTTGGTGAAAGGCTACCAATGTTGTGGAAGGATCGTTTTTCCCTCTTTGAGAAAAGGGGTCGTCTTTGGGTGAGAATTCCCCGAAAAGTCAATGCTCAACCCACCAAAAAGGGACAAGAAAATGAAAGATGACATGTTGATTATCATTTTTCTGTGCAACTTATATACCTGTGAGAGTTCTGAGTATTTAAAAAAAAAATTGGAGTATGGGGATTTAGCACAAGTGTCTATGGGAATTTTAATGCAGGGATGCAGCCGTACGTTCTCGTAGGGTTGCAGACCAGTAAATCGGTCCGAAATTACCTGCGCCGGCCAAATCACGATTTGCATGCCCTCAAAATCTTCAGTATTTGAGCATGCTGTGGGCCATGATCTTGAGGGTTTGTAAAAAACATACGGGTGGAAGTCGTGCAAAGGACTGTGAGCTTGTAGTTCCGTTCAATTTGGATGAAATTGGGGCCCTTAAAGCGCTCTATTTTGCAATGGAGTGTAGGCATCGTTTTTCAACATGGCGATGGGCTTCAGGACTATTTTCAGGGGTGATCATCTTCAGATGGAAATTTCTCCTAAAAGTCATTAGTTGACCCCCCAAAAATTGAAAAGAAAATGAAAGATGGTGAAATAAGCTTTAATTTGATGTGTGTCTCGAACATCTTGGAGAGTTGTGAGTATTTATCCCGAATTTCTGAAGTGTGAGCATTTACCATTGGGGTCTATGGAAGTTTATCCAACTCACCAAAGTTGAAACCTTGTGGATGAAACTGAGTCTTCCACATACTCGTCCTATCTATGCTGGCATCGTCTATGGTCCGCAAATTTGTAACGAGTTCTTTGAGGAGCTTGAAGCTGTGCTTGATGAGATAATGGAACATAGTGCTGCACCACTGAGAACCCAGGGAGAAATCATTTGTTTTGGTGACTTTAATTGAGACTCTCTTAAACCTAACGATTGGAAATGGAAGAAACTATTGGATTAATGTCAACAAGACAATTAACACAAATTATCTCCGAACCTACAAGGGTTATGTGTACCTCAGAAACTCTCATCGACCATTTCTGGACTACCCATCCTAACATGTACTCAGTCAGTGGTGTTTTACCATTGACTATTAGTGAACATTCTTCTACTTACGCAGTTCGCAAAGCGTGTAAGCTTCCCAAGGGGCCTGCACGTAACATCAGGGCTCGGTCATACCGTACTTTCAATGAAAGCAATTTTATCAATGATCTTGAACACATCTCTTGGATTGATGTTGAAACTTCCGGTAGTCCTGATGTGGCCTGGAAAACTTTTGAGACCATTTTTACCCAAATGTGCGACAAACATGCTCCTTTTAAACAAATTAAAATTCCTAACAGGACTCCTGACTGGTTCAACGACGAGCACCTTGTTCTTAGAAAAGAACTGGAACAAACTAAAATTCGTGCTCAAACCACCAAATCTCAAATTGATTGGGATGCTTTTCGTCATTTGAGAAACAGAATCAATAACTTAGCCAAAAAGTTAAAGCGTGAATTCTATGAATCTTCTATTAATGATGCCGGGTCTGATTCAAAAAAACTTTGGAAGGCAATTAAAACCATTCTGCCCTGTAATAAAAATGATCATATAGGCAATGTTAGATCTGGTGATGAAATATTGACAAATGGATCTGCAATTGCTAATGCATTTAATAATGATTTTTTTCCCTAATATAGGCACGAATTTAGCTGATGCTATAAAGGCAAGAATGAGTATACATGGCGATGTTGATCACATTATTGACCTTACCCAGGGCACGGAAACATTGGAGGAGTTGTTTCATTTTGTGGGTGTGACTTCTCGTGAAGTATGTAAGTTTCTCAGTTGCCTTGATACTTCCAAGGCTACTGGGCTTGACGGTATTGCCCCCAGGCTGCTTAAGGTTGGCTGTAGGCAGCTTGCTAAAGCAATAGCCCACATCATGAATTTGAGCCTCTCCACTGGATCCGTGCCCTTAGCCTGGAAGTTTAGTAGAATATCCCCTATTTACAATGAAGGGGATCGCCTAGACATTAATAATTATAGGCCCATTTCTGTACTTCCATCTTGTATGAAAATTTTTGAGAAGTTTGTCCACAAACAGTTGCTAGATTATTTGGACCAAAACAATATTTTAACTGAGAACCAGTCGGGCTTCAGGCCAATGCACTCTACCCAAACTTGTCTTTTGAACGTGTCTGCTTACTGGAAAACATGAACTCTGGGTATTTTACTGGTGCACTTTTCTTGGATTTAAAGAAAGCGTTCGACACTGTTCAACAACATTGGAGTTCGTGCATGGCCTCGAAGTGACTGGTTCTCCTCATACTTGTCTGGACGGCAGCATTTAACCAAAATTGGTGACAACTATTCTACCTTAGCTGGAGTAAATTTTGGAGTTCCCCAGGGATCAACATTGGGTCCACTTCTTTTTACCTTGTATATTAATGACATTATCAATACTGTATCTCCAGACTCTAGTTCGGTATGTTTTTATACGCTGATGATACGGCTATTTTTACTCGGGCCAAATCTATTGATGGTATTAACAGAGTTCTTAACAGGGACATGGCCGAAATCTCCAAATGGTTGCAAGTGATTTTTTTTAACTCTGAATACTAACAAAACCAAAATACGTTGTTCGGTACTCAAGCCAAACTAGGTCGAAGCGAGGACAATTTACATGTCGAGATCAATAATATTGCCGTTGATAATGTTACTCAGTTTAAGTATCTAGGTGTACTGTTATAGATCCATCTGTAACATGGAATGTGCACATTGACAAACTGTCAAAGACAATTAACAAGCGTGTGGGGGTTCTCCGGAGAGTCAGAAATGTCCTGCCTCAGCATACACTAAATTTGTTATACAAAACGCTGATTCTCCCGCACTTTGATTATTGTGATGTTGAGTGGGGTAACGCTTCAAAAATGTCCCTCGTCAAGCTTGACAGACTCCAGAGTAGTGCTGTTTATGTGCGAGTCATCTTTACTTGGGACTTCCCCGGAGATCCCCAACAGACTCTGTTTTATCGACTCTGAGGAGTAATATTTTAGAACTAAAGGCGTACTTTTCACTTGAATACACTCTACAAGAGTCTTACCTCGAAATTGCCACCACAACTATGTAACTGTTTCACTCATACCATGAATGCTCATTGCTCACACACACATAACACCAGGTCTAGATCTGGTTCTCAAGGCAACCTTGTTCCCCCATTCAGTAAATCTAAATCAGGTAAACGGAAATTTGTGGTTCGTGGAGCTTATTCATTCAACGCCCTTCCTACATCTCTTAAATGCCCTTTGCCTGCTTCTCCGACTTGCCAGCTTTAAAAGCACATACAAAAACCTGCTTTTTTAATGTGCTAGTGCAGTACCCATCGATAATGTGCCTGATAATGGGGCAAATTGCTTGGCCTCTGGTTTTGGTTGCTTGCAGCTTTTTGAGAACTGCTCATGCACACAATTCATGCGCAGGATTCAATATTATACATGTATATAGTTCTCTCAGGTTGAACGCAGAGTTTTTATGCAGTGTATGGGTGCTCTTGATTTTTTCAGTGAAATTTTTGTTGAGTGTGTATATATTGTTTGTTTTTACTGGCTGGTCCGTGATTATTAAATTTTTTAAAATATATTTTAAGTGTTTTTATGTACCCCGCATTTAACTGCTTACTATTCTTAGTGTTTTCTGTAATTGTAATTTTAAATGAATTGTTATGTATAATTGCTGGGCACCTCTGGAAAACAGTGAACCACTGAGAGGTTTCCCCAGGGTAAATAAGAAATAAATAAATAAATATTTACTGGTCTGCAACCGTAGAGCATTGTCAAAATAGCGCCCTCAAGAGTTAATGGTAGTCCAACTTCGCGGAACCATTGCCCCTGCCAGCGGGAATTAATTACAGCCACAGGTCTGCAGGTAGGCCTAGATTAATGTTCATTTATATAAATAAAATATCGGTAATCCTTACTTTTAGGACCCCGTTCCTATATAGGAAGGGAAAGACTCACCAAAACAGTTGACTAAATGACACTCAAAATTGACATTCTGATACTTCTTGGCACATCTGAACAATTGGCAATGACACCTTCTTGACTTCTAAAGACTGCTTTAGCCTGCAAAAGTCACTTTGGTACTGGACAGACATCTGCAAAAGTCAGTTTTGAACAGAACTCGTAAAAAATAGAGGTGTCCTAAAAGTAAGGATTACCAAAATATCTATTGGAAATTAAATGGAAAAAATGTTGCAACCTGACGCCACTTCACTCCAGCGGTTGTGTACAAAGTCTATGGAGAGTCAAGAAAATTATTTCTAGGCTAAAGTAGGCTACTAAGTAGGCCCCTTATTTCTCAACAAAATTGGAAATGTGCTTCAATTTTAAGTTTTTCTAGCCCCATAAATGTGGCCTATTTACTGGACTGCCTCCGTAAACATAGGCCACACATCCACATGTACAAAAATCGTGTCGACGGAGCCAAATGTTGATTTTCACATTTAGGATTAGTTTGTAGGTTTTTTTTGCTTTAGAAGCATACTCACACTCTTTATAGGCTAATCAGAAAGTGCTGCCTTTTTCAGATGTATATTTTTCGTGAAATTTCCAGATTCATTTTTACACGTTTGCGTATCAAAATTTCAACATGAAATTTCACAAAAATTCGAATCCTGATCCCCGCCACAATTTTAAGGTTTATTTTTCCCATCCCAAAATAAATAAGAATATTCTTCTTTTATTATTTTAATATGTCTCAAACATTTTATTGCAGAGTATTACTTTTTCTTTTTCAGATTTGTGGCTCTGGAGGATTTTTTTTTAAAGGGAAATAAAGTCCGAAATTATAAAATGGTCTGATTCCCATCTTGTAAATACAAAAATACAATGATAATATTGGCATGGAGCCAGACTAAAATTTGTCACCGGAAAATGTTTAAGTACAAAAAAACAGTAACTGCGCATGTTCAGTGCATATCCGGCAAACTAACGTTTACTGAAGGTTTGCCGCCTCCGGCAAAATATCCACTGCCTTTTGTTTATTGCTCAAAAATCACCTTTACAATAAAAAGCAGACTTTTTACAATTCAAATGACACCCGTTTTGCAATTTTGAACAGTTTCTATGGGTAGAAATCACGATTTTCCTGCGCGGTTTGTGCCTTGCAATTCAGCGCGCCGTGCGTGCTCGCAGTACATCGCGCTGTGATCCCCATCTTTGTTTTCGGGTTGCGTGTTGTCGCCGCGTTGTCATCGTCACTTTACCCCCAAATTTCCCTCGAAAAATCAAAACCCTGCCCTCTATCTATGACGTACCTGTTTACTGAGAATGTCGCCAACTAGTTTGGTAGGTCCAATAATTTAAAAGTGGATTTTGTTACCTAATAGGAACCGGGCCCTACACTACACGATCGCCAGCTACGCAATACCGTCGCCTAACATTTTGGTAGTCATGCTACATTGCTAACGTTAGTGGGGTCATGGGTGGGTTATGAGCACTTAGTCCCATAAATGTGCCTGAAATACTGGACTAGGCCTTTATACATGTACCTCCGTATTAGCAGTCACACTTTGTACATAAGGTCTTAGCATATGGATAGTCCCGTTGCTAGGGGAGCCAAAAATCAATTTAACTTAACTAAGATCGAAATCATTTTGTCACTTGAAAATCACTCCAGCTAAGGGCCTAAATAGCAAAAAAAAACACCGTTGAATTTGGTACTTTCAGAGGTCAAGTTATCCAAAAATAAGGGTGAAAAGAATTCCATACGTACACCACTAGTTTTTCCCTGCAATGACTCATCAACCATCAGTGATTAGATTTAGAGAGGGATAACATGTCCTAAAAAGTGAAATTCAGCATTTTGGAAGAAAATGTGGCATTAATTACTGGGCACTTAAATACATGTAGTTTACAGACATGCGAGTCACAGCATGAAGCGGAAGGGGGAACAAGGAACCATTTCATTTTTTCACCTGGCCTAAGCTTTTTGGCGATTGTGTACATGTATGCATTTATTTATTTATTTATTTATTTGTTTATTTATACTATAGGGCCCCTTATTTTTACTTGGACAGAATAGCCTCATCAGTAAAAAAAAAACACCTGCTATTACTGAGGGCCCTGTGTAAAATGATAAGAATAAAATGAAATAAAAAGAAAAATATTATGTATTATAATCACTAAGAACATTAAGTAAAAATTAGAATGAATAAACAAAAATGCAAATATGTAAAATATAGGAATGTCAATAAAAAATAAGAACAAATATTAAAATACAGATACACAATAACGAAATACAGCACAAAAATTAAATTTAACAAAACAAAACAAACACCAAAAATGAATTTTTAGTAGGCCCTACTACCACAGTACAGAGTGAGTCAAAAAAAGTGGAACCAAACCCCCCCAAAATGATTTTCATATTTTAAAAATTATCTACCACCAAACATCATCATGTTTGGAAAGCCAATTTTATAAGCTACTTTTAGATGAAACAATCAATCCGTTTCAAAGAATATCACTATTTGAACGCAATGACCCTAAAACCTGTTTCGTCCACAAAAAAAAAAAAAAAAGTGTATTGTGTATTTTGACTGTTTGGAACAGTAAAGAAAATGACACAGAATCCTTGTTTCAACAACTGTCAAAACTTGGACTTCTTACAACTTCCTTATAACTTCTTTGCTTTTCATTTATCTTCGTTATTTATCTTTGTCATTTGCTTTGATGTTTTGTTTATCTATTAAGTTACGTACTTTATATGTTTTCATTATGAAGTTATGAAATAAAAACTAGATTGAATTGAATTGAATTGAAAAATTGTAGTGCACAATATGTTTATAAACAACCCTGGTTAGTCAAACAATATGATTTATAAAATCAACTTTTTTTAAAAGACGGGCCTTCAATAGGACTTTGTTGAATATTTTTAACTTTGAAACTGAGGTTTAAAAGACAATTGTGACGACGATTCTTGAAATCGCAGTTTTGGACGAAAGAGGTTTTAGGGTCATTGTGTTGAAATGGTGAAATTCTTTGAACGAATTGAGCAATTTCTGTATTTGTTTTGTCATCTAAAAGTAGCTTATGAATTTGGCTTTCCAGTCCTTATTATGTTTGGTGCTACATAATTTTTAAAATATGAAATATAATTTTTAGGGTTTGGTTTTAGGGTCATTGTGTTTTAATGGTGATATTCTTTGAACAAATTGAGCAATTTCTATAATTTTTTGCATCTAAAAGTAGCTTTTGAATTTGGCTTTCCAGTCCTTATTATGTTTGGTGCTACATAATTTTTAAAATATGAAATATAATTTTTAGGGTTTGGTTTTAGGGTCACTGTGTTTTAATGGTGATATTCTTTGAACAAATTGAGCAATTTCTATAATCTTTTGCATCTAAAAGTAGCTTATGAATTTGGCTTTCCAGTCCTTATTATGTTTGGTGCTACATAATTTTTAAAATATGAAATATAATTTGTGGGATTTGGTTCCGCCTTTTTTTGACTCGCCCTGTTTGGGGGCAATTCCACGGTAACGGAAGGACGTTTTCACTCATTAAACAAAATTTCAAATGTGTGTATCACAGACACTGTTCATAGTTACAGCAAACAAATGTCACAATTGTATTGCTATAATGCTACTTTCATTTTCCACACTTTTGGGGGGCATGAATGCCTCCCGTTTATGAATTATGAATATAAATGAGGTCGGTAACGGAAGGACGGTAAAACGGACAAGGGTTTTCCAACTTACTCGCGTTTTGCGTAAACTCTGTGAATTTTATGGGGCAATTATATTTCAAAGGTAAGAAATGGAATCCCTGAAGCTTTATCTATACTATGCCGCCTTTCATTTGACTTTAAGTTTTTCGGTAATATAATTACGACGTTTTAAGCAGATTATGATTTGGTAACGGAAGGACGGTAACAGAAGGACAAAAGGTTTACTCAATTATAGCATGAACAAAATGTGAATTTACACTAATTATACAAATGAAACAAATTGCTGAAATGTGTAACTGAATGTGAAATCAACAATATGCAGACCTGGCATAAATAATTATACCCAAGAAACTATTGAGATAAAGATAGAAGCCTGCTAATTAATGATAACAAAAGAAAAACAAAAACCATCCAAACACATAATTCACGAACACAAGACAACTACAGAAATGGACTTCAAACCCATCACCTCAATCCTTAAAAGTTTAAATACACAGTTTTTGAGCACTTGAGTATATTGGTTACATGTTCACCAACAACTTTTAATAATAATACCGGTAGGTTCAGTGGTTTACCTAAAGGGTGGGGGGGGGGGGGGGGGGGGGACCAGCCTACATGTACATTTAAGGTAAAAACATCTACCGGTAGAACTGATTGCTTCAGTTAGGTGTTGCTTTTAATTGAACTCTAAAATCAATGTTTGAAATCAAATTACAATGATTTAGAGTAGTAACAATTAATTTATAAACATCCAACTGAAATTGTTAACTTGGGCATAATTTGTCAAAGATTGCACCTCACATGTCTTACACATGTAAATTGAATGAAAGTGCCTCAAAGTACCGGTACTTTCTGCCATCTCATTTTTGACTTAACTTGCTTCTGGAATGGCTTCACAGAATTCGTATCTTTCTCTATTGTTGATGAATGCTGATGGCAGCAACTTTATGATTTGATTTTCTGCAACAACTCCATACATGTACAAGTAATGGTACATCAGCATATATGTACACGTACATTGTACATGATGTACATGCCTGTGCCTTCCTTTGTAATAAACACCTTGCCCTGCTTATCCCGCTTTTGTGAAGGTGGTCACATGAATGTCCTTTCAATGCTCTTTATACATGCATGTATTTGCAGTGGTTTTCATTTTTCAAACATGAGCGCAAATGTCGTAACATTTGATAAAAATACGATTTGTCCTTCCGTTACCGTCCTTCCGTTACCAATTTGGTAACGGAAGGACGTGATTTAATTAATTGTAATTAAAAAACGAGAAGTACAGCAGTGTCAGTTATAATGTCATATTGAAGGCCTACCTAAACTTGCTTTGCACAATAACTTTCAATGCATTCATACTGCAAGTTTTAAAAATAAATTAAAAATATGTATTTTTTCGGTAACGGAAGGACATTTTCGAAGGCTGAAATATTAGAAGTCACTGAAGCAAAGCAAATTACGCAAAATGTTAAAAACAAGTTTTAGTCGGTTTTTCAAGACCAATACTTTCTCATGACAGAAACTGATGGCATTAGTACATATTTTTGGGTGTGTTTTGGTAGAATACTTTCATATCACTATTAATCACATTTTTAGGATTAAAACAGGATTATTACATAATCCTATTTTGTGGTACCGAAATGTATAAAAAATAAAATTCCGACTTCAAATCTTGAAAATATAGACTTTTAGCTTTCATTTGATGCCAAATTTGTTTAAGTCACATGTATTTGAATTTTTTGGTGTCATGTCCACTTTGGTGTGGAATTGCCCTTTAATAATGATAGCATGCCCCTTTTTAAGTGTCGGTCAAGTAGGTGTCAACTGGTCAAGAGTGTTTTTTTTTGTTTACCATTTCAAAATTACTTCTGCAACCTACATGTCAAGTAGTAGCCCAAGTAGTGTGGCTTGTATTGCTTCGCTGTTTCCTCGGTTAGCAGAAATGGTTAACCTTTCGTGTGCAGGAAATTGTTCATTATGGTTGTACTCTGTGATGACTCAGCTTTTGCACTCCGGGTTTATCAGGTAAATCGAGAAATTTAGGCATCAGGGGCCAATTTCATAGAGCTGCTTCAGCACAAAATTTGCTTAAGCACAAAAACGTCTTGCTTAATAAAATCAGGTTACCGGCCAAAACTCCATGCGATTGTTATGCTAAGTAAACAACAGCTAAATACCAGTCACAAGCAATGTACATCACATGGAGTTTGGGCGGGTAACCTAATTTTACTAAGCAATGTTTGTTCGTGCTTAAGCTAATTTTCTGTAGCTTAAGCAGCTCTATGAAATTGGGCCCTGGCTAGGGTCCATACGCACACGTACAACGTCTGTTGACGGCAGCCGTGTACAAAGCGATGACCCAAAAGCTGTGACATCGTGTTATATTTCTTGTACAATAGATTTGCCCAGACTGTATGGTCGCGCACTTCATTGTACTACAGTCGACTCTCGTTAGTACAAACTCTGTTAATACAAAATTCTGGTTATAACAAATATAAAGCCTTGGTCCCGACTGTGCATTTTTGTGCACAATGAATGGGACTGATGTTCCTCTTAATACAAAATTCTGATATAACAAACAATTTGGCTAGGTCCGAACGAGTTTGTTATAACGAGACTCGATTGTATCACCTTATCGGTTAAGAGGTGATGCGTCTCGGTGGTCGCCACCTTTGTTTTTGTGTTTCATCTTTGTTTTTCTCATCTTCCTCTTCATTTACCCAAAATTTCCCTAATAAAATCCAAATCCTGCCCTCTAACCACGACGCTCCAGTTGGTTCTAAGTCCATTATAAACTAAAAGTGGATTTCTGTTCTCTTTGAGAAACAGGGCCCCGCAGCTACACTTCACCAGCTTTTCCGTATCAATCATTCGGGAACAACATCAAAATGGAAGATCAACCCACTGACCCATTGGACCATAGAGGCAGCGGCAAAGACACATTGCAGCAGCAACCGTCGGACCAAGCAGTGCAGGCTGCAGCAACGCCAGATGACCAGCATGGGAACCAGGGAAGGGTACCCCAGGATGCATCTCAAGGGCAGCCTCCCAAGGTTAGGCTAGTCATACTTTTTTTTAAAAGTCCCTAGGCATTTTTGCTAGGATGCAACCGCAATCCAGCAAAATCCGCCAACTGCTTCCATGCAAAAAATTGCATACAGCCTCAATCCTCCAAAATCCTCAGTTATTTCTTGAATGTGTTTCTTGGAGGGGGTGACCGCTGCCTCAATCCTTCGAAATCCCCCAGCAATCACTGTCAATATGTCGAGGCAGAGCCAGTGGCATTCTGGAGCAGTGCGGAGGATTTCAAGTATAATCTAGGCCTAAATTCATGTGCACGACTGCATGAGCATAAACAACACAAGGTCCGGCTTAAGACCTTGACATCCTCCAACATCAGCCACACATTTTTGCCATTAAGCGTCAATCCTGCACAATTTTGCAAAGAGGATATTGGAGGATGTGGGAAGGTTAACCCTAACTGCCCTGAATCCTTCAAAATCCTCTGCCCCAAAGTGGAGGAATTTGGAGGATTGAGGTTACAGGGCAAAAGTGTGTTACTGATTTTGTTGAATCCACTTTGTCAAGGTCTTGGGCCGGACCTTGTGTTGTTTTTACTCAGCCGTGCATAAATATACATGTAGGCCTGGATTATGCTTGAAATCCTCCGCACTGCTCCAGGATATCACTGGCCAAGCCTCAACATATTGACAGTCACTGCCGCAGGATTTTGCAGGATTCAGGCAGTGGTCACCCCTCCACAGACCAAATTCAAGAAATAATGGAGGAATTTGCAGGATTGAGGCTATATGCCATCTTTTCCATGAGGTCAATTGGAGGATTTTGCAGGATTGAGGCTACATCCTAGCAAAAAGGCCTAGGGAGTTAGGGTTAAGGTTATAAAGATGTAGTGCCCAAGCTCTTTAACATATTCTATTTTTAATGGCACTAACAAATTTCCAACTTGTACATTTGTAAAAAAAAAATCTGTCTATTTTGGGCACCTGCAACCCTCTGAAACAGTTGATCCGCTCTTCAAGTAAATTGGTAGTCTATGTAATATATGATATGTGAGCAGATTCGCTGATTAATTAGTCAAGACCCCGCCTCTTGACCTCCTAGATTTTGACCAATCAGCGGGCCCTTTCTATATCGGGTCTTTGGTCATTCACCTGTTGCGCGTCATAGACAATGAATTAAAAAGCCCTGCGGCGCGTCACGCGCTCTGTATATCATGTTCATAGGATCATGTTACGCGATAACGCGCCCAGCTGTTGTTGCATTACAAAACACTGCATTCGAATTGACCAATCAAACGTTTAGTCCTGATTTGGGAATGAAATGACGTTGCGATTTAGTAAAGTCGACTCCGATTGGCTGAGGCGCGAGATCGCATAAATCTGCATGCTTTGATATATCAGACGTTAGACAGGAGTCATTATTACACTTTACAAAAATAGACAAAATTTCAAAAATGTGTGACGTCATCAAAAACGTGATTTTCTGAAACACATGTAGTAGGGAATGCCCGATCGTTACGAAACATAGTGGGTAGGCAGATATTGATACTTGAATTCGGATTTTCCAAGATGGCCGATGGATTCTTCAATTTTCTCAACTATTTTGCTGATACAAAATTTGTCCTACAATGAACATAGCTACAATTTTATTGGAAACAAATAAAAAGGCAATATATATGCACACTATATGTGCAAAATATGTTGAAAATTTACAAATAAAATAAACCAAAAAAAGGGGCCTGCCAGGAAAAAGGAAGCGGGCGGGGACAAGAAACTGGTTTATTTTTTTATTATTATTCATTTCTGGTAATGAAACCAAGGATTCCTCAAAAGCGCCCTAGGCACTGTAGCTCGAAAGCCTGAAGAAACCTGTAGAGAGAATTAGAAGACAATGAGAAGAAATTACAGTTTTAGAGGTGGGAGGAAAAGCCCAGAAGAATATTCTGGGGAAAACCCAAGGAATCAGGTAGGGGCTGAAAACCCAATTCACCCCCATATTGGCCCATGCGGGATTCGAACCCGGGTCACAGCGGTGGAAGGCGAGGAAAGTACCGCTACGCCAACTTGACTCCCTTACTTGGCCTAATGAGTTAAACTCGTTATATTTGCAGGGTAAACATGAGTCTAAGCAGCATGGCCCAGGAAAGAAAGGGGGAAAGAAGACGAACGGTCGGACCAATTCTGCCTTGGAAGCTGTGAAAAAGAAAGGCAGAGAAAATGTCCAGCAAAGCCAGACAGGGGAGGATGATCTTGCAGTTCAGATGGCAGGGATGGTAAGTGTGAAAATAAGAAAAAATATATGAAAAACAAGACAAGGCAAGCCTTATAAAGCGGGTCCCAGAAACAAGCCAGTTCGGTATTTCAATAACCCGAGGTCACTTGGGATAACATTGCTGACACTTGTTACAGTACAAAACATAAGGGGTCGAGTAAGCAGCAACATCAGTATGCATGTCTGCCAGGCAAGGCCAAGACTGCATCGTGTGTGAAAAATAGCAAATGTGCCCCAATGCGCCCCGTCTGTCATGCGTTCATGCGCCTTTGAAACGTTTGATTATCCTGAATGACCCGTGACCCATATCATTGTGCACGTGCGCAGTTGAAATACCGAACTGGCTTATTCTGTGGCAGTGTTTTCATGGATCTGGTTTGCACAATGGGCCGGATTCAGCCCATTCATTGGCATCACAGGGTAATCCTACACAATAGTACTGCCCGGCTCACAAGTGACAGTCAGTCATTCAGTCATGGGGTGTGCGTCAGAAACGGTTACCCGAGTATCCGACCGCTGATGTCAGGAATCGGTTGGGATCGGGTACCCGTAACTAACTTTACAAATTCCTTAGTAAATTCTCAGACAATGAAATGAGGGGAATTTTTAAAATGAAAACCAGGCTACATGGAAAAACCAAAACAAATTTCAAGTTTATGTGCATTTTAATGCATGACAGATGACGCTCCCGAAAGTTGCAGTTTATACCGTAAAGCTATACTTTAAAGTCCTTTGTTAAGGACTACAGTTCTAGCAGTAGACGGAATTTACCAGATTGCGTTTTTTTGTTGTCTTTAGTTTTGATAAGACCATCTTCGTATCCAGGCATCCGTGTCTTACTTCAATAGGGTACCCGGTTCTGGTATTACCCATCAATGCACACCACTTGTCTGTCCGTCAGTCAGTGAGCTAGCTCTCTCTGGGACCAGCACGACACACGTGAAGAAGACTCTTCGCAAATTGAACATGCCGTTAGTGGAATCTCAAGTTCCTTCCAAAGCCATACACTTCATTTTACTGAACTATGCTCTCTTCTTTTAACAGACGATATCTGAAACATTGCAAGCTGTTCCTAGTGGGTAAGTTTCTATTTTTACCACTTTATTTGTTGCAAACTGTGTTGTTAAGAGCATTGGATTCATGGTCTGCGGGTAATTCTGCAGGTTGTGGGTTCGAGTCCAGCCTTGCTTTTTCAAATACATGTACTTGTCCCAATTTACCATGTTTAGTTAATCTGAATTTTGTTTGCAATCGATTACACAACTATAAACGGGTACAAGCCTTCTAGACTGTCTACAAATGGCTCCATATCAATTTAAGTGGGGTCGGGGAACCAGACTGCAAGAACATGATTGTTTTTCTTGTTTTTTTGCATCTACGAACATGAAACTTCAAACAGGTCAGCGTAACAATATTTGCTATACAATACTAACCCCGCAAATCGACCCATTTCTGAAAATTACAGCAACAGCACATGTTGTGTTTTCCCTTTAGCTATAAATTCACCTCATAAGTTCATCTCGGTGTCTGTTTCTGTCCAGGACTGGCCTCGTATATGATGAGTGTCTAACCCAACACACGTGCCCCTTCAACAGTCGCCACTTTATAGCCGAGCATTATGATCGCATACTGATGTGCCATAAGAGACTACAGGACTACAAGCTTCTTGAAAGATGTACCCATGTCACTGTAAGTGCAATATTCGCAGTAGTTAATTGTTTATTTTACTATTTTTGTGTTTTTTTTTATTGTAATATTCAGTATCAAATGCTTAATCAGGTGCTGCTGATTAGGGAAATTGCTTGATTATGTTTTGATATTAATAAAATCAAACATAAAACTTAAAAAGAGGATGGGTGATTTCTTTCTTTGTCATCACCCCTGTTCTCCATTGTGTCCCCCCCCCCCCCCCCCGAGCCACATTTATGTTTCTTTTTTACTACATTTAACTGTTTTGATAGAATACTTAATGTGTTTCCCAAAATTTGGCTCTGGCCAAACTAGTCCGAAAATCTGGGACTCTCAAAATAGTATGAGAATCCCAAAACTTAAGATAGTGAACACATGCAATACAAGAAAATCGACTGGCACATGAAACAACCAGTCCAACACCCTTTAGTACCGCATCAGTCAACTGTGTCAAAAGAAACATCTGGTACCTAGTCTGTTATTCTACACATTCTGTATTTCTACACATAGTCATGCCACCAGACTACTGAAGAGCCAATCTTTAAAAAAAAAGGTTGGACATGTACCAGTCTAGCCTTGGGATTCAAATTGAATTCCTTGGCTTCACTCTCAGGTGCAAAATCTCCTTTAAAAATTGAATTGAGACTTCAAACTTGGCTGGTGAAATACTGAGGACCTTGTCTTTGCCTCATGAAAATTATGGAAAGTTTTGTTGGCTAAAGAGTGAGTAAAGTTGGCCTGATTTTGGTTGACATGCTTTTCTGCACTCCAGGTCCCTATCTGTGGACGAACATACTTTTTGTGTTAGAATGTCAGCACTTGCTGATCGTCATTTTAAATCTAACTGCCAGTGAATATTTTCATTTTACTAACAGTTTCCTTTCTTCATATTTGTATCCTAGGTCCGTTTAGCTTTAGATGATGAAATCCTCAGCGTACACAGGTAAGGCCACGTCAAAAAAGAAGAGAGTTTCTCGTCTGCGCTTTTTAAAAACAAAATGGAGGAGGCGGCCCACTTTTTCTTCCTCCATGATGACAAATTTTCCTTGATGGGGATGGATTTTTCCATTTTCTCAACTCTTTTATTGATACAAAATTGAGTCCAAAGGATCCGTCACCCTTTCTGCATCGCTACAATTTTGTTGGGAGTAAATTAATATCTTGACAAACTTTGCCAAATATATGGATAAAAAAGGGGCCAGTGGGAGAAAGGTAGCAGGCGGGGATGAGAAACTGGTTTATTTTGGTCACCGACATCACAAACTGAAACTCGGTGGTGCGTGATGAGTGTCACACGCGTGTACATTACAGAACCGCATCAGTTTGGTAGCAGGCGGGGATGAGAAACTGGTTTATTTTGGTCACCGACATCACAAACTGAAACTCGGTGGTGCGTGATGAGTGTCACACGCGTGTACATTACAGAACCGCATCAGTTTGGTTTTCAAGAACTGACATCGATATCCAAGTCTTTATTTCACAAGTTAAAAACGTTTTTAAACCCTAACTCCCTAGCGTCTTTTACTAGGAACTGGACCAAGTCCATCAGAATCCATCAATCACTGTGCATCCAATACAAAACTGTTTATGATATAATGGAATCTACCACTGGCGCACTGGTTGACATTCATGGACTTGCTACACATGGCTTTTATCCCAATAGCAATACAGGAAAACATGCAGGAAGCTAGGCAAAATCAATTGGATACCCCTAGCACTTCTTCAGGCCATTAGGCCCAAGTCCATCATACTCCGTCAATATTTAGTCATGCCAGGCCTTCTGGACCAAGTCCCCCAAAATCCACCAAAATGGGGAAATGGATTTTGATGGAGTTGGGGTGGTTAGGGTTAGTTAAATGGTTCTGTAACCCCACAAGTATCCCAGATGGAGTAAATTCATGTCAAACCTTTCAAAGCCTTTTTCTCCGAATTGTATTTCCTCCACACGCTTGCGTTTCAGTTCGTGAAGACAAACATTAGTCTGTTTTGCATCAGTGTACGAAGTGCACGTGCTCACCCGTGTGTCAGTTCGTGAAACCAAAATGATTGATTATGCAGTTTTTAAGAAATGAAAGCACATACAATTGGTGCTTGTCAGTTCATGATTGCTAGATTTCAACCTTGAATCCTGCTTCCATGACACATTATCTAAACAATAGTGGGCACGGTGCTTAAGCCATTGCAGGGCCTCCGGCCATGAGTTGTACATTGAGACGATTCCAATATTCTTTCCTACAGTGCTGACTACCTGGAAAGTTTCAAAACTACCCAGACGATGGGTGACAACGAGCTGAAATCGTGGGCCGAGCAATATGACTCTGTCTTTGTGAACAATGTACGTAATAAAGGAAATCATTGGGTTTTCTCAATTTGTTGTACAATATGTGAGGCAAAATGAGACCCCTCTGGACACAGGTAGATATGAGGATTTACAGATATTATGAGAGAGAATAAAACTCCCCTTGCACTTCAATTCGGGTGATTCACAATGCAGTGCGCCACCAAGAGTTTGCCATGGAGAGTTCATTTTTCAAGTTTACGGTCGACAAAACAGGGCCCATTTGAATGATTGTCGGTAGAAAACTTGAGCTAATTTGTTATAGATTGGGGCATAGCATTCTGCCACCTTACAAAAACACCATATTGATAAAAAGAAAAGAAAGGGGCAAACATATACTCGAATCATACGCTTATGAAACTACTGAGCGGAAAAACGAACAATTTCAAATGTCCCGCGCTGCGAATTTGTCGACCATCTCCCACAATGCACTGGGAAAAATGAACTCTCCATGACAAACTCTTGGTGGCGCACTGCATTGTGAATCGCCTGAATCGGACATTCTGCTGACATGTTATGGCTGTTTAAAATGTGGATTTATTGACAAGTCAAAAAACGTAATATACTGAGAAAAAGGCCATTACAATTTTGAGTCTTGTAGTCGTGAGAATGAAAGATGACACTTATATTTTTTGATTAAAAAAAACACATTTGTTACACACATTTTATATTATATCGTTAACATATGTCTAGTAGACATATCAAAGATTACAAATATGAATAAATCTGAAAATCGCAAAAAAAACCCCTCATCCTCACTTTTTCTCCACTACGGCCTATGCTCAGTTCCGTCTCATGTAGCCAGAATGCCTCATATCAGGCATGCGACTTTTCCTCGGATCAGCTGATTTCCTTGTTTTTCACTTCAGACTTTTGCCATTTAAGATTGAAAAGTCCTGTAAAGATTGGAGTTTCCTCGTTTTTTTGTGTTAATTCCAAGTTGCATGCCTGTCATATATGTAATAACCTGCACTAGCAGCCCACACCAGGTGTAAGTGCTTCTAGCAGCTTTCCAAGTTAGGGCCGTAAACTCAGAAAGAATACAGTACTTCTAGTGGTACACTCTTATCTTGTTAATCCCTTTGTCAACAAACTGGCCCCTGTTATCAGATACTGCTGCTTATCCCCTGCACTTGTCAATCAGCTGTGTGACAGCACATGTGGCTTTATTGCACTAAATATTAGGGATTATAAAGCCACTGTTTGGACAAAGGATTAAGATAGATTAGAGGGATGGCCAGTTTACAGTTAGATTGACTGTTTTCTCTCAGAAGTTTCTAGTGGAGGTTACTCGCAATGATGTCAGACCTAAAGGGCTGTGGAAATCATTCAACTTAATTTCTCATTATCAGAAAATAAACTGACTGAATTATCACCAAAATGATAAATAAGGCAATAATGGGTACACATTTTTAGAAAATATTTTTATCTGTATCATAAATCTCTAAAATTCTTGAATGTTTGCAAAATCTGAGATTGGTGTGTTATCCCCTCACAATTTCAGCACAACTTGTATCCGTTATCTGTATAAACTATGACAGTCACAGTAATTCAAGTCTTATTTAGTCGTTGAAATTGAAGTTTAGTTCATACTGTTGTTGCACCGGTTGTGAGCATATTCAAGTCCTTGTAATTGCTTGCTTTGCAGAATACTTATGAGTGTGCCAGTCTTGTATTGGGTGGCTTGCTCGATCTGACAGAAAAGGTCGTCAAAGGAGAGGTATGTAAAGATAATGCACTTTTATTGTTACTTATTTATAAATACCTGAGCCAGTTTACCCAATCCTATTGGTTGAGAGCCTGTCACGTGGGTGGTTTTTAAACCACTGTTTGAACACCGCTTGGTGGGCAATTCCATCGTTACGGACGTTAATTTCGGAGTCAAAATCCAATTTGAAACAACAAAAGTAAAATATTTGCAGTTAGGCCCTAAAGAAAATGTTATATATTTGGTACGACTCTGGCGTAGGCCCTAACGTGCAACAGGACATGGTTAACCCCTTAAGGACGGGGTGTAATGGGGACATTCCTCCACACATAGAGCAAGTGACCTGCATGACTGCACAGCCTTTGTGTGGTAGTGGGACTGCACAAAAGCAGCAGCTGTGGAACTACCCACTAGCCGTGTGTCACGGCATACCACAGCTGGCAAATGCTTTCCAAATAAGGATTATTAGATAAGTGCTGTAAACAATTGTTACGGATGTTACGCTTTGAGACATAGACTTTGGACTTTCAGTACGCATTGATAAAAATCAGTGTGAAGTTGCTTGCAAGAATTTAATGAAATAACAGTGTGGCAGATATGTAGGTTGACTCTTTAAAAACACCAATGACATTTTACACAAAGGAACTTTGATGGTATGGACACATCATGCTTTTGTTGTTATGGACGTTACATTATAACGTTACGGACATTATATGTCTGAAAGCAACTTCAAACATGTGATAAGGTGCAAGCCTGCTAGTCTGGTTTCCTGACCTGACAATTCCCAGACCCCTGTAAATTGTTCCGTTTTGTCTGAAGTAGGGTCAGGGAACCAGACTACAAGAACAGCATTTGGTTCTCGTTTTTTTTTTCCCACCATCTATGAACACAAACCTTCAAAAATTATTTGTGCACAGATTTAATTGCCTGTATTAGAAAATTAAATCAATTCACAGTGGATGTTTAAGTTGAAATATCATCTCATTGGCTCCAGAAAATATATTGACTCACCATACACAAAGAGTTAAAGTGCCTAGTATGCTCGAATGTTGTGTGTGTTCGGTGGGGGATTCATACTAAGACTCGTTACACATTCCATGTGCTGTAGTTTTTCAAATTACAAAAATTCTCAATATTTGAATCTTCAAACTTACCCATTTTGTTTTAATGATTTTCAGCTTCGAAACGGCATTGCCATAGTTAGGTAAGTGTACTTTTGAATAAATAAAACAAACATTTGAAAAAAGTGCAATTTTGATCTTGAAACCTTTGTTTGGAGAATTAACGTGATGGATATATTTATGACGTTCCTGTTCAACTTTTTTGGGTTTTCCATTAACCCTTACCCTACTAGACCCTCCAACGCATGCCAATATTTGCCTCAAGAAAATCTCCTATGTTTTTTGCATGGCCCTCCAATATCTGCCATGTCATTTCAAGGGTAACTGGACAGGCACTCCAATACATGCCACAGAGAACAATGAGAGTCCTCTGATAACAAAGTGAGTGCCCCCAGCTGGTCAGTATCAGGCACCCTCCAGGGCCTCCAACTCCTGCCAATTGGAGCCTTCACTGTTAAGACAAACTATCTGCCAATAAACTGCAGCTGGAGGGCATTGGCATAACCAACTGACATGCAGTAAACTACCCTCAGAGAGTAAGGGTTAACATGGGATTATTTGACCCACTCTCTCATGGCAGTTTGATTTGGAAATCAGTGTCAGCACAGGCTCAGAAAAAAGCTCATATTTGGTGGATTTCTCACGGTTCAGTATTCAATCCCTCTTTTTCTTGTCCCAATCAGGCCTCCCGGTCACCACGCACAACGGACCATAGCGTGTGGATACTCCCTTTTTAACAACGTAGCTCTAGCGGCCCATATGGCAAGACATAAATGGAACTGTGAAAGGTCAGTTGAACCATTGTCATATAAGATAAGGGCCCAACTCAATTCATATCTGGGACGTCTTCCGGACAAGTTGCGGACATTGTATCGGGTATAAGTTGCAGGATTCTAAACAACTTCCACACAGTCTTCCCGCAATGAAGTTATCAGTATTGCAGTAGCTAATGAAAATATCCCTGGAACACAGCCAGGACAAACACCGAGCTTGATTTTACTCAAAAAGTGTAATATCCACTGAGCTAGCCTTTCTTTCGCCAAGGCCATCGTGGCTTTTAGCGGTGAAGTTGCGAAGACCCGAAGCGACTGGAGCAAAGATTAAGTCAGCATGCACGAGTGGCAAAGCCACGAGGCCTTTTCAAACTTGATTTTGTTGAATTATTCGTAGTTTTTATGCAAATAAGAAGAATGCTGAAGGTTAACCAATCACAATGCGAATTTTGCCAAGTCACTTCCATTTTTAAAAGAAGGGTGAGTAAGGAAAACGTAAAAGCAAATAACTGTAAGTTCAGATGAAAAATAAGTTCATACACTCAAATAATTTCTTGAAATACTTTTATAAGTAAAATTTAAATAAGATAATGTAAGAACAATTACACGGTCACGATCTCGTGAAAAACTAGACACATTTTTTGTTTTTAAATTTTGTGCAAGCATCCGGGCGCGTCGACGTGTCCGAGTAGTAGCCACGCACGCACTAAAAGGCTGATGATTGGTTGGAATTTTGCTACCCTTTTGGGGTAGCAAAAATCGAGATTATAAAGAAAAACATAAGAATTTCTCGACAAGTTAGAAAAGGCCCTCGTGGCTTCGCCACTCGCGTGTGTGGTCTCCATCTGATCTTCAAATGATCCTATATGCCTTTAAATAGCTAGATTTCTCACATATTCAAAAACTGTCAACTGACTTTAATATACCATGCTTATAGATGAAGCAGGCTACAGCTCATGAAAATGTGGTTTTTTTCCCCCTATTTTTGTAGGGTTTTGATTGTGGACTGGGACGTTCATCATGGACAGGGTGTGCAGTATATTTTTGAAGAGGATCCAAGGTATGGTGACTTGCTTTTTTCAGATAAGCACTTGTATTACATTGCATTACCTTGTATTATATTTATATAATATTGGATGGCTTTGAGGTGGATACAAGAATATATTGCACGAGCTATGACAATATTGCACGAGTCGAAGACGAGTGCAATATTGTCATAGCGAGTGCAATATATTCAATGTATCCACCGAAAACAAGCCATCCAATATTATTATTATTATTTATATCAGGCTGACTTGATCCGCAAGAAGCACAATTCAAGACACTGTCTTCATTACATCTTTTTCGTTTACATCAAACGTTTTGAAGCTGCCACTGTAATTGTTAACAACAGTGCGCGTATACCTGGCCTTCTCTGCGCGCTGCATGCGCGCGGCGTGTTCGGTGTTCGACATCACGCGCGCGCTACGCTCTGTTGAGTGGTTGACAACTGTGACTTTCTATGCTCTTGATCAAGCGGGAACCTGCGAAAATGCCCGGATTGACTGCAATAACAATGTTATTGCAGTCAACTTTTTATGAAAGCATACAGTATGCTGATTTATTTTTACCGCCGGAAGCCTGATATAAATAATAAGGTATTATATTGTACAAGCTGATTTACCCGATCATAGATCGGGTAGGGCGTATTTGTGTTGGGGTTGAAAGTGTGGGGAGTTAAATGTAAATGGGGGATTTAGTTGAGAAGACATGTAGCTATAGAAAAGCAATTTACGGTGACGCGATCTGAGGCAATTTCTGACCACGTACGATAGTAAAACAAAAGATCATCTTTTAAACATCATTTCTCGAGTTTGGAGTCATTGAATCAGCTGTTCTGAGCAAAAGAATATTATAGTAGGCTACAATTTTTATTCGGGGAAGAATAAGTGGGGGTAGGGAACCAAACGATATTGCCCGCTTTAAAATGTTGGGGTGGGGGTCCCCCGTCCCCCACCGATTGACGCCGCGCCCATGATAATTATGTACCATGGCATGTATAACTGTCTGTAAATTTTCCCGTTGGTCTGTTAAATTGCATTTTGTGAGGCAGTCGCGTTTGTTAATGTGGGAAAACTGAGTTGAAAGACTTACCGTATAGTACACAGGCGAAGGCTGATTGTACTGTTTTGACAATAAATCATAATGGAATAAAACGTAAAGGTGGCATTTGCAATAAAAATGTTGAGTGTGTTACCATAAAATTACATAGTCTGAATCATGGAGGAAGGTCATTATGAAGGTACAGTATTGGACTCTTAAACAAATGTAAACTTGAACTTCTTACAATTTGCGAGACCTGCGAGGAAAAAGTCGATTTAACTATTTTATTCAAGTTGGCATGGTTCAACCATAATATAAGCAAGGCCAAACAGCCAACAACCGCCAATATTATTATTTATGCACTCTTCGTTATTCCAACCCAACATAGTTCAAAGATCACAATATTTGAAGCAATGCATCGATCCCTCGTTGATTTACCCGATCATAGATCGGGTAGGGCGTAGAGTTGGGGATGAAAATGTGGGGAGATGAATGTAATTGGGGGATTTAGTTGAGAAGACATGCAGTTGTAGAAAAGCAATTTCTGTGGTGCGATCTGAGGCAATTTCTGACCACTAAAACAATTTTTTTTTTTGCAAAAGATCATCTTTTAAACATCATTTTCGAGTTTGGTGTCATTGAATCAGCTATTCTGAGTAATAGAATCATTATACATGTGGTACCTACAATTTTTATTCGGGGAAGAAAAGTGTGGGGGGGGGGGAGGGGACCAAAAAAGTCTCCACCGCTTTAAAATGGGGGGGGGGGAGGGGTTCCCCGTCCCCCACCGATTGACGCCCATGATAATTATGTACCATGGCAACAGTCTGTAAATGTTCCCGTTCTGTTAAATTGGCATTTTGTGAGGCAGTGGCATTTGTGGGAAAACGTACTTGAAAGGCTTGCCGTAGTACACAGGCGAAGGCTGATTAAGAAGGTCATAATTAAGTTTCAGTTTATTGGACTCTTCAACAAACGTAAACTTGAACGTCTTACAATTTGCGAGACTGTCTGCGAGGAACTTGTCGAGTCAACTGTTATTCAACTTGGGTCAACCATCTATATAAGAGCAAATTGTACTCGGCCTCCGAGAAATGTTTGCTCCTGAAACGATCTGAGACCGCGGTCTTTTGCGACGCCACAATCGCTCCACGTCCGTGGAAAAATGTGGAGGGTGTCTTCCGCCGGATCGGACACATTTACGTCGATTTTTTGTGTGACTGCGTTTAAGATCTCGATGTTTGAAGCAATGCATCGATCCTTCGTTGATCCCAGACAGGCCCCCGAAATTATAACGCAACACTGTGGTGGGCAGCGAACTCACAACGTTCAGCCTTGGTGGAAGCATGGAGCTGTATTAACACACGATGGAAGCAACAGAGCACTATACACGTCACTCACATGCTTGTGCTTCAAATCATGCAAATAGCGAGCACCGTAGACCCAACCTCGTTTGCAGGGTGTGGAGCAGGCTGCAGTACGCGTTGTCATCGACAGTTTTGCATAGCTCGGAAATACTACGCAGTGTAGACTTTCGATTGGTCAGACCGCGCAAGGCATACTTAATGTGAAGTCCTTCTGAGTATTCGTTGCACTCGGCGCAGGGGCGGCAAGCGAAGCATATGAAACAATAGGGGCACTTGGTGGCCACGCACCATGGAGAAAAAATATTTTACCAAGGTCACCCGATAACACAATTTGGTGAACGCTTTTGCAGAAGGGCCGAGTAGAACACGTAAACGGAACCCCTACGTTGACCTCGCTGACCTCGCACAGTCTAGACACGCAGAGAAGCCAGCACAGGGGGCGGCCAGGCAGTCAACGTGAAAGCGCACACGACGGCAAATTCCTGCGAAAAACGCAGTCACCAAAAATCGACGAAAAGGATCGCCGGTCCGTACGGGAAAATCAGGACGACCCGAAGCGTCCGACCCGGCGGAAGACACCCTCCGTATTTTTCCACGGACGTGGAGCGATTTTGGCGCCGCGTGAGCCCGCGGTCTGGGATCCTTTCATGAGCAAACATCGTCTCGGAGGCCGAGTTAAACTCTCTCTTATATATATAGATTACATTGTATTGCATAGTATTACATTGTAGTTTTTCTCTGAATCCATAAAGCCATACATTGCTGGGGGCAGATTTAGGTGTTATAGGGAGTATCAGGTAGGGTAGTTTGGGCAGTACAAGGTCTGTTTATGGCAAACAGTGTTTTCATTTGTGTTTTCTGTATGAACTCCGTGCATGAACAGTAGATAGTGTTTTTTACCTCTTTTGATATAGCCTAAATTGCAGGAACACGCCGTTTGCGTGAAGTGGTCGTGAACATTCGGCGTGAAGTACGCACGACCGATTCTATTCTGAATGTCCACAATTCCAAGGCCTCTTTGCATGAGCATCAGGCATATATGGCGGCAATGCTTTCAAGGGTGTCTCCCAGCGGTCTCTCCCAACTTTGGTTTTAACATGTTAAACCATTGACAGGGTAATTGTGCGCAGGATCCATGCCTGCTTGTGATTTTGTGTTTTGTTTTACATATTTTATACTTTTTTAAAAATGAAACCCTGCTTTGTCTGTTTTAAGAATGACAAATCAATGTTATTTTTGTCGTGGGTCCAGTGTGCTTTACTTCTCGATTCATCGGTTTGAACACCTCGATTTCTGGCCCCATTTGACGGATTCAGACAGCAACGTGTTCGGGAAGGGAAGAGGGCTAGGCTTCAACGTCAACGTTCCTTGGAACAAGGTAAAGTGGCAGGAAAAAAACTTCATATTCAGTGATTTCAAAAGCATTTCCTTTTTTATTTTATCCTATGTAGGCAAAAAACCTCAGTGACTTTGCAACTGAGTTTACTCCTCCCAGATTGCTGTAGCATCAGCTAATTTCACAAAACTTTACGCAATCGCGTAACTCCACTTGCCCCACAATTCATTCCTTAAGTTGCACAACATTTCACGCCAGCAACATTTCAGTTATGACACATTTCACGTGCATAAGCCTACGACTCGTGCAACATTATTATGTACAGTTGTACGCAATCATGTTAAGTGGCGTGGGTTGTGGCGTAGTGACTGAAAATAAACTATTTTACCAGCAAATCATGATCGTTTTGGAGCATGTACAAGACACTCAACATTTGTGTGTGTTGGAAATGAACTGCCAGTTTACTCGTGACCAAATTTTTAGAGTTACCGAACAATTCCGAAGAAGGTAGGACAAGACTATTTTTAAAACTGTTGGGTGCAGGTGTTTTAAAGAGGTTGTGGAATGCTCGAAGACATTTCCGTCATTTTTCGGGTATAAGTAGCCTAAGGTGATGAAATAAAAACAACTATTGTGTGTGTCTTGAAATGAGTACAAAAGGTTCTTTTGAGAGCTGTTTTTCAGGTCCTGTTTTGACCCGAACGTGCAATTTGTGTAAAAGTCGTCGTTGGGGGTAGCAAACAAAACACAGTAAATCGTGACGTAATAAACAGGACTCCCGATGCAGCGTAGTATAAACGAGTCCTGTTTATTACGTCACGATTTACTGTTTTGTTTGCTGCCCCCAACGACGCCTTTTACACAAATTGCACGTTGGGGTCGAAACAGGACCTGAAAAACAGCTCTCAAAAGTACCTTTTGTACTCATTTCATGACACACACAATAGTCGTTTTTATTTCATCACACCTTAGGCTACATGTACCCGAAAAATGACGGAAATGTCTTCGAGCATTCCACAACCTCTTTAACTACTGTTTCATGACAGAACAAAACAGCCCTGGAAAATGCTGCTATTATCCTTTTATTTAAAATGTTGTGGAGCTACACTAAGTTTTGTGAAATGGATCGTAAGTTTATTGCGCAGCTGCCCAACAAATTTGTTGCGTAAGTCCTACGAATGACGTAAGCTACGAACTGTTTCATGAAATCGGCTACAGGGAAATTTTTTATTGGGGTGGGGGTGGGGTGTAGGTTGGAAGTAAGGGAAGAATGAATATTTATAGTTGCTAGGCCCATAGGTATTACATTTTTTTTATGATTTAACATTCTCTTTGGGGTCACAGTTTTAATACATGAAATGGCCGATTCATTTTTTACTGAAGCACTTTTTTTTTAAATCACGCCAGTGGTCACGATGCTATCTTTCAGGCCTGCAGCTAGTGCACATGTGTTTTTTCCATCTGAACTTTGTACCTACATGTATCATGCAATCATGAATTAATGGACTAATGAAAGCTGGTCAAGAAGGAGCAATACTTTTTAAGTATTTTAGCCATGACATTTTTGTATGCACTGTGCACATTACTGCTCCGCTATTGATAACACAAGTGTTTGATGATGAAGAAACGAACTACAATGTACATGTGTGGTCAACTTCAGTTCTTGATTGGTTTTTCTCATTCATTGACAAAGTTTTTTTACGTTTGTTTGTCGCGAAGGTTGGGATGGGCGACAGTGAATACCTAGCTGTGTTTCAGCAAGTGCTTCTCCCTATGGCCTATGAGGTATAGTTTGATGCTTGCATATTAAAACTAAGCCTATCAGTGGTAGAAATTATGAAACAATTAAAGGTATAGTCCATCATTTGTAATTTGTGCATTTTGTTCGTTTGAAGCAACAAAAGTGCTCAAAATCTAAACAAGGGTGCTGAACAACTAACCTGATGAAGTTTCAGCTCAGCTTCAGCTGTATATTTTGAGAAAAACAACATTCTAGGCTTTCGATTTCAAATCAAAACTTGCTGAACCATGTTTTTAATCGGGCCTGAATTCAGCGTCCGAGACACGTTCTCACTGAGCCGATTGCAGCCACGCGATGTCGCGCACCGATTTGACGAATTATAGCAACCACGCGCGCGTGTGCATCGTGTCAACGCTTGCGCGCGCTTCGCCGAATGAAAAAACGAACTACTAACGGAAATTTCCAACGGTGCGTCTTAAGAAAGGCCTTCTTTCGTTGATTACTTCAAAATGACAGCTTGCCAGAAAGAATAATTTCACAGGGAGTTTAGTCCCCTTACTATCTTTCAACCAAGTATGTTTTTCAACAATAATTACGCCAGTTACTTTTCGGATAGCTGCAAATGATGGACTATAGCTTTAACCTCTCATTTAGTTAAAAATTATTCACCAATATTGTGATTAGGTGACTTTTCGAGCAAATTATGTAGATTTTTTAAAACTCGACCTGAACTAGAGGTTAACAAGACATGGCCTATGTCTTGTAGCAACGTTCTCTTGAATTTGTTATTTACACTTGATGTTATCTGTTCCCTAACAGCTTTTTTTTGTCTTCAAATTGCACAGTTTAACCCAGATTTGGTGCTGGTTTGTTGTGGTTTTGATTCTGCAATCGGCGACCCCAAGGTACAGTTCTTGAGTCTGTTCTTTTTTTTCCACTGTAAATCAAGCAGAAGTTCTGAAGATAAGACTGTTTTTCTGAAAATTGATTTCAATGTACTTCTTACAAAGTGAAATAAAAGACAGGATTTATTTATTTTATTAGGGCTGTGCATTTACCAATAATTTAGTATTCAATTATTCTGACTTGGACTTGGTCGAATAGCTGAAATGCGCTGATCAAGTTTAAAGAGGTTGTGGAATGCTCGAAGACATTTCCGTCATTTTTCGGGTATATGTAGCCTAAGGTGTGATGAAATAAAAACGACTATTGTGTCTGTCATGAAATGAGTACAAAAGGTACTTTTTAGAGCTGTTTTTCAGGTCCTGTTTCGACCCGAACGTGCAATTTGTGTAAAAGTCGTCGTTGGGGGCAGCAAACAAAACATAGTAAATCGTGACGAAATAAACAGGACTCGTTTATACTACGCTGCACATTCGGGTCGAAACAGGACCTGAAAAACAGCTCTCAAAAGTACCTTTTGTACTCATTTCATGACAGACACAATAGTCGTTTTTATTTCATCACACCTTAGGCTACATATACCTGAAAAATGACGGAAATGTCTTCGAGCATTCCACAACCTCTTTAACATGTGCCAGCCTTGACTGGCCATTGATCGGGATTTGCATGTGCCAGCACTTGTCAGGAATTGATGAAGAGTTTGTTAGAATAACATAAAGAACAGGAGGCAGAGTGGCTGTTATAATTTGAGCCAATATTCCTCATTGAAGCTCTCAAATCATCTGTGAAAATGGCTTTCCACTAATACGATAGAAATAACATTGTGGGCATTTTTCATCATCTCTTCAAGACGGCTCACATTTATATGAATGTTTGAATTGAGCAAATGCCATTTGGATATTTGGTTGATCAAATATTTGAATATTTGGCATGTGTGTCACAGCCAAGCGCTATATTAAATTACTATTGTCTATTTGCATATCTGTGTTTGTATTCCATACCGGTGCGTCATCGAATCCGATACATGCACGTTTTGCTCTACACAAACAGCACAATGCGTGCGCGTATCCGCTGCAGATGATTAACCGTGTTTTTTTTCTTCAAACCGTTACACGCGCTTAAGAAGTTTGCGCTGCATTTAGAGTACACTTTCAAAATTCAATCCATCTAATTTCATTGTGCTCTACAAACACGCACATGAATTCAAAATGTCTGAGGCCAGGACGGCTTCAAAGCGTCTCCGCGCTTAAGAATGAGGAGTTAGCGCTCTAGTAATTTAATATAGCTCTATAGCCACAGCCCTAAACCAAGTATTCTTCAAGGCGTGCAAGCCTGAAGGTGCTCAGAAAAGGAAAACAGTTTCTATTTCTTGAATCTTGTTTTTTAGGGTGAGATGGCAATTACTCCAGTGGGCTACACCCATCTGACCCATGCTCTGATGGGCCTGGCCGACGGGAAAGTCGTGCTTGCTCTTGAGGTAAATCAAACTTGACTGAATTTTACTTTTTGAAAACGGAAAAGTGTTGATACCACACAAAGTTCGATGCATTGCAATAAAGTTTACCATGCGTTCAATCCATCATAAGTTTCTTACCGGCCATCTTACTTAATAATGCAGAGAATTATTCATTGTATCTTAGGGTGGCATGGGTGGCTAGTGCATAAAGCGCTTGCCTCTCACCACTGTGGCCCTGGTTAGTTCCTGGCCGCGGACCATATGTGATTAGAGTTGTGCGTTGGTTCTCTCCTGTGCCACGAGGGTTTTTCTCCAGGCCCTCTGGTTTCCTCCCTCCAAAAATATTAAACTCTTACGATCTCTGGCTGTGCTCCTTGGTCATATATGGGTCGATGTGGCCGGCAGCCATAGGTGCCTTTACGTGCCTGCGGCTCGACCACGTTGTAGCCGCGTCCTTTGCAATTCCGCTTCTCAGCTGTGAGTAAGGATGATTAGCATCCAAAATTATCTAAAGTTATGACAGATTGCAGTGCTTTGTGAAATCTGCATCGATGGAAGTTTGTTTTTGTCCAACTGCATGATGCTGAGATCTAGTGTTTTATATTCAGGGGGAAATGTGCTCTATAAATGACATATTATTATTATCCATAGGATGGAATGGACATATACAAATATTGACTGCTTCGGGTGGTGTAGTAAAACTAGCCGCCCGAGGTGATCCATTGAGCATTCTTCGCCTCGGGAAAAAAGAATGCTCCATGGATCACACCAAGGGAGGAAAGTTTTACTACACCACGAGATAAAGCAGTCAATATTTGTTTTATAACAACTCTCCCACAGATTCTACCTGATTTTAAGCGATAACTGATTAATTTAATATGAATACAATAAAAATTACTTCTTTTTCAATACGAAATTAGTTGAAAATTAACTTGCACTTTTTCTAACTACCCTTTTATGAAATGTTTGAACCCAGCTCTGTAGCGCTCGCGCTTGGAAACAATACGTGCAATGCGCAACGTCCCCCTATGCATTTTGCTCACAGTGTGTATAGTTCTTTGGTTGCTAATGGTACACTTTGGTTGCTATGGGTAAAGTGTTTTTGGCCATGCACTGAAAGATAGCAAAAATAAAAAATACCATGTGACTTGCTCTCGGCCAATCAAGACACAGAATCTGTGGGTGAGGTGTTATAATATTAGATGCCCTTGAATTCAAACACTTAAAAATTTAAACTTTGACAGGTGGACTAAAAAAACCCTGACAATATTTTGTACTTGGCAGGGCGGCTACAATTTGAAAGTGATGGCAGAGTGTGCAGCGATGTGCACACAGACGCTGCTGGGAGATCCCTGCCCTCTGCTCCCACCAACAACTGAACCCGATGAAAGGTAAACCAGAATCTGGGTGAATCTATGTAGCACTTTTTTGTAAGGAAAATGAGCTTTGGACCCATTTCTTGATTTCAAAAGAGGACCAATTCAAGAAAAGTATTCAGTTGACTTTATTGGAAAAGTAGGAGTTGGAAATTTTGTAAACTTAACTATAAAGACTGTGTCCCCCCAAAAAAATTTGACTCAAATTATGTTATATTATTAAAGCTGGTATGTACGTGCTATTTGGGTGTGGCGGCCCGAAAAATAAATTGTTGATAGTTTGTAGCATTGCATTAGTTATGAGCTTTCTAATGAAACATCGAACAAAACAGTCGGCCCGCGATATGTAACCAATTAAATAATTTCAATTTTTGAATTAGGATCTCCTGCTCCCTATTCAGTTCTGAAGCCCATCTGGCCCTACCTAGTTACGCTTGCGTTTTTGCAAAATGCAGTTTATGAATAATAATCTGAACACCACGCATTACAAGTATACGTTTGTGCATGTACATGTACAGACCATGGACCATTTACTGTACACAATGTGCATGTACACGTACAAACACACGCATGTTTACGTTACATACCAAGTGTGGACATCCCCTTGGTTTCGTGTAGTTAAGAAAAACTAATGAAAAAAACTTATTTTTCTCAAACTGTGAAAACTCTTTCAACCCAATTTTTTTTTCTATGATCCCCTTTAGTATTTCTCTTCATCTTGCCACAGATAAACCTAACCCAAAAATGCCTCTAAACCTGTTTTCCAAAAATGGGGAAACACTGTGTGGACTTGCCCAAGTCCACACAACGTCTCCTCTACCTGGTTTATGTGGGCCTCTTTTGTTCGGAAGTCCACACAGTGAATATAATGCCTACCCATGTGTGTATACGCGGTATGGTCGTTCTGTATGGCAACCACGTGAAACAAGACTTGGAAAACCGCAGGTTTTGCAATCCTCTGAGAGGAAAAGATGCAAACGTAGCAGAGATTCTGATAGATTGTAGGATCCGTGGTGCAGCCAGGCCGGCCTAGTTACACAAGGGTCTACCATGATCGCAGAGCATGTCTTTGACTGGCTGCGATCATTGCGTAGCTGGGACCTGGCCAAGTGAAAACAAAACGCACGATTCCAAAATTAACATACATGCTGGCTCCTTCACTAGCTATGAATATTTATAGCATTTCGTTCAAAACTTTTGAACTGTAGCACACTAAATTTGTTTGTTATATGACATTAAACTCCTTTAAAATTTGTTCGGAAAAGAAATTCGGCATTTTGAAAAAGCATGTTTGTGCTAGCTTTGTAGTCGTACAGACTTAAATGGGTATGATATTTGGTTGTGTTTTATTTTGCATTTGAATCGCAGTGCTGTTGAGACCATACTGGATGTGATCAAGAATATCAGGCCTCATTGGCAGTGCTATGAGTATCAAGGTATTAAACAAAGTGCATCTCTATTCCACATGCCATGAGGCCAAGGGCCAAGTAGCATATGGAACACATATGCACTACAATATTCCATGTTCAACTCGCACTCGTGGGATAGCTTATAATAGTATTATTATTTTTTATTTCTGGTAATGAAATCAAGGATTCCTCAAAAGCGCCCCAGGCACTTTAGCTTGCAAGCTTGAAGAAACCTGTAGAGAGAAGACAATGAGAACAAATTGCAGTTTTAGAGGTGGGAGGAAAAGCCCAGAAGAATATTCTGGGGAAACCCACGGAATCAGGTAGGGACTGAAAACCCAATCCACATGTTGGCCCAGGCGGGATTCGAACCCGAGTCACAGCAGTGGAAGGCAAAGAAAGTACCGCTATGCCAACCTGACTGCCCAATATTGTTCTTACCATGATGAGCACTGCTGGCCAAGTGATGGGTTTTGGGGTTTTTTTTTAATGGCTTCTAGTCACTGACAGGCCGTCTAGAAAGCATATTGACCATTGAGCAAAGAGTGAAAAAGAGTGCTGAAGGCTATTACATTCTTTTCTTTTCTTTTTTTATAAAACTTCATGTTATAATTATCGCTTGGTGTTTTCATGTATGCCATTCAGCTTGGAGAACCCCTAGACAGAAACAATGTTTCTTTTGGGCAATCCTTCGGGAGCTGAATGGTATTTTGTTTTCGTTTGTTTGTTTTGTATCGCAAGCTTTCACTTTATGCATTCATTGTAACTTTGGTCATCTGTGTACATGTATTTGTTGAAAAATCTTACTTTCTTTTTTATCATCTAAAAATCTCTCAACCAAGCTTGCCTTTATACTACGAGGTATTTCAATAATTTCATACCTAAATTCAAAACATACTTTTCAATGGTATTGGAGTAATTCATGTAAAACATATATGAGTAATGGTTATCAAATGATATGACTCTTTAGATAACTGAAATTAAAAGGAACTTGTAGTCTGGAAAAGAAGTATTTATACATGAAAAATAATTTGCTTGTTACTTTCAGTTGCTCCTGAATATGTACAAAGTGATTTGGTGTCAAGCACCAGTTCAGGCAAGATGCCTTCTCAAGCAATCAAAACTGACCAATCACCTCAAAGAGGAACAGAGCAGGGGGCGGGGCCTTTGGATTCAACTGTCCAATCAGCTGAGGGGTTGGAGACTGTGGATTCAAACACCCAATCAGAAGGAGCAGCCACCAAAGGGGTGGAGCCTGTGGTTTCAACTGTCCAATCAGAGGGAACAACTGATAAAGGGGTGGAGCCTGTTGTTGGTTTGACCTGCCAATCAGAGGGAACAACTGAAAAAGGGGCGGAGCCTGTGCAATCGACAATCCAGTCAGTAGAGAGACCAACCAGTAAGGAAGTGGAGCCTGAAGAGATTGACAGTTTGGTCAACAGGCTGATTTCAGAAGTTGTCCTGACCGTTCCCAAACACAGGTTCGTTCATTTCTCTAAACTTGATGTACAGTGGGTATCAAAAAAAATGCAAACAATATATAGTAGAATGCCAGTAGTAGAATGGGTTGCCAACATACATGTAGATAATATAGGTATGGTTGGAAAGATGCGCCTAAAAATGTTTATCATGTCAACATGTTTACAAACTGATAGCAAGAAAGTGGTTAGATTTGTGTTTGTCGGCCAGGCGAATATCCACACACAGGCAATTAGGCAATTTGTCTTTATGCTTAAAATTGAAAACTTGGTCCCATGGTCAATTTGACCTCTCTTGGAAAAGTACTCATAACTCTGTCAAAACTTATCAGATTGGGACGTTTGATGTCTTATTTTAAAGTGGAAAGGCATATCTTTCAAACCATACCTATATTATCTATGTTGATTACACATTCTACGTCTGGCATTCCGTTATATTTTGTTTGCATTTTTTTTTGATACACACTGTATATGGCGAGCTGATATCAGCTGAAAATGTTGGCAGGGGTATTGGCAAAACATTTGTTTTTAATGCATATTTGCCCTGAACAAGGCTATGAGCCTCTCCAGATACTTTAAGAGAAACTAGAAAGAAGAGTAGGCACTCAGGAAAACTGAACGTAGGAATAAACATTCCTCTTGAAACAGGACAGATTATAGGTTGGAGGGAAACAAGCACCAGGCAAGGAACTCCAAAGAGATGCAGCACTTTGGCAAATGTTGTTGCAATATCCTTGTGTACTACATCTAGGTATTGCAACAATATTTGTATGACAACAGGCTTCAAGCGAAGTTTCTCTCTCCAACACTTAAATTGGAAAACATATTGTTTTGATTCCAACTGTAATTCTGTGCAGTTAATTTCATCCGTACTTTAAATGTTCGGCCATTGCAAAATTTTTAATGGTAAGTCCTGGCAAGCTAAAAGTCGAAACCAAATTTCAAAACCTGTTTCTATTGTTGATTTTCAGGACTTGTCTAGTTTACGACGCAGAAATGATGCAACACAGGACAGCTTTGTAAGTTTGATTTCATTTAAGCTACATATTGTTGGAAGCTAGAAACTCATAAAAACAATTCACAAACATGTAAACAATGTTCTTGTTCTGAAACATGTTGCTTACATGTTTTTAAACTCATGATTTAAAGGGAATATACAACATTTGCTTTCGCTGTAATTTTCAGACATGAATGGATTTGGGGGATTAGTATTTCATAGCAAATATTGTAACACTGACCTGTGTAAAGTTTTGTGTTCATAGATGTTGGAAAAACCAAGAAAAAATGTTGTTCTTGTAGTTTGGATCCCTGACCTCTCTTAAGATGAAACGGAGCAAATTATAGATGTTGGGGAATTGTAAGGTCAGGGAACCAGTCTAGCTGGCTTGCACCGATTGCAAACAAAGTGTGGACTTATAAAATTTGGTAAATTTGAGGCAGTATTTGAAGACAAAAAAACACTTTTTTTCCAACGATGGTTGGCCGGTCATGGTTGGCAAATTCCGGGCAGAGCATACTGTTCGAAACGTTGAGTCCCTCCGGTTCTTTTCAGAACCACACATACTCACAAAAGAGATTAATTCACATGGTGCTACTGCAAACTTATCTTGTCTGAAATTCCACGTTGCTTAAAATTGTGACCACACCAGGTGCCACGATTTTACAGGATGCTTTAGACTGTCTTTCACTAACAGTCAAGTAAGGTATTTCATAATAATTTGGTAGTTCTGTTTTTTGACGTTTGCAAATGTTGTATGTTGCCTTTAAAAAGAAAGTGTGAATTTTTTTCGTTGACCTTTCAGCAACCATCCAGAAAGGCCAGAGAGGATTTCTCGCATCTTCTCCAAGCATGAGAAAATGGGACTTGTCCAGAGGTGTCTTCGAGTAGAGGTAATGGAAAAAATCAGGAATCTTTAAATAATACAAGAAAAACGGGAAACTTTTTACCCCCAGCCAATATCGCTGGTTGTATACAGAAACAGCATGTCATTCCGCTATAAACATTAACTTGCATAGCAGCCCTGTCCACATTTCTCTGCTTATTTTGTCTTGGGCTTGATAAAACTTTTGAATCCGAAAAGTTCTCTTTCAAATTGTCACCAGATTTGTAACAAAGTGCTCCAACCCTCCATCAAAACAAGTAATGCTGATAATTGAAATTTTACCCATTTTTTAATACTTTTTTTTTTCAGTCTAGGAGAGCAACAACAGAAGAATTGCATTGGTGTCACAGGTAGGCTAATTTTTCATTTTTCCAAACAAACTGACTTCTTACAAAAATAATTTTTATGTAGAGTTCTTCAGTAGCTGGAAGTCTAAACTACTATTTATCATTGCACTTGCTTGCAAAACAAAACGTTGTTATATTGCAATTCTTTCGCAGAAAACAAACAATCTCTGGTACTTTATTATAAACATAGGCCCAAAAAAGTTTGGGGAAAAAATGAAGGAATTGTCAGTTGTAAAGGAAAGCAAAACTCCAAAAAACAAGTGCGAGTACACAATAAGCTCCGGCCGTCTTGCATGAAAGTCTTGCATGAAATCCTTGCATGAAATCTATGGAAACGATCCCTGCCAGAGCTTAAAAACGTGACACCAAAAAATGCGACGCTTATGGAACATATGGAACACCATACTTCAGAAGTATACCTAGATTTTATAGCGATTTGTGATAAATACCATGTGACTATAACATTACTGCACATATTTTGCCTCCATTTACAGACTTTTCATAAACATCTTATCCCAATTGTTATAAATTGTATTTAATTGATTTTGTGTACTTTTTTTTGAAAACTAAAATTTGGTAGTTATATTTTGTGGGAAACTTATGGGGCTTATTTTGGTCAATTTTTCGGAGACAGACATGTGCAAAATAAGCGCGCATGCGCATCGATCAAAACAAAATGGCTGTTCCGAAAACCGTCAGCAAGAGTGCATTTCATGACTACGGCATGGTATTTGGTCAATTAGTCAATTATTTTTGGTCGATTTTCGGGAACAGACAGACAGGCAGACCGACCGACTGACCGACCGCCCACCAAGTGACATGTAGAAGCTCCTGTCAGAGCTTAAAAATATTCAAGGATCACCTAGAAAATCAGCTTTAGCAAAATGCTCTATCGTTTAACAAAATGATAACTAAACAACTTGAAAAGTACTGAAAAATCAACATTTTTGTTTTGTTTGCAATATCAGCCAGGTAACATATCTTATCATCTTTCTTGTTTTGTTTTCCGCCATGAAGTGCTGAGTACATCGAGAGACTTCAGGCCATGCAGGAGAACACATCCCGAGAGCTGTACAAGATGCAAGACGACTTTAATTCCATTTATCTCCATCAGGTAGCAAGCCATTCTATTGAATTAAAAGCATTGAAACTGAGTGCTGTTTTTAAAGCTATAGTCCATCATTTGCAGCTATCCAAAATGTAACTGACGTAATTAGTGTTGAAAAACATACTTGATTAAAAGATCGTAAGGGGACTAAACTCCCTGTGAAATTATGAAGGAACACAAACCCAGACTTGTGATCTAATTACTATCTTAATATGTTATCTCTGTGCTAATACGTCAATGACACCAGAAACTTTGCACCCTCTGCATTGCTAATTAATAATATATCTGGTCCTAATGCAAAGACTGTCATTTCATGGTAATAATCTTAAAGCTACAGTCCATCATTTGCAGCTATCCAAAAAGTAACTGACGTAATTATTGTTGAAAAACATACTTGATTAAAAGATCGTAAGGGGACTAAACTCCCTGTGAAATTATTCTTTCTGGCATGCTGTCATTTTGAAGAAATCAATGAAAGAAGGCCTTTCCAACGATGCGCCTAAAGACGCATTGTTGGAAATTCCATTAGTAGTTCGTTTTTGTATTCGGCGAAGCGTTGACACGTTGCACAGGCGCGGGCAGTTGCTATAATTCGTCGGTTCAGTGCGTGACATCACGTAGCTGCAATCGGCTCAGTGAGAACGTGTCTCGGACCCTGAAATCAAGCCCACTTTAAAACATGATTCAGCAACTTTTGATTTGAAATCAAGATCCTAGAATGTTATTTTTCTCGAAATTTACAGCTGAAGCTGAGCTGAAACTTCATCAAGTTAGTTGTTCAGCACCCTTCTTTAGATTTTGAGCTCGTGCCATATTTTCAATGGGGAGCACTGATAAAATCCTACAATCATGCACACTATATTAACTAATGCACCCTTCTTACGACCATTTATTTAGGGTGAGACCGTTCACATGTACGTCACATTCTTACATTTTGCTAGTGCAATTTTTATGCCCCGCGGCGAAGCCGAAGGGGCATACTGTTTCCGCCTTGTCCTTCCGTGGGTGGGTGGGTGGGTGGGTGACTACAAATTCGTATCCTTGTGGAGACACACACACAATAGGGAACAAAACATTGTAAAGGTCTCCACAGGGCAATTTCTATAGATGAATAGGTCTCCACAAGGTTTTCACGAAATAGATATATGGGTTTTACTCAAAAACTAGGAATTTCCAAGGTGGGTTGATCTGTCGCAAATGGAAGAGTTTTAGAAAAGGGATATTAAGTCCAAATTTCAGCCAAGGAAACTAATTCTGGTTAAAATAAGAGCATTTTGAAACTTCACTTTCAAAATTGAACACTTTACTACACGAGAACAAAGGAATGTCTCCACAAGGATACAAATTTGAGAATGGGTGGGTGTGTGGGTGTGTGTGTGGGTGAGCTTGTCTTACATACGCAGTGTGGACTTCCGAACAAAAGACGTCCACATAATGTAGGTAGCACCGACGTTGTGTGGACTTGCCCACGTCCACACAGTGTTTCCCCATTTCTGGAAAACAGGTTTAGAGGCATTTTTGGGTTAGGTTTATCTGTAGCAGAATGAAGAGAAACACTAAAGGGAATCATATAAAAAAAAATTGGGTTGAAAGAGTTTTCACAGTTTGAGAAAAATGAGTTTTTTCACTGGTTTTTCTTAACTACACGAAAGCAATGGAAAGTCCACACTAGTCATGTGAAACAAGTATGTGTGGGTGGGTGTGTGGGTGTGTGTGTCCGGACAAATCTTGTCAGCGCGATAACTTGAGAAATACTTTACATATGAACTTCAAATTTGGTTTGTGGATTGTCCTTGGTAATCCTAAGAAGCCTTTTGCATTTGGGGCCAAAAGGTCAAGGTCACAGTGGCAAAAACAAAAGAAATTTTGTCAGCGCGATAACTTGAGATATACTTTACATATGAACTTCAAATTTGGTTTGTGGATTGTCCTTGGCAATTCTAAGAAGCCTTTTGCATTTGGGGCCGAAAGGTCTAGGTTCAAGGTCACAGTGGCTGAAACAATAGAAATTTTGTCAGCGCGATAACTTGAGAAATACTTTACATATGAACTTCAAATTTGGTTTGTGGATTGTCCTTGGCAATTCTAAGAAGCCTTTTGCATTTGGGGCCGAAAGGTCAAGGGTCAAGGTCACAGTGGCTGAAACAATAGAAATTTTGTCAGCGCGATAACTTGAGATATACTTTACATATGAACTTCAAATTTGGTTTGTGGATTGTCCTTGGCAATCCTAAGGAGCCTATCGCATTGGGGGTCGAAAGGTCCAGGGTCAAGGTCACAGTGGCTAAAACAATAGAAATCTTGTATTTATTCTGAGATCATAGGGATTAGGGATTAATTCATATAAAACCTACAGAAGACACTAATGCTGTCAATGAACGCTCCATTTGACCAAGGTACATGTAATTTGATGTTAGAGTGGTGTTATGTCATGGAAACAGTCACGGTTGCGGGGCATTTGTGTTTGTAAACACACCTGACTTGTTTTTTTATGAAATTTATTTTTGGGGGTTAGAATAACTTTTTTTTGGAGGGGGGGCTAAAGCCCCCCCTTGCCTCGCCCCATAGAACCGCCACTGCAAATACCACCCTCCTATTGTGCCCGCCCTACTTTAAAAAGGCTTATTGTTTAGTACTACTATAGATCTTAATTTTTGATGAGTTTTGTCAAATCAACCCCAGTCTCAATGAATCTCAATGGTGACTGTGCCTTGCATCATGTTTCTCTGCAGAGTTCCTTTGACTGCGCCTCTCTAGCTGTGGGCTCAACACTGAATGTAGTTGACATGATTCTGTCCAATCAGGTAAGAAATGAATGTCATGTAATCTTAAAGGGAAGATACAACATTTGCAAACATCACAAAACAAAATTATCAAATTATCACGAAACACCTTACTGGATGGTTTGGGAATAATAGTCTAAAGTATCCTGTAAAATCGTGGCTCCTGGTGCGCTGACATTTTCAAGAAAAATTGTATTTTTTCCAATGCTGGTCGGCCGACCAGCGTTGGAGAAAACTGCTCCTAATTTTTCATAATTAGTTATTCCGCATTTTCTTTGCAATTTATAACACACCTGTGAAGGGGTACAAGCCTGCTAGACTGATTCTCTGACCTTACAATTCCCCAAAGTCTACAAATTGCTCCGTTTCATCTTAACTGGGGTCAGGGAACCAGACTACAAGAACATGATTGGTTTTCTTGGTTTTTCCAGCATCTACAAGCCCACAACATGAAACAAGTAATTTTAACAATATTTGCTATAACATACTAATCCTCCAAATCCATTTATTTCTGAAAATTGCAGCAAAAGCAGATGTTGTACATTCCCTTTAAGCCACTTTAAACACTCATTTCACAGACAATTGTGTTTAACAAGTTTTTTAATGACCTCTATTACAAATGTTTCTAGGATTGAGCCATTACCTTTGTGTTCCTACTCACAATATTTTCATATTTTACATTCATAATTGGGTCATTCCGTGTCAAATCAACACGCTTTTGGACCCGACCCTCACAGATTGAAACGATATTTGGTGTGATGATTGGCCTATATGAGAAACCCCCAGAACTGAATTTTTTTGAAAATTGACTCGTTAGTTTTTGCGATACGGGTCAACGAACTTTTGACTAATTAGCATGACCTCCGAACTTTAAATACTTGTATCTCAAAAACTATAGTGCCTACAAAGCCAAGTTGTACATCATATTAAAGTTCTTTGAATGGCCTCCATTTCATAAAATAAAACCAAAATCGTAGCATGAAGTGCAGAGAAAATACGTAACAAAATGACCTTTGACCTCGAATTACGAAAAACAATATGCTTCAAATTTTGTAATTTTTTTTCAACTGTTAGTTTATGATGTCAGCAACAATCTTAAAAAAAAATTGGGATGGGCGTTCTTAAAGTTTTTAAGTTATGATTTTTTGAAAAAAGCCTGTACATCAAAAAGTATGCATAATATTAAATGTACATGTACATGTTCATGTATATGTATACTTGTACTGTGTACATGTACATGTGCACATTTTACCTGTGCATCATGTTTGCCCTTTACAACCGCATAGTCTCAACTCATTAAGGGCAGAACAAAATTACTTATAAACAAGTCAGGTGTGTTTACAAACACAAATGCCCCGCAACCGTGACTGTTCCTTTGACATAACACCACTCTTTTAACATCAACTTACACGTACCTTGGTCACATGGAACGTTCATTGACAGCATTAGTGTCTTCTGTAGGTTATATATGAATTAATCCCTAATCCCTATGATCTCAGAATAAATACAAGATTTTTATTGTTTTAGCCACTGTGACCTTGACCCTTGACCTTTGGACCCCAATGTGATAAGCCTATTTGGATTACCAAGAACGATCCACAAACCAAATTTGAAGTTCACATGTAAAGTATTTCTCAAGTTATCGCGCTGACAAGATTTCTTTTGTTTTAGTCACTGGGACCTTGACCCTTGACCTTTCGGCCCCAAATGCAAAAGGGTTCTTAGGATTACCAACAACAATACACAAACCAAATTTGAAGTTCATATATTAAGTATTTCTCAAGTTATGGCGCTGACAAGATTTGTCCGGACACACACACACACCCACCCCGGTTTACGTTACATACCTTGTGTGGACATTCCTTTGTTTTCGTGTAGTTAAGAAAACTCGATACAAAAAATAACGTTACTTAAACTGTGAAAACTCTTTTAACCCATTTTTTTTCTATGATTCCCTATAGTGTTTCTCTTCATTCTGCTACCGATAAACCTAACCCAAAAATGCCTCTAAACCTGTTTTCCAGAAAGGGCAAAACGTTATGTGGACACGGCTTAGTCCACATAACGTTAACACAACCTGCATTATGTGGACATCTTTTGTTCACAAGTCCACATAGGGAATGTAAGACAAACTCACCCACACACACCCACCCACCCACGGAAGGACAAGGCGGAAACAGTATGCCCCTTCGGCTTCGCCGCGGGGCATAAAAATTTGTTATACCAGTCTACGTTACTTTCATTTTTCGCTCAACCAAAGTCTGTGTTGCAGTGTTCATCTTCCCGGCGGAGATCTTGTATACGCGTCCTGTTTCAGTGACCGGTTCCACTGCTGTTAATACATCCATGCCGTGAATTACAAGTGTGTCTGGTCGATAGGGGAACTTGAAAGATGGAGATGGCCCATGGGGATGAAGGAAACTCAGTTCCACTTCTTGGGATGCTGGAAGGATCTCCTGAACACATGCTAGCCACCAGTAACAGTCATACATCACTGTAACATACCCCTTGATATCTGCAAAATCAATACATGCAGTTTGTCCATGGACTTGGAGGCAAACTGGTTCCTCTCTTGAGTCTGAGGAGGAGGAAAAATCACGCACCTTAATATTGTCTTTAGACATCGGACAAAAACAGTGCAGCTTTTGTGTTCCTGGAATGGTACGTGCAATTTGGAACCTTTGCCTGAGAATAACCGCTTCATTCTTCATCTCCGCCGAGGAGATGAACACTGCAACACAGACTTTAGTTGAGCGAAAAATGAAAGTAATGTAGACCGGTATAACATATTTTTTATAAGTAGTTTTGTTCTGCCCTTATGTGTTGAGACTATGCGGTTGTAAAGGGCAAACATGATGCACAGGTAAAATGTGCACATGTACATATACACAGTACAAGTATACATACATGTACATGTACATGTACATTTAATATTATGCATACTTTTTGATGGACAGGCTTTCTTCAAAAAATCATAACTTAAAAACTTTAAGAACGCCCATCCCAATTTTTTTTTAAGATTGTTGCTGACATCATAAACTAACAGTTGAAAAAAAATTACAAAATTTGAAGCATATTGTTTTTCGTAATTCGAGGTCAAAGGTCATTTTGTTACGCATTTTCTCTGCACTTCATGCTACGATTTTGGTTTTATTTTATGAAATGGAGGCCATTCAAAGAACTTTAATATGATGTACAACTTGGCTTTGTAGGCACTATAGTTTTTGAGATACAAGTATTTAAAGTTCGGAGGTCATGCTAATTAGTCAAAAGTTCGTTGACCCGTATCTCAAAAACTAACGAGTCAATTTACAAAAAAATTCAGTTCTGGGGGTTTCTCATATAGGCCAATCATCACACCAAATATCGTTTCAATCTGTGAGGGTCGGGTCCAAAAGCGTGTTGATTTGACACGGAATGACCCAATTACCAAAGACAGTTTACCCATTCCTCTTGTTCGAGAGCCTATCGCGTGGCCGGTCTTAAACGGATGATAAAGACAGGCTGGCTGGTCTGAAACACTTTCAAGTGTCCATGAAATTTGGACTCCTATGAAATCCAGTGCCTTTTAACGTTGTATTGGTTGCACATTCACAATTCTCATGTAGGCATGCGCAATACTACCAGTGAGTCAGTATTCCATAGTCTGAAATCGCACGGCCACAGCTGCATTCTGTGCGACATCGCGCAGTGCTTGCGACGCGCGTGTCAATCTCCATAAAAGGAGTTGTTTACAACTTACTTGCGAGCTGCACACTCCATTATGGGCTTTTCTGAAAAGATTTAATAAAAGTGTTTTCTTTGTTCTTTCTTTTTCTAGGCTCGAAATGGTGTGGCCATAGTGAGGTGAGTTGAAAACTTGCTCTCTCTGAAATTATGGAAATCGTTAATTTTGCAACCTCCCTCACTTTTGGCAAAATTTAATTTTTTAGTAATTTAGTATTAGAAGCCATTACCGAGGCACTGTGCTCGTGTGTGCAGGTCTAATACACACACACTCAGTGGCCTTTCATCAGGAGGTTGTGGGTTTGAGTCCCATCCGAGTAAGCTTGTGAATATTTTAATCACAGGCCCTCCGAAAACACTGAATGTATAGTGTTTATGACTTTGACGTCAGTGAAGGGTAAGACTTAATATTGAATTTACCAATCGGGTTTTCATCTTACACCCACGCCTCACATTAAAAGATGTGTGCGATATGCGAGTGAGCACTCTGCCCCTCAGTAATGGCGGTTCCCAAGTGTCTAAATGATCGCAGGCCGAGTTTTCGAGATCGAGTGTGATTTTGTTACCGCCTGCGTGATTTCCATTATGATAATATATAGACTGGTTCCCAATTGTATATATACAAGTGCATTCCTAATGATAGTGGAGAGTCAGGAACCAGGGTATGCATAATTTCCATTATAATTTCCGATCGATCATGAAGGAACTGGGGCGGAAACCTGTGTGATTAATATGCATCATGTGACAATGATTTGTCGCGCTCAATCTCGAAAGAACCTGCAAGCGATCAAATTACACAGATATATATACTGCAGGTTTTGTTGTTCCTAAAGCAGAACATGAATTCGTATTCTGCCTGAGTCCCACAAGACCGGGGTCTAAAATCTCCTGAGGCTGAAGCTGGAGAGATATCTGCTCTTTCCAATCTTCTCCTTTTCCCACAAACAGCAAATCTTTGCTTCTCTTGTTGATTTTCAGACCACCGGGCCACCATGCAGAAGCCCACACTGCTATGGGGTTCTGCTTTTTCAACACTGTGGCACTAGCAGCACGATATGCCCAGCGCAAGTTTGGACTGAAAAGGTAAGGACAAATACAGAGTTAATGCATGATTGAAGACCACTAAGACAGTTGTGTTTTAAACCTTAGTTCCTGAATGGCCCCAAACCATCCTACCTGTCACTATCTTTACCACCCAAAACTATGGCAATTTTGCCTGTTACTCCTTGTACTGTACTGCCCCAAACTGCCCTGCCTTGTACTCCCTGTACTACCCCAAATTGCCCTGCCTGTTACTCCCTGTACTATCCCAAAACTGCCCTGCCTGTTACTCCCTGTAGTATCCCAAACTATCCTACCTGTCGCTCCCTGTACTACCCCAAACTGCCCTGCCTGTCACTCCCTGTACTACCCCAAAACTGCCCTGTACGCACTCCCTGTAGTATCCCAAACTGCCCTGCCTGTCACTCCCTGTACTACCCCAAACTGCCCTGCCTGTCACTCCCTGTACTACCCCAAACTGCCCTGCCTGTTACCCCCTGTACTACCCCAAACTGCCCTGTCTGTTACTCCCTGTACTACCCCAAACTGCCCTGCCTGTTACTCCCTGTACTACCCCAAACTGCCCTGCCTGTTACTCCCTGTACTACCCCAAACTGCCCTGCCTGTCACTCCCTGTAGTATCCCAAAACTGCCCTGCCTGTCACTCCCTGTACTACCCCAAACTGCCCTGCCTGTTACTCCCTGTACTACCCCAAACTGCCCTGCCTGTTACTCCCTGTACTACCCCAAACTGCCCTGCCTGTTACTCCCTCTACTGCCCCAAATTGCCCTGCCTGTCACTCTCTGTACTGCCCCAAACTGCCCTGCCTGTTACTCTCTGTACCACCCCAAACTGCCACTGTCTGTATCACTTGTCTCTTTATCCTGTGGTTATAGTAGCCCAATCCAAGAGAATTTATGAGAAGTTCCAGGCAATTAAACTGTCAAAATACGTACCAGCTGCCATCCAAATGTGATTAAGTTTTAAATTGGCCTTGACCTAGGCTGTCAAACTAATAACGTCTGGTCATCACTGGATCTGAGCGAGCTGTTGATTCCGGTTGGTCTGACATGTCTGATGTTCTCGTTGTTCAGACCCGCTACTTGTCCTGATGAATGCAAAGGAATATGTCTTAGTAAAATGAGATAAAACCTGAAAATGTAAACACCTTGACCCAAGGGGGGGGGGGCGGACCCCTCAACTTTTTCCATGATACCTTTGCACAAAAAATGTTCCCGACCCAAGCTTTCATGATGGTAAATTGTAAATTTTTCACATCTATACATTTATTGGCAGAAACCTGAAATAACTGACAAATAGCAATCCGACTTTTGTGACACTTTAGTAAGCCCAACTCGGAAATAAAAAGTATATATGTTGAGCAATAAGACAAAATACATTGTGATGTCAAAGAAAGTTCAGTTTTTTGTCTGACTATACATGTATGCAATTCTCAGAAATTGACCCCTGTAAGAATTCTCACCTGCCTGCTATATTACATCAAGTCCGTTCACCTGGGCAGTCTTGAAAGACAGGTGCCATCAAATCAGATTTATTCCTAATCCTGGGCACACTGTTAGGCAAATTTCATGTTAAAAATGCTCCAATGGCTGCATCGATACGTCTGGGTTAGCAATCATGATTCACCATTACATTCTAACCTAATGTCTTTTGTGAGGAGGAATTTAGTGAGTTCTTTTAAAGCTACAGTCCATCATTTGTAATTTGTGCATTTTGTTCGTTTGAAGCAACAAAAGTGCTCAAGATCTAAAGAAGGGTGCCGAACAACTAACCTGATAAAGTTTCAGCTCAGCTTTAGCTGTATATTTCGAGAAAACAGCATTCTAAGATCTCAATTTTAAATCAAAAGTTACTGAATCATGTTTTGAATTGCAGCTATATGCGACGTAGCGCACTGATCCGACGAATTATAACAACCGCGCGCGCGTGTGCGTCATTCCAATACTTGTGCGCGCTGCGCTGAATAACAAAACAAACTACTAATTTAAATTTTCCTACGGTGCTTCTTAAGAATCACCGTTGGAAATGCCTTCTTTCGTTGATTACTTCAAAATGACAGCTTCCCAGAAAGAATAATTTCACAGGGAGTTTAGTTCCCTTACTATCTTTCAACCAAGTTTGTTTTTCAAAAATAATTACGCCAGTTAGTTACTTTTCGGATGGCTGCAAATGATGGACTATAGCTTTAATTGGAATGAACTCTGGATTATTTCAGGGCACGACCTTGTAACATTTTTTGACCTCCGTACTCCACCATGGATCCTTGTTCTCTTCTGCGCAAGATAATGAAAATGAAATGTGAAAATGAAAGCCATCAAAGCGTTATATTTGCCCTTACCTTTACAAATAAAACTCACAGTTATAGTGTTATAGTATAACAAGCTGCCCCTTCCAAAAACAAACAAAAGTTGCTTCTAAGATCCCTAAAAGAAAATTGGGTTTGTTTATATAAAATAACAAAATTGTAATCATACCTGAATCTCCCTTTGTTTCTGCTCAATAAAGCAATCAAATGAAATCATGATTTGGACATTTGGAAAATTTTCAAAGATTTTGTATTGATTGTATTGTGTTAATGAATGGGCAGAATTTTTGCTCATTGTTTTCATGATAACTTCGGTTTTCTTGTAGTATGCATTCAGTATTTCCAGTTTTATGTTACCCTGCATGGTTAACATTTGCAAACATGAAAAAAAAAACCCAAATTATTATGAAATACATGTACCTTATACTGGACTGTTTCAAAGTGAATATTAGTCTCAAGCATCCTGTGAAATCAAGGCACCTGGTGTGCTGTCATTTTCAAGGAAAGCGAAATGTTTATATCAATTTCCAACCATGGACGGCCAACCATCATTGGAAAAAACGGAGTTAATAAGTAGTTCACATTTTGTTTGCAATCGGTTATACATGTACATCTGTGAATGGGTGCTAGCCAGCTAGCCTGGTTCCCTGACCTGACAAGTCCTGTAAATTGCTCTGTTTCGTCTGAATTAGTGTCAGGGAATCAGACTACAAGATTAGCATTTTTTTCTTGGGTTTTTCAGCATCTATTGAAAACAAAACTTCAAACAGTTCAGTGTAACAATATTTGCTATAAAATACTATACCCCAAATTCCGTCCAACTCTGAAAATTAAATGTTGTATATTACCTTTACATGTAATTCAACAAAATGTTTCGTTTCCAACAATTGTTTTTCTTCACATTAATCCGTTGTCCCCCCCCCCCCCACACCTCCCCTGAAACCTAAGGGTCCTCATTCTTGACTGGGATATTCACCATGGCAACGGTACCCAGCATGCCTTTGAGTCAGACCCCAGCGTTCTCTACATATCCCTGCACCGCTACGAGAACGGGATGTTCTTCCCTTCCAGCCCCGACGGTGCCCCGGACGTGACCGGCCAGGGGGAAGGGGAGGGATATAATGTCAACATTGCATGGAACGTGGTAAGTATTGAAGCAGTATTAGTATAATTATAATGTAGATTTTGTAAAGCACACTTGTACAGGGCGAGTCAAAAAAAAGGAAACCCAAAAAGCAGGACCCATTTTGGAATGAAGTTCTGCATGTAGCACTTTCAAAATCTAGGATATGAAAGCCCAATTAATAAGCTTTCTTTTACCTTAGTACAAGAATCATTCAAATCACTCTTTTCCCTTTCAAATTACGGGATTTTAAACACTGTTTTAAAGTTCTGTCCACGGATCACTCAAAAAAGGTAAGTGTTCTTTCAGCAGAACAAAAACTATTCATGTACGTCCCTATGTGAATTGTTTTTGTTTTGCTGAAAGAACAGATTTTGAAAGTGCTACATGCAGAACTTCATTGATAAATTAATTTCCTTTTTTTTTTTAACTCACCCTGTATACGTCTTCAGGGCGCTACATCATTATTAGCCCTGCTCATCATCGGGCCCATAAAATGTTGCAATGATGATCTCAGCATCCCGGGGAGTATACAGTTGGATGCAGCCAATTTGGCACAAATTAAAGCAGCAAAATTCAATCACGGTAACCATCTGTGCTCTCACAGGTACCTATTTTACTCCTGGGTGGAGAGAAGCAATTAGTGGCAGAGTGTCTTGCCCAAGGGCACACGCATCACAAGCGCAGGCTGGACTGGAACACACAGCCACAATCTACAGATCTTGAAGAGTTCAATGCTCCAGACCACAAGGCCACGCCGCAATGAGTAATGTCAAAACAAAAGCATGAATAACAGTAGTGAAATACCATTGAAAAATATACAGGTTCAAACTGTTAGGCCAAAAAAACCCAATACTCGGTCTTTGGTCAGCGCGCTCGTCGATTTTTATCATTCACATCAATCTTTCTTTTCCCCAAATTTTCCACGGTAGCTACAGCAGCGATCTCTATTGCCGCACCAACTCAAATGTTTGTACCAAGGAGCAGCAAGGAATGGGGACATTGCTCAAAGGCAAATGATGGAGGGCACCAAGGCAAATGATGGAGTATACCAATGTATATGAAGACACAAAAAAGCAAAATAGTCTGTACAATCCAAGCTTGACAAAAAAGAAAAACAAAGCGTCGCCGCATCAATTCCGTAACTTTGGTCTGACCTGAGACCGATTATTTTGTTTTTGGCCTAAATCATTCCAGTGAATGTCTTTGTTCAACTGGCAACAATTTGTTTTCCTTGTGCCTGTACTGGAAGAAAACAAACAAACAAACAAACAAACACCCCAACATGTTTGTCCCTATTTCTGTCTCTACATAAATCTCACGGTTTTTGGCTTCCCCTCACTGATCAAAGATGAATTGGTTTCCATAGCAACACATCTCTTGTTAGGCAACACTCTTAAATCATGTCCAGCAGGACTTAAATTTACAAATTCCAGAAAATATTGTTTGATCCCTTTAAATAGTTCCTGAGGTAGTACCGTTGAATTATTTTTATGTTTTAATGTTTGTTCTCGTCAACAAATTCCAGAAAATATTGCTTGTTCCCATTTAAATGCTTCCAGAGGTAGTAACTTCGAATTATTTTTATGTTATATTTGGTTATTTTTTTCAGATATTTTGTGTGAAAGTTTAACATGAGCTATTGGTAAATTGTACAGAAAGTCTAAATTCTCTTTACCATTCCATTTGTCGTGTCAAAATTTGGCATTCTGTTTTAAAGGTAGAGCACCTTAGTTGTCATTTGTGCATTTTTTTCGTTTGAAGCAACAAATTGCACAAACTCTAAAGAATGTGCTTAACAACTAACCTGATGAAGTTTCAGCTCAGTGAATGCTGTCTTTTCCGATAAAAACAATATTCCAGGATCTTGTTGTCAATTCAAAATTTGCCTGGCCATGTTTTGAAGTGCACCCAAAATCAGCGTCCAGGACACGTTCTCATTTCGAATAATAGCAACCGCTCCTGCATGTATCGTGTGGTGCGTGCACCTATTCAACAAACTACTAACGGAAATTTCCAAAAAATGAGTCTTGAGACGCACCATTGGAAAAGGCCTTCTTTTATTTATTTTTTTCGTCAAAATGACAGCTTGCCAGAAAGATTACTTTCACATGGAATTTGGTACCATTAACATTATTAAATCAAGTTTTCAAAAATAAGTTTGTCAGTTACTTTTTGGATAGCTGCAAATGATGTACTCTATTTTTAAAGTTTTTATCTTTGAAGTTAAATTTCAAGTATTGCATTATCATGCATAGTTCTCGTCCATTAAAATTCCCAAAGAAATTCACAGACAAAAAACCCAATCGAACCAATTCTTGGTTATGACTGCTTCTGACCGCCATAACACATCCGTGGTACGGTAGTCAGGATGTCGCAGGTTCAAATATTGCTCCAGTTAATTTCTATGCTCAACTTGAAATTAAATAATATTCCTCTTTCCCACAGGACTCAATGGGGGACGCAGAATACATCGCTGCGTTCACTCAGATTGTCATGCCCATAGCGTATGAGGTAAGGAGTAATATTTATGAATTAAAATACATGCTTGAGTGCTCGGGGAGGGGGAGGGGAATGTTTACACTCTCTCCAATAGTTTCTCTTAACTACTTCACGCCAGGATTATTTTTGCGAAAGGCAAAATTTTCCAACCAACTTCTGATAAACAGCCAAAATGCCACAAAGACTGATTCGCAAGAGTCATTTCAACAGTTTTTGTACAATAGTTCTTGCTAAAACCTCATGGTTCCATACACCGGGGTGTGCACTGGAGCGTAAATTGTACAGCAATAGGCCTTGCACAACGGCTAAATTCAAGATCAACACACGGTCCGCATTCACAGACGTTGTGTGTGTGGACAAAGGCTCGAGGGATTAGCGTGTTTAGACGTCACCTGGAGGCGAGTCGAGGCAATCTTGACGTCTTAACCTGTCAGCCGTGCCTGTTTTTAAGAACAGTAAGTGGTTGTCCTCCGACGTGAACTGGTAAATTGGGCTTTTGAGCCTCAGTCAGCAGATGAACCACCATGAGCATCTCCACAATGAAGAGCACCACCTATTGTCCTACAGTGTCCAAGGTTGTGAGCTATGAACAATGCCTTCAATAGTCGGATGGTTTCCATCGCTTTTCTCCCCACACCACCACTGACCCACCCCTGACCACCCCCTCCCAATGCTTTATTATATTTTGAGACGTCTAGCTGACTGGCCAACAAATTCCTGGCTACCTTCCAGTACAGAAGAGTCAGCAAATTTGTTGTTCCAACCCCAATCAAACTGGTCCTGCTATGCCCCTGACTGCAGATTTGATTGTTAAAATAGTGGCAATTGTTTTTATTTGTTGTAACAAAAAACTTTGTCATTACATTTATGTGCTTCTTTGAACAAAACTTAATTTGGTTTAATTTAGAAGGTTCAGAAATCAGACAGTTTGTGCCCTTCTGAATTCTTAACTGATATTTGGGAAAAACTATTCAACCACGTATCAGTGATACTAAAAGAAACAAAATCAATCCTACCGGTATAGGATTTCTTTTTCTTGCGTTCTTGAACCAGTTTGCATCGGAGGACGTGATAACACGCACTGGCTGTTTTTGTACACAGGCACGGCTGACGAGTTAAAATTGCCAAGATTGCCCCGACTCATACATGTATAAACATGCTTATCCCTCGTGCCTTTTGTACACACTCACAAAGTCTGTGAAGTTTGTAGAGGCGGACCGTGTGTTGATCTTGAATTGGCCGTTGTGCACGGCCTATTGTTGTATAATTTACACTCCAGTGTACACCCCAGATTATTGAAACATGAGGTTTCGGCAAGAAATATCGACCAAATAGTGTTGAAATGACTCTTGTGAATCAGTATTTTGTGGCATTTTGGCTGTACATGTGTATCAGAAGTTGGCTGGAAAATAATGCCTTTTGCGAAAAATCGAAAGTTTCGGCGAAAAATAATCCCGGCGCGAAGTGCTTAATATTCCACTGATGGTCCTCCCCTTTTTTTTCTTCAAAAAGTGATTGTTATTTGTGTGGAAAAGGTTCCCTTTTTCGGTATGCTTGTTGCTCAACCCATGCTCTTCAACATACTCAATTTGTTTCTCCTGACTGATTTAAAGGTACATTTAATATACAGCAGTTGCAAACATCAAAAAAATAAAACTACCAAATTATTATGAAATTCCACACTTGACTTTAAGTGAATAATAGTCTCAAATGAGACTGTGAAATCACCTGGCACTTAGTGTGCTGTCATTTTCGAGAAAAGTGGGAATTTTGTATCAATTTCCAACGATGGACTGCCGACTGTCGTTGGGAAAAAAAAGACCTCTTTCCAATACTTCCCCCATTTACCAAAGTTAGTTAGTCCACATTTTGTTTGCAATCGGTTCCACATCCGTGAACAAGAAAAGTTGTTTTTTAAATTTCGGGCTATCCCAACAGTTCTGAATCCTCCAATTTCAATATAATTTTGCACACCCCCTAGGGAGTTGGGGTTAATTTGCCCCAAAGAGCACAGCAGACAGCCTGTAATATTGTCAGATCACGACTAATTAGAATTTGTCGAGGGTAATTCCAGCATCACAAGAGGAAAGATAATGTCTTTGACAGAGCTAATTATCCATGATTTCTAATTGATGGTTCAGGGAAGTGGTCCAAAATGCATAGTCAGTAATCTTCTTGATCACTAGCTACATGTAGATGATGGATGGTAACTGTATGAGATTTGAAAAGTACACTTTCAGGTTTGTTATTAATTAAGCTCTTAAAAGCTCTGTCACCGATGTTTTTTAAAATGATGGAATTGCCCGAAAGGAAATACATTGTAATACCCTAACTAAAAGTGAATCACTTTTGCGTTGCTAGAGAGGTTCCAATAAAAACAAAACTAATTTTTGGGAGAAACTCGATAATAGCACTAGGGGAGCAATTTTATGGAAATAAGACTTTTATGACTTATATAATGTAGAAGTAGATTAATTATTAATTCATAAATACCTCAGACAGTTTAGCCATTCCTATTGGTCGAGAGCCCGTCACGTGGCCGGTCTTAAACGGATGATAAAGACATGGCTAGCTGGTCTTAAACACTTTTCCAGTGTCGCAATAAAATGTAGACCCCTAAAAATCCAGTGCCTCTTACCGCTTCATTGGTTGAACGTTCACAATCCTCACGTAGGCATGCGCAACACCACCAGCGAGTCAGAATTTTATAGTTCTAAATTCAAAACGCAACGCGCCAGGTGCGTTCTGTGCGACATCGCGCAGAACATGCCACGCGCGCGTCAATCTCCATAAAAGGGCTGTTTACATCTTACTCGCCAGCTGAACACGCCATTATTTTGCTAGAGGGATGTTTCAAAAAGCATGAAGTGAACTTGTTGAACAAATCGGTATTTTTTGAACGAATTATTTGATATTTTTTAACAAAAAGGTATTTATGAATGGGAATAAATGTGTGCTCAGTCGGTATTTATCACTCTGTTTAAGACCACTTAGAGTCTGGGTGCTGATAATTACCCTCGCCTCCGGCTCGGGTAATTATCAGCACCCAGACTCTAAGTGGTCTTAAACAGAGTGATAAAAACCTCCAGAGCACACATTTATTCCCTTATTAATGAATACAAAATAGTAAGCATTCATGCTGCACTATGAAACTGCTGAATGAATGGCGAGTTGAAAATTGTTAAATAATTAAAGGTTTGCGGAAACACCATGTGCGAATAATTTCACAACTAAGAGAATGGTTCTGAAAAGAACCAGAGGTATAAACTGGACGTTCCGGTCAGTATGCTCTGACCATCTTCAGGAGAATAACGTTTCTCCTGAAGACGGTCAGAGCATACTGACCGGAACGTCGAGTTTGTACCTCTGGTTCTTTTCAGAACCATTCTTTTAGTTGAGAAATTATTCGCACATGGTGTCCGCAAACCTTTCATTATTTAGTATCTCCACCATGCAAAGCCTCAAATCTTACTTATTGAAAATTGTTTGTTTATGTATAAACCTGACATAATTGCATATAAATTTCCAGTAATAACATTACTCAAATTCCAAAGCAGAATGTGTAAAACCTAACCTGTTGAAGTTTCCGCTCAGTGGATATTACACTTTTCAAGAAAGCAGTGAAAAACCTAGGAACAACCATTCGATCACGAAACCTGATTTCATTAATAACACTCGGTATTCCAACAATCAGTCAATTGGCTGATCTTTGGAAATCAGTTGCACTTCTCGAGTTCTTCGAAATGACAGCAAGCCAGAGGAATAATTTTAAGGGGTGTTTAGTACCAGTATGATTTTTAATAATCCAACTAAATATTTTAATAATAATTCGGCAGTTTACTTTTGGGAAAACAAAATGTATGCAAATGATCCTATATGCCTTTAAAAGGAAGATACAACATTTGCAAACATCAAAAAACGAAATGATCTAATTATCATGAAATATCTAACTGGATTGTTAGGGAATGACAGTCCAAAGCAAGTCGTGGCTCCTGGTGTGCAGATATTTTCAAGAAAACTTGTATTTTCCAACGCTGGTCGGCCAACCAGCAGTGGAAAAAACTGGCTCTTTTTCAAAAACTGCTCCTAATTGTTAATATATTTAGTTATTCCACATTCTTTTTTTCAATTGATTACACACCTGTGAAATGGTACAAGTCTGCTAGACTGATTCTCTGACCTTACAATCCCCAAAGTCTATAAATTGCTCCGTTTAATCTTTAGGTGGGTCAGGGAACCACACTACAAGAACATGATTGGTTTCTTGGATTCTCCAGCATCTCCGAACCCAAAACGTGAACCAAGTCAGTTGAACAATATTTGCTATAACATACCGGGGTACTAATCTTCCAAATCCATTTATTTCTGAAAATTGCAGCAAAAGCAAATGTTGTACATTCCCTTTAAAACGTTGATTGAAAATGGATGATTTTGACCATCACAATCTGGACTTTGAATTTTTGAAGCTCTCCGTATTAACTCAGTATCTGTGTATGGTGGTGTGCCGTTGTGTGGAACACCGTCTTTGCATAATGGTGTATCTCTAGTCTTATCTGTGTACCGATTCAATAAGGCAGAGACCAGATGTTAAAATTCGTCTTTATCAGTTTCCCTTTGAACAAGCACGTTGGATTGAATAGTTTGCTGCCTCCATCAATACGTCTGCAGCTGTTCATTGTAAAACAAAACAAAACAACAGCTAACCGCGCGCCACACTATCAAATGATTATTTCCTGACCCGTGCCCAATTCAATAAATATTTGAAGAGGAGTCATTGCATATTTTCAGTTCAGCCTTTTGTTTGCAAAGCCAGGCAGGAGGGAGAAACAACTAGAAGTTAATCAAATAAGAGCCAGTCTGTTCCATCGCATGCGGTCAGCAAACTTCGTTAAAAATCCAAGTCTGGAAATAAAGAGAAAGCTGAAATTGAATTACATCGCATTTTGGTTTTGCTCAGTTTCTGAGCAAGATGCCATATTTGAAGGACAACATAAACATTTATTGTAATCAAAACAACATATCTGATCAAATTATAATGAAAACAATTCTTGCTGTAAGTTATTTTGGTCAAATAAAAACAATCAGGTATTCTATCTGGTATGTTAATATATTAAAAAGAAAGTACCCGGCATTTTTCAACTAATTTTTTTTTTATATAAAAAGATTTCTGTAAAATTTTAAATACAAGAAAATGCAAAATTTCCAGGTATGAGACTTGTCAGACTTTTTGAATCTGAGAGAAAGACTAAACCAGTATCTGGTTTGTTGGTAACAACGTCACACACGCACGCGCACACATGTTTGTTTTACATACGCTATGTGGACATTCCTTTGTTTTCGTGTAGTTAAAAAAACTCGGTACAAAAAATAACTTTACTCAAACTGTGAAAACTCTTTCAACCCAATTTTGTTTTTCTATGAATCCCTTTAGTGTTTCTCTTCATTTTGCTACTGATAAACCTAACCCAAAAATGCCTCTAAACCTGTTTTCCAGAAAGGGCGAAACGTTATGTGGACACGGCTTAGTCCACATAACGTCAACACAACCTGCATTATGTGAACATCTTCTGTTCACAAGTCCACATAGTGAATGTAAAGACAAACTCACCACTGTAGATTGCTAGCGCCCATTGGATAACCACTCAGGTTGTGTTAGCTTCCGGTTCCAATGGTTCCTATGCTACTTAATGTGAAGTGGGCGTGGTTTAAACTGAACTGACGTGACACTCACAAACCGGATAGCTCCGCTACTCTGGTTCATTAGTAAAAACGTCACACACGCGCGCACCACTGATAACTAGCACCCATTGGTTAAACACTCGAGACCTGTGGGCTAACTTCTGGTTCCATTCATGTTATGCTACACCGTGTGAAGTACGCATGGTTGAATTGAGATGACGTCACACTAACGAATCGGATAGAAAGAAGTACATCTTTTCAGACCTTCCTCCAATTTTCAGAATTTTTTTTTTTTTAATTGACAATCTCATCCCTGAATTTCACATTGAGTGATACCATTCTTGCTCTCCCAAAAATCAGTGATAATTTTTAAGATAATACACATGTCAACATGTACAACAAGTAACCATTGCCGGTAATTTATGTTAGGGGTATTTAAGACAATGAGAGTATAACATCGCCCCAAAATGGAAGGGTTGGTTCATGTATATAGGGTGAGTCAATAAGAAAGTGACCTGGATTAGTAATGGTTTTTTTTATCACAATACACCAATAAAATACGTCTTAAAAGAGCATGTTCTTCCACTCAGCTGAAAAAAAAAAGAATTACAAAAATTGATTCATGCTATCAGAAGTTAGGCATGTTTTTACTAAAAGAACTATATTTCATAGCTGTCCATGGATTGCCATTGGAAGCTATTGAGCTGAGTGAGAATTACATATTATAAATACAAATGCAAATGAGATTTTAATCATTTGAATCAAGACTGAAACATTATGTTTACTTCGGAGTTTGTTTTTTGAATATGAGGAGCAATTCAAGTTAGTCAACTCCTTTTTCCCTGAAATATTGATGGCGATTTTTAGTTATTCATCAGTATATTTATCGGTAAATGATCAGTGGTAGACAGCTGAATTTTGTGATATTTTTATTAAAAAATATAGACATACCTGTAACTTGAGAATAGAGTATGCAAATGACGTGAAATTTTCACAGACTAGTTAATAACATGTTCTTTATCCCTATGTTATTTTCATGCAACGGAGGGAGCCACTATTTTTAGAAATTTTTTTTTCTTCTAATTCGGTCACTTTCTTTTGGTAACACACTGAGTATACAGTGTTTATACGTCGGTGAAGGGCAAAACCTAATTTGATTTACATCACCCCGACACAAAAATTCCATCTTATGAACACATTCTTTTGACTCACCCTGTATGTATACATTTTGAGGACAACTGACATGAGTAGATACTAGACATGCTTGTAAGAAGGTACTTCATTATATCCTTACAAGCATTCCGGACCTGTAAAATGTACATTGGGTTATTTTGCACTTCCAATAAGTGGAATGTACATGTATGTCAATAAAATTTAAAATGTGACCGGCTCTACAAAAAAGGGTATTATGTCGCAAAAAAAGTGAAATTGAGTAATATACATGATTGTAAAGCCCACAACTTAAGTTTTCATTTGGTACATAATAGAGCCCCACAGCCCCTCCCAATCAGGAGATATGATGTATTTGCATATAAATAACTTCCTTGGAGTTCAAATTACACAACTGAGAAAACAGGCTTTGAAATAGCTGGCTTTGCTGTAGAACAACAGAACAATGCACACAAAATGGTTGTTTTTTCCACTTTATTCTATTCATCGAAATCATCATTTCTGTGAATGAACCCTGAAACTGTAGGTAATAAAGATGTCAGTCATGACAAAAAATTAAAATCACATTTTGACAAAATGTTCAACCTCTCAATGTTGAGCGGGCCATTACACAATAATGCACAGTGCGACTTAATACCCTTTTTGGTGGAGCCGGTCACAAATACAAGTTTTATTGCCTATAAAATAAAACAATGAAAAACAAACATACAAGTGCCTATGGAACTACATGTACACCCAGGATTTTGATGGTCAGTCAGGTTACTAGAAACCCAGGATGTTTTTTTTGTTTGTCTAAATTGGTTATCGCTTCTTCATTTGTTTTTCTTTATATAGTACAGTCCTGAATTGGTGCTTGTGTCCGCCGGTTTCGACGCTGCATGTGGAGATCCCCTGGTAAGAACGCAAATCAGACATTTGTAGAATTGAAATCACTGAGCAGGATTATACTCTAACGGTCAAATTGTTATCTTACGCCAAAAAAAAAAAAGTCTCCGGTTTCTGGTATGCACGCGCGTCGCCGTAGCCATGCGCGTCGGCAAAATGAAAAAGTTTTTTTTTCAATGAAAGATGATGTCTCAAAACCGCCAAACTCACTGGTTTGACTGGAATCCTGCTGCTGCACAATTTTAACGTGTTTTTAGATTGGGTTATGGTCGAGAATAAGCTTTATGTGGCCTCTCTGGACTCCCATATATTTGCACTAAGTTTAGTCGGGCACCATTTGCAGTCATCAGCCGACATTTGAAGCAAAAAATCAGGTAAAAAAAAAAAACAGCCGCGTCGCCGCACCACTTTTTGGGCAAGCTCCATACCAGAAACCGGAGACTTTTTTTTTTGGCCTAATACCTTTCTCTCGATGTAATTTACTCAAGTGAATCAACTGCATTCCTTAGTCAAATCACGGAGTGTACGCGTCCTCACGTGTTTACAATGCGTACTGATGTAGTCCTGTAGTAGTTTTGCTAAGTGGTTTTTGTTTCCTTTACTGAAAAAACTAGGACATCTGAAAGGTGGTCCAGGTGAATGGTGCTCTCTTCTGTGTCTTGCTAAGTTTAGGTGTCCATTTGATAGATCTTGTTCAGTAACTGTTTCTTTGTTTGCTTGTTATTTTACACGCTCCCTGAGAGGTTTTCCATCCAAAAATTCAATTGCTGTACCTTGTGTAAATACCTGTTGTGTTTCTATGTGGTAGATTTTGCTTGCTTAACTCTTTCAGTGCCCGCGAAATTTGAAAAGTTTAACCCTAAAGTGCCCGACTTCGAGCGTTTTTTTTGTAATTGTTCAAAATTCTGCAAAACAAAAGTAAATAACATTTACTCACTAAATTTGTTGTTGTTGCTCTCTGGTACATCCTTGGTATATTGGAAAGTCAATAGTAGTCATGTACATAGTGATACACCCTGAAACACTGTCCTGCACACAGGGGAATTCTGCACTTTTTGCAGAAAATACGAGTGTCAGTGCTGCGCCCTCTCGCAAGAACTCGATTAAAACAACTTAATACAGGTCGTACCTGAATGAAAATGATATTATTTGAAAGAGCGAGAGCACCCCCTTGTGATAACATGCTTACTCTACCTCGTACATGTACGAGGTTTGGCGATTTTAAGTACGAACATTACCTTGTACATGTATGAGGTTGGCATTGTCGAACTAACAAATATACCTCGTACATGTATGACTTTGGCACTGAAAGAGTTAATAGAGAATTTGTGAAGTTAAAAAGCACTGTCCAATCGAAGGAAAACAAGTCTGAAATTATAATTGGAATTGAATTTGTGCCTGGTACAACATCACTTCTTCATTCTTTCTTACCCCTAACAATCTTTACTTAACACTACTTATTATTAAATAATTATTTCGGAGAATGTCATGGAAAATTCATGACAGTTTCAAGAAACAGGACTCTGAAACATGGACTTCCTATTAAATAATTATAAATTAAATGACAATATTTGTTGGTTGTAAATCACACTTTCCTGAAGAACAGGCATCCTTTTTTTCGGTGGCTCCTATCACAGTTTCTATGCAACCTTGCTCCAAAATATTGCTAAACAAATTTAATGTGCTAAGCAAAAGTTAGCGTGGAGCCAGCCGCCACCAGCGATCAAACAGCAAGTAGATTGGTTGGTAACCGCTTATTGCTGGGAAAATATTTTCAGTGCTTAGTAATTTATGAAATTGGTCCAAGGTATTGCAAATGTTAGGTCTTTTAGACTTACATAGATGGGTCATTCTTTAAATTTAAGATCCAAAAGTGTGACATTTTTCCTGTCTCTGTTACCTTTGGTACTTCATAATTTGCCATTCAAGTATTCTTAGGAATGACTTTGAATGATTTTTTAGTAGTGGGGTAGCTTGCTATTCATAATTAAGCTAGAGGAACGACTGCATTAAGGAGTGCATCAAAATTATTTGAATTTAAATTACTTATTTTTTTGAATAAGTAATTTAAATGTATATTTTTTGGTTTAATTCATTCTACATTTTTAAATGTTTTACTTCTATGATTTGTGTGTACAGCTCATTTCTTGTACTATTAACTGTTTCTGTTCACATGTGCTGTTCAGGTTATTGATTGATTTATTTATTTTTTATTATCAAAGTATACTTTTTGTTGTTTGCTTTAAAATAAATTCTTTAAATATATTTATATTGTTTTATTTCATTTTACAAAATTTGCTTTTACTTTTTGATTACTGTAATTTACTAATCTTGTCTCGTTTGTATATTAATTTTTACTGCTCTGGTGATTGTATAACTACTGTTATCCGTTTAGGTCATAGTATTTTATTTCTTTTTTTATCGTTTAACTTTTCTTCTTATTTTGTTTCTATATTGTCTGATTTTTAAGCAACACGTTCCCTTGAAAAACAACTTTGGTTGAATGGGCAACCGTGTATAAACAAGTTTAAATAAAATAAATTTTAATAAATAAATAAATCAAAATTATGAAATCTTTGATGTCAAAATGTAACAGGGACAGGAAAAAAAGTGGACCCCAAATTTAATGAATAATCCATGTATCCAACGACCAAACTTAGAAGCCATTATTGCGGTGCACCTCACTTGCATGCAGTATGCATGCACTCGGTGCATCTTCTTCGAGTAGAGTCAAGTTGAAAGTACAAAAATGTACACGCTCCTCAATGCGTGACCAAGCATGGTAGCACTTCAGTAATGGTGACTGCCAGATTAGTCCGTAATGAAGCTGATGTTTCCTTATATTTGATAGGGAGGATACAAGGTGACTCCTGCAGGGTACGCCCACATGACCCACATGCTGAGTAGCCTGGCCAACGGCAGAGTGGTTGTTTCTTTAGAGGTAAGAAAACAGTACTTGTGTTTCTTTCTCACAATCTCACAGTCATTCCTGGCACTTCCTTCATCAGTAAGAATGTGATGTTTCCATTGTAAAAACTTTACATTAAAATAAATTATTTAAGCGTGCACAAAGTCTATGGAATTTGGGATAGAATAAGAAGAAGAAAAAGAAAAAAAATCAGAACCAAAACTAAGGCTTTTCTTAAAAGGGTTCCAGAAACATTCAAAAGTGTTAACAAATTGCCCAGACGTTTTATTCACATGTTCTGCATTCCAATGTTTAGTTTTACAAAGAATCAACGATGCCTTTTAACCTATTTAACTTATAAGGCATTAACAAGCACCTTATTTTTGGACACATCCCAGGAAGTCCATTTTTTTTCCAATTATCATCAACTATCCATTGAGCCAGCCAGATACGCTGTATGGAATTGATTGTGTTTGATGTTTTCACTACACCGCCGTGCCCAAGATCAACATTCAGAGAGCCTCTCCTACGTGCGACCGCACAAATACTGGGGCAGGCAGTGGCCTTTGTGTTGGATTAATGTTTAAACTTATAAATGGTGCGGGAAAGGTTTACAAAAACGTGTCTCAAATTAAACATGGCTATCCGTCTTTAGTCATTATTACATTGTTATTAAAGTTCATATGGTTAGTGACGTGGCATCGAAGATTCCAATTTGAAGGGGTATATATAGGCAGTCACTTCCTGGAGGGGGTAATCAGTGGTTGTGGAGTTGCTATTAAAGGTTCTTGCTTTTCTTCTCCAAACTCTAAACTAGAGCACAGGCCCCAATTAGGGAAGGGGGAATCCATGCATTTAATTGATTACCTCTGTTGATGAATTATGAAACACTTTGAGTTGTGACTGAAAAAAACATTTAGTGCACTCTTAGATTGATTCAATTAATCTCCCTTGTCTTTAACACACTTAAAAGTAAAAAAAAAAGAGTACAGTCTGTCGTGAGCCAATGTGGCCCATCAGGCAGGCGTTATCTCCAGTTTCAGTAGCATGAAACAACTGAGAATATTTCTACTCCCCCTGGTTGGGATATGTCAGTCCATCGCTGGTTACTCTAATGCTGGTACCCATTTATACTCCTGGGTGGAGAGAGGCAAGTGGGGATGAAGTGGCTTACCACCCCTGACCCTCTGACCATGAGTCACGAACCCTAACCGCAAGGCCACACTTAAAAGTCCTTAACGAAATACTAACAATCATCACAATTTATGTGGTTCCTTTAAAAGACCGATGGTTTGAAGTGTTATTGATATAAAACATGGAACGATTTTTAAATACTGTAAGAATAAGCAGTGCATGCACAGATTTGCACGCATGTACATGTATGGCGTTGAGTGTGCCAATCCAATTTTAACCATGATTTGCACAAACACTCTTTGTCACTTGTGAAACACATCAGCCAATTATCACATTCTCCGACTTGTGTGCGGCGATACGTAGGTTCAAATCGTGAATGGAAACATGGTGTCTGTGTTCAGATCAGAGGCAAGACACTTTACTGCAATTGCCTCTCTCCACCCAGCTTGCCCAGGAGTATGCGTGTACTTTTTTGTGTAAACGGATACCTGTGGAGGGGTAGAGACTGGTTTGCTCCTGTGGAAAACTGGTATCATGACCTTACGAACGGGGTTCCGAAATGGGCAATAACAGCGTTATGAAAGGTTTAATGTCCAAGACAGGGTCGGTTAATCATGATATCTAATAAATGATTCAGAGAAGTGATCCAAAACTCCTAGTCTGTTATCTCCTTGATCATTGCTAGATGATAGATGTATAAGATTTGAAAAATACATTTTCAGATTTATTCACTGAATTCTTAAAAGCTCTGTCATGTACATAACATAACGCTGGAATTGCCCAATTGTGATGTCCTTTGAAACAATGATATTATTCATTAACCCTAACCCCCTAGGGGCCTTTTTGCTAGGAACCATCCTCAATCCTCCTCCTAAACTTTGCGTTTATGTTCAAATGAAGGGTACCCAGCGACTCAATCCTTCAAAATCGACAGACAGTTCTGTCTCTAAAAATGCATTCATCCTCAATCCTCCAAAATCCTCATGTTTTTCAAACACCATTCATCCTCAATCCTCCCAAATCCTCCCAAACTGCAATGAGGTTTTTGGAGGATTGAGGTGGGTTAGGGTTAATTTTTCACATTTTGCGGGGTACAGGTACACAAACTCGATACTAGAAATCTTCAAACCCTAAATAAACGAAGAGAAAAACAAAAACAAACGGTGAACAGCTTTCTTCCTTTGTCCTTGGTTCCGTCTTGTATCAGGGTGGTTACAACTTGAACTCCATCTCTGAATCCATGGCCATGTGCACCAGGACGCTGTTAGGTGATCCCTGTCCATCCATCCACCCCGGCTCGCCATGTCCGAGTGCCATCCAGGCGATCTTAGAGACCCTGTATGAACATCAAGAGTACTGGAAGAGCCTCAAGTACCAAGGTCAGTGTTGAGAATTTGTAAGCACTGTGGACCAATGGTTACAGTGTTTGACTCACGTGTTCGGGTTAGAACCCTTACAGGGAATACAGTGCTAGTGTTCTTGGGCAAGACACTTTACTGCAATTGCCTCTCTTAACCCAGGAGTATAAATGGGTACCTGTGAAGGTAGAGACAAGAATGTGCTGTTCTTGAGCTGCTGCTACTGCAAAAAGAATGGTCTCATGGCCTGATGAACAGGGGTAATTATTGTGAAGCACTTTGAGACCTTTAAGCGTTGTATAAGCACCATATTATTATTTATAGGGAATACTCCGTAAGAAATCTCGCTACATTTGTACTGAGTTTGTGTTGACTAATTACTTGCAATTAATCCTCATGGACCACTCGAAGTCAGACAATTAGGCTCTGTGTTATTTGAAAAGCTATCGAAGTCGAATGTCACATATTTTTTTCGCAAAGTACGGTGTTGCTTCTCATCACGTAAGGTGTCTGTAGTATATCTTCACTGGTATGTCATGTTTGCCACTACGGCCAAAATATTACGTGTTAGCGAGCTGCTTGGCACAGATATAATTGTAAGTCAACTACATCTTGCCAAATATGGTAATATTATTCAACTCATGATAAAGTCATTGCAAAAATCAGAACTAGAGACAATACGCACTTGGCATCATTTACTTTAACCATCTATACGGTTGCAACTGCAGGTTTTTTTTAAAATTCTTTCAACCGACTGACCCGACTTCAGAAGCCAAAAAATATGAGCACCATAGAAATTTTAAAAAAAGGACGCCCTAATATTCACCAGTCGTTGCCTTCATAAACAAATCCCAGATTACTCCTTGAATCAACCCCTCTTTTTTTGTTATTAAAGAGTCTTTTCTTTTGTTCATGTATGCAATCAAATCATTTTATATTTGGATAAAATTCAGATATTGGAACTAAATCATGTAAGTCCTCCTCTCCGTATTGTGGTAAGCTCAGCGTTCCTCGAAGGATTTTTTTTCAATCAGTTTTTCACGGCCATTCAGAGGGTGGATAAAAATAAAATTGAAAAGAAAGTCTGTCTGTCCTCTCTGAATTACAACATCTGCATTCAGTGTGTGGACGAAACCTTGGTTGAAACAACATGTAAATCCTGCGGCAAGCTGTTTGCTGGGCTGTCCAAATCTTGGCTGATTTGATAGATACACGTACATTTAGATGTGGTTAAAATGCGGAAGACAAAATCCCACTTAAATCCTATCCGCTTTCAAAATAGGGAAGTTGACTAGTAATTTGTGAAGAATACAATCCCCCCGTTGTATCAGTAGCGGATCTAGGATTTCACAAAGGGGGGGGGGGGGGGATGGTTGTTTGGTAATTTGTGAAGAAATCCAAAATCCCCGTTGAACCGGTGTCAGTGGGTATCCAGGATATTACAAAGGGGGAGGTGGGGGGGGGGGGGGGGTAGTTGATTGGTAATTTGTGAAGAAATCCAAAAGTTCCATTGTATGTACGGCAGATCCAGGATTTTGTCGGGGGGGGGGGGGGGGGCAGTGCGGCAGTGCAGTCCGAGATTTTTGAAGGGGGGTGGGAGAGGGGTTACAGACAGTGCATTAAAAGCCAAAGGCCTGAGGCAATAAATCAGGACATTATTCAGGGAACTTTTTTATGTCCGATTGTTGCGGACAGGGGGACATTTAGGTCATTATTATTACTATTTACTGTGTGTGTGTGTGTGTGTGTGTGTCGGGGGGGGGGGGGGGGTTCGACCACCCAAAATAAAATAACCCTTTTGGATCCACCCTTGCCAACCACTCCCTTGGATCCGCCCCTGAGTGTTTGTTTGCGCACCGTTATAACACGTTTCAAAAGCATCTCTTAAATCATGTGACGTTTTATAGAATGATTTGACGTTTTATAAACCTGATGTGCATTTCTTTTTTATTTTACATTGACTAACCCATGCAGTTAACCTACCTACCAATAGCTCCGTAGAAGATGTCAAAGCAAAAGCTACAAGCACACAGAACAAGGACGCTGTTTGGTAAGTACACATTGAATTTTGCATTTTGTGTAAATGCTGAATATGTTATGCTCAATGTTGCTTGAATATTTAGGATGCTTCCCGTGGTCTTCTTTCTTTCTTTTAAGAGCTAAGAATCTGATATTTGATGGAACAGGCTTTCTTGTATTGATTTTTTTTTATTGTAAATGTGACCTTGAAATTTGTCTGAAAGAAGACAAACAAAGTTGTGATGCGATCAAGCTCAATGAGTCGTTTATCAGGAATTTTCATTTGGAGATTCAGGCCAAAATAGGGCCACTTCATCACATCACTTCATCACATCTCTTAGTGTTCCGACTTCCATAATTTTGGAACAAAAGATGGTATCAGCTTGCGTTTTTCACAGCAGTAATGCTAAGTTTGTGCTCTTTTCAAATCTGTAATAAAACAAATTTTGACCAGGGTCGACAAACGACTCATTTAGCTTGATCGCATAACATTGGCAGACATCATTACGAAAAAAACAACTGTGGTAATAATTATAATGTTACCGTAATTCTTCCTAGACGACACCGGTTAACAAATAACACATTTTTCGTGCTAGTCTTGGTCCAAGCCTGGATTTGGTTTTTTATTGCCTTTACAAGCGAGGTCACTATCAAAAGACTATCTAAAGACTTCTCTCATCATAGAGTATCACCCGTTATCCACAGAGCCCAGACTCCTATCTAACGTCTGATATATCAAAGCATGCAGATTTATGCGATCTCGCGCCTCAGCCAATCGGAGTCGACTTTACTAAATCGTGACATCATTTCATTCCCAAATCAGGACTAACGTTTGATTGGTCAGTTCAAATGCAGCGTTTTTAAATACAACAACAGCCGGGCGCGTATCGCGTAATATAATGCAGAGTGCGTGACCACAGCCTTTGTTGCTGTGTCTAGGTTTTTTTAATCCATGTCTTTGACGCGACAACAGGTAAATGACCGAAGATCCGATATGCAAAGCGCCCGCTGATTGGTCAAACTCTAGAGGTCAAGATGCGGTTGTCTTGCAAAATTAATCAGCGAATTTGCTCAAATGTAGTAGACCATGGCTATAGACAGCGATATTGGTAGGAAAATTACAACTGCGTATTCAACACCATCTGGTGCATGTGCTCGCAGTGCCTAAGTGTTCTGAACACGCACGCATGTTGCTTGAAATTTCTTCGAAACCGAAAAGGCGGTTGCGTGTCATGCAAATTTGACTCTCAAAATGCAGATGCATGTGACAATCTGTAGGCAGTGGCGTCATTTGAGAGAGAACTATTGGGTCTACGATGCCTCAAGTAAGTTAATGAACCCCCCCCCAAAAAAAAATCAAATGCAATGTTCTCTGTTGATACTTGCTCATTGAGAAAATTGATGCATGTGTAACGGCGAAAAATGGCTCACTCAAGAAAATCCTGGTTCAAATGATAAAGTCGCGATTTAGTTTTTAAACTGGGACAAGAAAAGAAAAGAAATCAATGAAACAAAAATGGACTTCTCAAAAATTTAATTCAAACAGATAAAAAAAGACCAACAATGTCTATCCTTCAGAAAATTAGGTTTCTCAATACTTAAAAAAAAAAATTCACTCTGGATCAAACAACAAATAAAACTCAAAAGAATTTGCCAAGGGTAAAAAATAAAGAGTTGGATAAAATTTGGGGATGATTACAAAAAACTAAGGTAAAAGAATAAAAATCAAAGGAAAAAATGGTAAACCCACACAGCACTAGACATGCTAGAGGAAAATGACTCTTAAAGATACAGAAGCGAACTAAAAACCAATGCCTGGACTAGTAGACAAACCCAAACAGCTAGGAAGACACTCTCCAGGTAGGAGGAAAATAAATGACTATGACGTTAACTTGACTCTCTGCTGGTCTGCTGAACTAAAACTCAATCTGCTTACAGCATGTACAGACATGATCACAGACATGATCAGTTTTTCGATAGAAAAATAAGAGAGATTGCAGGGGAAAGAAAAGAGGCAGAGAAAGACAAGACAGTATAATAATACAAGACATTTATTCAGGATGAAAAATGTAATTTGGAAAAGCGTACCTGTACTTTTGGAAAGTTTGATGCCGGAACATTGAACAACTGAAGTGGAAAATTGGCTTTAAGTCAATTTCACGGACAGTGGGTCGGGAAATATACTTGATAGAACGTCCCATTTGTTTTTGCGTGGATGGGGAGTAGGATTAATTTGTCAATTTGCTCGTGTTTCTCCCCTGTGTAAATCGGACACGGAATGGAACATCTCTGATGTTTTTTTCCGACTTGTTTTTTCAACCCGATCCACAGTACTGATACATTAATCCTGAAACGTCCTGAGGGCATTTGTCATTTTGCCATGATTCATTTTATTTCACAAATCGGCCCACAACTCCGGAGATTAAACACAGGCAATTTGTTGGATGGCACGGACGGCAAAAGAAATTGAGGAATATTTGTATGGAGGTTTCACTTTCACTAAGTAAATTTGCTTTGGTGGGTTGCTTTAGGCGTATGCAACTTTCACATTTCATACAAAGTAGTGGTGGATGCAGGATTTTCCTGAGGAGGAGTGGTGTTGCTGGGGTATGTGTTGAAATCCGGGGAGGGGGGGGGGGGGGGTTGCAGTCAGTGCATAACAGACCAAAGGCCTGGAGCAAGAAATAAGTCAAGATGTGCAATATTGAGTGATGGTGCTCTTTAGAGAACTTCATTACAAGTCAAAAAACGCATCCCAAATGCCAGGACCCATTTTCGAATGAAGTTTTGCCTGTAGCACTTTCAAAATCTAGCATATGAAAGACCAGTCATTAAGCTTTCTTTTGGTACAAGAATCATTCAGATCACTCATGTACTTTTCAAGTTACGGAAATCTGAACACAAACACCGTTTTAAATTTCTGTCCACGGATCACAAAAAAAGGTATACCCTTTCAGCAAAACGAAAACAATTCACATGCATCCCTATGAGAATCGTTTTCGTTTTGCAGAAAATTACTTGCGATGCGGTGTTTTTTTTACACACTATGTATATTACCTTTGAGATTATTTACTATTGTGTAAACAAGTAGCATCAGTCATGGGTATGGATAGCACCCCGCCCCCGATCCACCCCGTCTCCAGATCTACCTCCATGAAAAAGAACGTTGAACGAAACCCGAATTACAAAAAAGGAAAACCTACAACCCCGCGTTATTTTCGTTTGAGTTAAACATACACAACATAAATTTATTGACAATGTTTACCAGCAAACTTAATTTACAAATTACACTTTAGAAGCACCGCAGCGCTTGATTTCATTCGAGGTACACTTAGTTAAGTTGTTACTTTTTGTAGTGACTGCCCACGCTTTATTATGTCAGTCAGGCTGGTCTGCAGATAATGGACAGGTGTCAGCCTTTGTGAAATGGCTAAACGTTTAAATGTTTAAACAGTGTTAAAATATTTGTTAAGGGTTTACAAAAATAAACCTTAACCTCCACCCCTCCCAAGCCACCCTTGTATAAAGGATAATACATGTGGATTTTACCATGAAACCATAAAATGTTACGCAAAATTCGCTTTTTCTTTCACATTTCCCCTAAACTACAAGCCATTTTTTTTAACAGGGCTGATAAATGTGACGTCTGATGGACACAAGTACATGATTAAGACCCATTAACTTAATAAATTGCTTCCATTATGGCTCGCATGTGGCCATTTGTTGCGGGTTATCGAGAGACCAGTCTCATTAATCTAAGGGTTTTGATATTAGGGGAAATGCACAGTAGTTGGCATATCACTTGACTGGCCATTATTTTTTTTTTTCAAGGAAAATTTATCGAATAGCTTTTGACATATGAGAGCCAGATTTGAAAATAAATGTCGGTTAAAACAGGCGGCAGTGACAGATAATATATAAGAGGGAAAATGTAATCTCACTGTGTACTTAGAAAAGTTCCTGAATATTATGTTAAATACAATTTGTCCCCCTAAAAATTATAGCAGCACGAAAAAAGCAGGATTTTTCACACTGAATATAAAAGGATGTTTAAGTCGTTTCTGTTTACAATATTCACACGGCCTAGTTTGATTTTGACTCGAAGGTCCTTCGTCGTACAATTTTCAGATTCGTTTGTTTTTAATAAAACAAATTGGATTTTAACAGCCACAACATGAACATGTGTATAATACCCGAAAATATATAAACAGATAAAACAGTCCTGCTTGAAAAAGGTTAATACTTAAAGGCATATAGGCCTAAACAGGAGCATTTGCTTTTCACGCATTTTGCTTGTTTCCAATAATAAAACCACTCCAAATCCAAAGAAGAATGTTCAAAACATAAACCTGTTGAAGTTTCAGCTCCGTGGATATTACACTCTTCGAGAAAACAGTGACAAACCGAACCACGATTTTGTCAACAGACCTTTTATTTCAAAAAAAAAAAACAGTCAATTTACTGATCGTTGGAAATCACCTACATTATGTTGATGTCTTCTAAATGATAACAAGCTGTACGGGATTAATTCACAGAGTGTTTTTATAGTACCAGTACGATCTTGATTAAATCCAAGTAAGCACGGATCTTCTACACTGTAGAAGATCCGTGAAGTAAGTAAGTAAGATTGCTTATGGGATATATGCCTTTAAACAAACATCATATGGCTGCACTGAAACAAATGTATACACGTAATAGAAATGTGGAGGAAATGTTGTTGGTAAGACCACCACATTTTGCCTTTTGATAAAAAAATATTAAGCTATATGTTCATGAATGAACAAAGAAAGTTAGGACATTATTCACGAAAAACAAAACAAGACATGACTAGTCGACTTGGACCCAGAAGTCTCGGGTAAGGACATTGTTTGTATCCAGGGGGAGTCAGTCAGTCAGTCAGTCTGTGATTGGGGAGTCAGTCAGTCAGTCATGGACTCAAGGACGTTAAGCTGGCCCGTCGAATCCAGCAACAATGAAATCAACATAACGTGATGCGATCAAGCTAAATGAGTCGTCTGTCGGGAACTTTCATTTGGAGATTCAGGCCGAAATAGGGCCACTTCATCACATCACTCCATCGCATCCCTTGGTGTTCCCACTTCCATAATTTTGAACTAAAGATGATCAGCATGCGGTTTTCGAAGCAGTTATGCTGAGTTTGTGCTCTTTTCAAATCTGTAAAAAAAAAAATGACCAGGGTCGACAAACGACTCATTTAGCTTGATCGCATCTCATAAAGGAGACCAAGGACAGACAGGCAACAGCGGACAAACAGAACATGAACATTTCACTTTTTTAAACAACTTTGTCAATCTTAATTGTTAAAGGCTTTCCCGGTTATTTTAAAAGATTTTCCATTCAAATTCACCAACTCTATCATTCAGTTTCGTCCACGAAAAATTTCACACGCTTTTAACAAAACCAATTTAGTCATTTACCATTCAATTTCAAAGTTTGGTCACCCTCTTTAGTCACCGGGTCTAGACTATTCATCATTACAGATCCAATTCGTCTAAGCTGTTGCCAAATGGCAGCATTCAGAGATCGAATTCGTCTTATATAAATCGATGAGACGAATTTGATTTCTGAATAACAAGGTTTGGCGAAGACGAGACGAAATCAAATACTCCAGGACGAAAACGCGTGCTCGTTGTTTGAATTTGCTTGAACTGAATTTGAAATTGTCTGACAAAAGACGAAATTAAACGTTGGAAGTGCACTAAATCGATGCTGATGGACGATTTTGAATGTTAGAAACGGTGAATTCGAATGATATAAACGTTTTAAAATAGCCGGGAAAACCTATAGAATACCAACTTTTTTCACCACATAATGTGCACGATACGTGAGCGCAAGGCAGTTCGGTAGTCGAATTGTGCGTGCGCCTATATTCTTTTTTTTTTACCTTGGGGTAAACGATCCGTCTGGCGTTGACAAACATAAAGTTTACCAACGAAATTAAAACTGTGTGCAAGAAATAATTTCCGTAATTTTTAGGCAGCGCTCCGAGTGAAAATCTTAAAATTGGGATGAACGCATGCGTATGTATAGGTGAAATACCAAACTAGCTATATTTATGATGGTACACTGAATATTCCAGGATACATATAGGCCTATTAAATTTCATTTTTAATTTCCCCCCCCCCCCAAGAATTACGTTAATTATTGATATTGATTGAAAATCGTTAAGAAATACAAGGTTGTTTACTCGACTTTTACCGCCAGAACGAGATCCCCGGCGGCCCCATGCATTGTACTCCATTGAAATGGACTTCACTGCCATAAAATGCCCACTACGTACATGTATAAGCGCATATCGGTAGAATTGCCATTATTAACGGGCATAGAAGCGCATTGCCCTTAAATTTTAGACCTAAAATGATGGTTAAATATTTTATACGTCGATTTTAATTTTTTTTTTTTTTTTGATTATCAATATTAAATGAACATTATCACCATGACAATGAAAAATAATCGTGTGATGTAATGACATTCTGCGTTTTAACCCTTAAAAGGCCGGGCGGACTCCGCCCCACCCCCAACCTTTTCCCGCGATACCCTTGATTTTTTTTTTCGCGACCCGAGCTGTCCTGACTTTTTAGCCTCGAGTCTTGCGCATATTTTGATACCAAAAACATAAAATTCGGACGACGGGTTGCCGCCCAGCGAAACATTTTCCGGCGAAAACTGAATTTCCCCATAATACGTAGTGTACACAAAGCACTAAAGCAGAATTACCATTGGTGCATATGAATAATTAATTAGCCTTAGCCATAATTCCAAAACCCTGTGACCTATGCGTATGCTTATTTTTGAAGGACGTGGGCGCAGAAGAAGATATTTGGTCACAAAAAATATTCTCTTCAGAATTTTTTTCTCATCATTTTCTACCTTTATATAGGTTTTCCCGCACATTTGGAAACTTTTTTTTCATTCAGATTCATTAACGGTGAACTTCAATTTCGTGTTGAGAAGTCTGGCACGCGCAAATGCTACAATTAATTTAGTCGTTGGTCATTCCAATTGATCAATGGTCAATCAATTTCAACAATTTGTTCAATCGATGTCGTCAAATTTCATTGGAATTCGTCTCATCACCTGATGACCATCTACATAATGTAAGGATTGAATTCGTCTTTGTTCAATCGATTTCAAGAAATTTTCGATCAAATTCATTAGGCAAATATCAATCAGAACATCTTTTTCATTTGAATGGCCAATCGATGAAAATGACTGCCCATAAACGAATAAGAAAAGAAAAACGTGGTCATACGTCATTATGCCTAGCGACGTTCGCCGCTGTGTCAACCTTTAAAAGATGTCAAAAACTTAAGGTAAGAATGCTGCAAATAAAGTCTTGAATGCACCAAAACGAAATAGAATGCCCCCAAAACGAAATCAACATTAGAAACAAAATCTTGAGTGCCAAAACATTTGAAATTGAATGGCCCAACAATGAAAAAGAAACCCCAATTTGATCCGATGTGTCAAAATCACGCGAAATTGAATGGCCAATAATGAAAATGATCAGAATAATTCGGAAATTGGCGGGGAAAATCTATAATTATTACATGGAAAATGTTCATTTTAGGTTATAGACCTACGTTAAATAAGGAGATACATGTACTAAACAGACACAGCAAAATAAAGTAATAATGTTTACGTAGAAATGAACAGATGGACTGACGTAAAAATACCGAAGATAGCATACAATCATAAGACGAATTTGAATGGAATTTACAGAACATTGATTGCAAAATGACTAAATTGATTCATCTATCGTACGTTCGGCAATTGTGGACTACGAAATTGAATTGTCTTTCACGAAAAAGTATGGCTAAGGTACGAAGTTGTTTGAACAATGAGCGACCAAAGACAAAATTGAACGTGGGGTTTGCAAACTCATAAGTTTTCAATACGAAATTGAAGTAAACCGTTTATGAATTTGAATGAAAAACAGTTTTAAAATGTGCGGAAAAACCTATTGTAAATAGGTTGATGTAAAGTTCTGCCTTATGTTTAATTTAGCGATAAACTTATACGTGTAAGTTTGTTCTTTATGTTTTAGCCTCGCTTTGTTCAGTTTCATAGTCGAACCTGGCTGCGTGACATACATGCATTCACTAGGCCCCTTCAATGGAGATACCATTGTGCACGCTATTGTACAAAGCAAATGTCCCGTGACGGATTAACTGAACAATAGCTAGCCCAATGCTTTCGCCATTCATGGGGGCCTTCGTGATAGAATTGATAGCGCGCCAGGATTGGTCTATACATAAAGGGCAAACCTTGACCCTCAAGTGTAGAACTTTTTTTCCCATCTCACAAGCCAACAATTTCTGTGACTTCGCGACCTCGCATGGTGGTCGGTAGGAACCTAGCGCAAGCCTGCCTGAAGTGTCTGTTCATAACGACATAGACGATGGGGTTGAGACAACTACTGAACCAGACGCACATCCCGCAGCAGAAATGGAAGGTCATGTTATTGACCTGCGGGTCCACTAGGGTTGCCATCATGTAGGGCACGTAGCAGGCGATGAAGACCAAGAAAATACAAAGCATCATTTTGGTGTACTGGATGTCCTCCCGGTAGGCCTTTCTCTGTTGCCTTTTTGTCGCCCCTGAGGTACCAGTCTCTGTCGAGGCAGATATCTCATCCCCCGGTTCGACGCGCATCTTCCGGACCCGCTTGTGGTTCACACAGACCGTCTGCAGGATACGGAAGTAGCAGAAAGTTATCGAGAAAGTCGGTAATATCAGCGCGGAGATCATGAAGAACATGGAGTAGCTGGAGTTACTCCCCCCGCGCAGGAAGGTACATGTCAGCGTCTTGGGCTCGTAGCCCAGGCGTCCCCATAACCCTGTGATGGGAGGGAGGAGGAAGATGAAGGGTAAGAGCCAGCAGAGGAGTATCATACCGGCCGCACGGCGCTTGATGGTGAACAGTTTCCCGTACAGCGGGGACTGGGTGATCTTGAGGTACCGACCGAAGGCAGTACCGGCGAGGGACATGATGGTCGAACCGACGAACGTGAACATGAACAGGGGGTGGACCTGGCAAAATGCCGATCCGAAGATCCAGGCATTACTGTAGAAAGTCGTCAGGAGTACAGGCAGCACGATGCAGCAGTACATCAGGTCCGACACGCTCAGACTAATGATGAACAAATTGGTGGGTGTCCGTAGCACCGGTGTTTTGGACACCACAACGATAGTCATAAGGTTACCAAAAAAGCCGAGTATGTCCACTGGTATTCCAATCACCAGGGTTGTGTATTGCACCGCGGATGAGTACTTCCTAGGCGAGTCAAACACGTCATGATCGCCGACATCAAATAACGTCTGATTCAAACTTTCACTCGTGCCGGTCACAACACTTGACGTTTCCATCTTTCACGTCAAATAAAGCCGCCTTTGTGTCTCAAGATATAAAATTGTTGTCGCGTTTCCTGTTTATTTTCCCTTATGCAGTTAGATTGAAGTGCATTGCTACTTAGAACATCTACCGATCCAGATTGATATATTTCAGAATCGTGAAAATCGCATGATCGATCTTACCCAGCCGCCGAAACGTCTGCGGTGTCGATTTCACCGATTCCTCCTGCCAAAATGCAAAAGATGTCGAACGCTGTGGAACGCTGTGGAACTTGCCGTGCCACCGTCACTACACGTGAGCAATAATCAGAAAAATGTCCCTCGTCTCATGTTGTCTAGTTGCACCGTCGAGTATCCACAAGAACAGTCCGTTTATGTATCCACTCTCACTCTTGCAGCGGTCCTGTTTGTGTAGCGTGTGGCAAAGAAGCCTGCACTTCCTTTAAAGTAGCGGACGATTACTTTGCGAAACAACGGCACTGCACGTCTATGACGTATACTGTCAGATAAGCATTTACCGCTTGCCATCGATGGGAGCTTTTACTATTGTTTCTTGAAATTCACTGCCAATGCGCGTGACAACTCATCAACTTGTGGCCCTCGCAGGAACAAAACATACCTCAGGTAAGGTCACGTGCAAGACCGATATCCAATCAGACAGTGCCGATAATTCTGCACTACCCCATTATGTGCTAGACATATCAACCTGCTTTATAGATTGTCTATTGATTTCTGTGTGTCTCTAGCACTTTTTTTGTAACCGACCTTTAATGTAAATAGAAGTCTCGTTTGCGTAGTGGGAACATGTATGGACGCAGTCAAGTAAATTATTAGCAACCTCCCACTACTTGTAATGCTGGTATCGTACGCTCCGTTTGCGTGTATTGAACTACTGTCTTGCGCGGTACCAAATTTAATTATCTCGCCTCTTTGCTTTTTACGATTTGGCGGGCTTCGATTTTTTGACGCCCGATTTCCTCAAGGCGACGTTTTACGTCCCGTCTAGTTCTCACCTTTGTCGGTGCATAATGGTGAAGTTCGCACAATTTATTGCCAGTATAGGGTTCCTAGTACGTGTTGATTTCCAATTCAGTCAGGCCCTTTCTGACATTGTGGTTATTGAAGCCTTATGAAGAAATTTGCAACTGTGGTCTGTCCTTGAGTTTACTTGAACCTATACCAATAGTGACATGTGCGAAATGTTCCCACCGTACCGTGTAATTATACATTAAAATCGATACAATTTGCACGAGCGAAATGTCAGTATTCAAAATGTCACTAAATATATATTTTTTTTTTTTTTACTTGGGATCCGGCGGCGAATTGTTTTTCCCAAACGACATCCGTTTTCCATCTTCTGATTGGTCCATTACATGCATATCTAATGCCTTGTTCTCCACAACAAACGCAAGATATAAGAATTTTACGTCTTGTGAGAAATGTTCCTTCCTCACTTTAGTTATTTAAAAGGTAACATGAGAAATAGTGAAAAATGCTCACTGGGTTGACTCGGATCACCTGATTAGATTAGAAGTGAGGACTACTTCGAACCAGTCCACGAATCAGTTGCCAACGTCGGTGACTTGGCTGCTCTTCCGGCTTTCATCACTTGTACCATGATTCGCACAGCAGAATAGTCTTGTTGACCAGTCACCATCGCGATTTGCCAGTCCGTCCGTAATTGTGCAGCTCGCCTCAGGTAATATCAATTTGGCGCCGTTTTGGTCTTAACTCAAGACAGTCAGTACAAAATGCAGGATTTTGTTAACGAGAGACGTGCGCATCAGTTACTTCTTGTTATCAACCAAAACAAAGATGTTACTAGTCTTATCCGGTCACGACGTTAGAAGGTCAAACGCACAAAAAAAACATTGCTATAAATTATAACAACACGAAATCAGAAGTATTTAGTTAGAACTTGCTTTTACAGCGAAACAAACAAGGCAACAAGGAAATGCATAACAATTTTTGGCCTTGGGGCTTTCGATGGAAGCTGGAATTGTTGCTTTAAGAAGTAAGATGCTCAAGGCCCAAAAAAAACCAGAAAAGAAAAGAACAGAATTCGTAGAATTGCAAAAAAGTCACTTCCTTTCAGTTTTTGCCTGATAGGCGCGTACGTAATTGGTATGATATGTTATCGTGCGCACGTACTTTCGCCGTCACGCGCCAGATTGTGTCAACAAAATTGTCAAAAACGAACTCTAGAGAAAATGTCATCGATACGTGTTCCAACAGTAATTGATTAAAGTCACGTTGTATTTTGCAGGATTACTAACTGAAGCTTTAATATTTAGTGTGCTGGTGCGTGTTTGGAGGGGGGAGGGCAATGTTGCGTTGGTGGGCGGGTTATTATCTTTCTTAAATAGTATAGTCTCCAAATTACTTAGAAAGCAAAGATGCAGTTAGAAAACAAAGATGCGGGATACAAAATTTCCTCCTCGTAAGTTGAAAATAATATTTATTATTATTTTTATTATAATAATAATTCTTGAAAATCTAACGGGTGAAATCTACAAAGGGTGAGACAAAAAAAATGGATTAATGGTTTTATTTTCTTAAAGAGCAATCAAATTTGATTCGTATACGTATATGAATAAAGCAATTTTTGAAAGAGCATGTTCCTCCATTCATCTGCAAACAAGAATTACTAAAATCGATCCATTTTATCACAGAAGTTATGCATGTTTTACTATAAAAAGAACCCATTTTTATAGCTGTCCCTGGAATGGCATTGGAACTTTGGAAGCTAATGAGCTGAGGTAAAATTACAGATTACACAAATGCATTCAAATACGAATAAGATTTTAGTCATTTTGAGTCGAGACTGACACTTTATTTTTACTGTCAGATTTGTGCTTTGAATATGAGGAACAAATCATCTCTTTTTTCCCCCAGAAATATTGATGGCAATTTTTATCTGTTTTCCTTTGCAAGTTTTCGTTCATTCATGGAGGTGGGAAAACGTTGCATGTTTCATTGTATTTAATGGCTATTCATCACTTCGTCTAACGGTAAATGATCAGTGGTGGACAGCTGAATTTTGTGATCTTTTTATTAAATAGACATAACTTGGGAATAGAGTATGCAAATTACGTGAAATGTTCACAGTAACTTGTTAACAGCATGTGCTTGAAGCCAATGTTATTTTTCATGAGGTCGAGCGAGCCACATATTTTTTTTTTTTTTTAATTCGGTAACTTTCTTTTTGACTCGCCCTGTATAGATCGTGGGATTGGGACAGTATAGAATGAATTATCGTGACATTGGCAAGTCTAGACTATTTCATTCCTAAATTGGATCTGGAAGGGAGCGTGGGCGCTCATTCCATTATCATGATTACAACTTGGCCCATTTCAGTCCTCCATTTTCTGTGAACAAAAAGATTTTACATATTCAATGTAATTCTAAACCGTATGGAAAAAAGCTAATTACATCATTACCACAGGGTTAGCAAGTCCTTTTTTAAATGTCCAAAAGGTAGTCCTTGATAATACGGATCTCTCGAAATCGTGTCTCAAATTTGAGTAATTTGATTTTGTGCCAATAAACCATGAAAGGATTTCGGATTTCTTCCCCCAAAAGAGGAAAAACAGGAAGTGTCTAAAAGCAAGGCCGCGTCACGACCCGGTTAATTCCCGGCTGTCGGGAGCGTTTCTTCAATAGTTAAGCTCTTTCCATATATCCTGGTCCAGATAGGTGTATCGGTTTAAGCAGAGACATTGTCTGTGTTTGATTTAATAAAATGAAAATTCAAATATTGTTATGGCTCACACCATCCAGTCATTTCAATCTGTGTGGAATTGTTTTCCTGAGCAGAAAATGATCGGTGTGAAAAGGCAGAGACTGTCACCATGCTAAACACATCTTGGCGTTATCTTAATTCCCAAGGATATTGATATGAAGCTTTTTGTTGTTGTTGTTGGTTTGGGCCGGGGGTGTGGTGTGTGGAGGGTGGTAATTTGACCCCTCGGGAGTGTCACCCTGTCTGTCGCACACCTGCCTTTACAAGGACACTGAGTTTCAGGCGTTGTAGAATGAAACGATTTTGAAATATGTTGATCAGACTGAGAGTGAGAATTAATATTGCGAAATGTTAATTAGCTGAAACATTATAGGCATAGTGGACGTCTTACTGTTATAATTATTTATGATAAAGTATTTCATAGTCAAACCTATTTACAACTTCCATATAGACTTTTAGTTTTTGTTTACGTTCACGTTACAAATTACTCGATCCTATCGTCATAAATGAAATACGTACCAATCCGGCTCCGGTGGCCCGAAAGCCAGACGGCATCCGATAACCACGACAACGGGTGAGCATTCTCCAAGAGGTTGGTGTATTGATTAAGCGGGCCGAAGTATGCAGCATAGTGCGCATATTGATACCTTTCCGTTCGGGAAAAAGTGCAGCTACCAGCATATCAAAATAATCAATTTCATCTACTTTCATTGCTTTGCTAACCACATTTAGTGTGCACTTGAGAGTGTTTTTTTTTTTGCCTGGTGTGCAAAGTATTGCTAGTGGATGTAGCTTCTGCGCGAAGTGTAAACACATCTGGAAAAAAGAAATATATCGAACTCCGGAGTACTTTTGCTACGAATGTTTTGTACCGTCTAATTTGATTCGCAAAGAGCTTCTGCACTGATGACGTCACATTTTTTTTTTTACAATGTGCGCTTTTCTGTTATGGGCTATGAGACCTTCGTCCCCATGCTACCATAGAAAAGCGCACATGCATGTAACGTCACCAGTACAGAGGCTTATTGGGTGCGCGTTCAGTATGAGTCGGTGTCATATATGAAAATCCGAATCCTATGAAAATCGGACTCCTTTTCCCTATTATTGGTTAATCCCTCGCACGTGACAGGTCACTCTCCCATTTATGATCCTAAAAATAGCATATTTTCGTGCTTACGCATGCGCAATACTACCAATGAGTCCATATTTCATGGAGTCGGATATTCACGCTACACCGGCACCGGCACAAAACCATCATTTGCATTTATCCCAAAATAACCTACCGCATTGTTTCAAAAAACTTACTTATAGAATTAAGGTCGTACTGGTACTAAACAACCCGTGAAAATATTCCGTCTGGCTTGCTGTCATTTAGAAGGGAAAAAACCAAGAAATGTGGGTGATTTTCACCGACTGATGTATCGAATGATATGTATTTGGAAGTAGAGGGTGCGTTCGTTTAGCTCATCCGGGTGGACACGGGTAATTTAAAGGCAGACAGGTCAGCCGCGACAGCCGGGCTAATCGAACGCTCAACCTCGGGCCGGGCCATCACGATCCTCAGGTGACGCCCTTGCCTTAGCCGTGGCCGTAGCCACTGACAAAACGCCCGTTTCGGCGGATTGGGTCTTAGACTGAGATTTACTACCTTTTAGTCAATTGCAAAACTCAAAAAAGTTGGGCTGAAATTATAGCCTCAAAAGTTGCAATGAACTCAATAACCTTTTAGACTTCAAATAAAGTCAACTTTTAAGTCCACTTGAGATTTCCGCTGTCCGGCCGCCATATTTAATTATGTCCGTTTCTTGCGTCAGCGGTCCCTTCACAAAATCTTCGAAAAGGTTTAGTCGCCACTAGCGTAGCCTTGGGTAGGGAATGAGTACAAGCAATATACAATTGTTGCCTGTGGTGATGGGGTCCATGGTGTTTTGTACACCCGAGGTTCGCTCGTACCCCCCGCCCTGCAAACAGGACGCTGGGATACTCTGATGAGCTTCACAGAATCTTGTGAAGGAAGTGGCCTATGACCTATGTATAAAGCATCTGGCTGCAGCTGTTCAAGACCGCAGTTAGACAATGTGCGCAAATGCTATCCGAAAACTTCCCATAGAATTGCGCACATTCCATACCGGATGTGATTTCTGTGTCATTGCGGACCATGTGGACAAAATTTTGAGCGTCGCATAATGTAATCCGACCGTTCGTGATTCGAAACGGAGCCTGAGCGAGTGACGGGAATGGTAAATTAACAACAAAGATACATTTTACAGAATTTCCTACATTATTACGCTTTTCAACGAGAAAAAAACATCTCTAAACTGAAATAAAAGAGTAATGAATCAGTCTTAACGGCCGTTTCAAACCTTGCAGAGTCATGACCTTGATCACGCGCAGGTCACTGGTCACGCAAAATCCAACCAATCAGAGCGTGAATTCATCACAGTATCCCAGCGTCCTGTTTGCAGGGTGGGTACGAGCGAACACCTGAGGGTGCAAATGTCACCCGAGGGTTCGCCGCGCCGAGGGAACATTTTGCACCCGAGGGTGTACAAAACCCATGGACCCCAATCACGGCAGGCAACAATATTGTTTTGTTATACCATGGTAATATTCCAAGCGTCTGATTTTTTTAAAGTTAAAATGTTACAATCTGGCCCGCTAATACGCAGTATCACATTTCATATTTATATGAGCAAACTGGAAAGGAAAGGAGTATTTTTGAGAAGGCATGGACGTTATAATTACAATGATTTTGAAAACACGTAATGCACGTTGGAAATAACAATACCAACTACACGATATAAATCCATTACTAGCAAATTGCGGTATCGAATCAGGATACAGGAAGAAAGTAAGTTTCTATCCAGGGCTTACTATTGGAAACGAGGTTGGAAATAAAATAAGTACTAGGGACGAGGTTGCCACGGGGTGTACCCTGACACTACACATGCGTGTTTGTGGCAGATCACGTGCTCGGTTCTCGACCAATTAAACATCACGATCTATTACCAGAGGTGGCAGCAAGTCATTTTTGCAAGTCCAAGTCAAGTCACAAGTCATTGTTTGCAAGTCCAAGTCAAGTCACAAGTCATTAGGTCCAGTCACGTCCAAGTCAAGTCACAAGTCATTAGGTCCAGTCACAAGTCAAGTCACAAGTCATTTGGTCTAAACACAAGTCAAGTCACAAGTATCTTTGTCCAAGAACACGTCAAGTTGCACATTATTTTGTCCAGCTGTATAATAAGCTAAAAGAACCTGGCGTCAACCTACGAGCTATTTTGAACATGCCTCCTTAATTCCCCTTTTTCAATGTGTTGCAATTACTATTCTTGTAGTTTATCACATATCTGTCGGATATTAGCCCTTTGTATACTTTAATAAATTTACTTTACATTGTAGAAATAAATGTTGAGATGACATGAAAAAAAGACTTTGTATTGTTACCATGGAGCTTTACATGCAGACATGCCTGATCTGGAATTAGGGAAAATATACATTCTGTCTAGGGCAGATTTTCAAGTACTAGAGGCTAGAAGTTATTTAGATTCAATAGCCATATGAAGCAAGACTACTCACCGCTCATCGTGGGTTTTAAGGTGCCGCACGAAATTGCTCGTTGTGTTTGGGCCATCAGTGACAGTGGATCCACATATTTTACAAACAGCAGACCTAGCGTCTGACTTGGGTTGGTAACAAGTCATTTTTTGCAATCCCAAGTCAAGTCACAAGTCATTGTTTGCAAGTCCAAGTCAAGTCATAAGTCAGAGCTGGTATTTACAAGTCAAGTCACAAGTCACAAAAATAGCGACTCGAGTCCGACTGGAGTCCAAGTCACATGACTCGAGTCAGCAACTCTGTCTATTACCGAGGTATAACAATCGGTTTGCAAGCATATTGTTCCAGTTCGCTTGTACATGTACTTGCCATTACGCCACAAATTTCGTTCTCGCATTCGCGCCATTACAAAACCAGCTGTAGGGGTTGGAAACCAAAGTACAACGATCTCTGAGCACTTAATATCCAACAGCTGATTATCCTTTTCACCTCTCCAACATTGAATAACCTCGCCGAGCGAGCCACAATGCATACCACTCCGTCATTAATTTTGAATCAAGAGGCGCAATTCTGTAAATTTAATAAGATTCGTCACAAGTCTAGGCAGGGAATTACAAGACACTTTAACTCTTGCTGTGGCGTATATCTCATATTTACAGAAGCGCAAAGCACGCTCTGCACGCACTAATGATCCATCTTCGCTAGCCCCGTCTGGCCAATTGGCGAATTTGGGCCCGGAGCACGCACGTCTCTGTTGACGGAGATTCCAATTCACCTTGGACCGCTACATCCTTTTCTTGGATGACACTGCAATTCAATTTTTGGAGATTGAAAAAGGGTCGTTTCATTAAAAGTCTAAAGTACTGAAGTAGAAAAATCAAGTAGGAACTTTGGTTCCCTGAAAAGGCCCCAGTTCTCAATGGCATGTATCTCTGAAAGGCACTTAAATGATCTTCACGTGAATTTGTCTTAGGAACACATTTTGTGCGACTTTGTTCTACTTTTGTATGTATGCAAACTATTTGACATTCCCTTTTGGATAATTTTATTGAAAAGTGCACTTCTTTAAGCATTAAATATTTCACGTTTTCTGAGGGCGCTGTTGCTGTGGTGCCATTTCAGGAAGGGCCTGATCAATTTGAGAATTTTGTGTTCAAATTGTGAACCCAAAAATGTGTTCATTGAAAACGTTTGTGAGGAAAGTTTGGTCATTGGCTTATTACTGTATGTACTGACACAGCAAGGAAACACGAAAGAAAACACAACTTACAACAGCAAAATATCCAAAGTTATGGCAAATTCTGGTTTTTGAGGTTTTCGCCTTAAACGACATCACACTTTTGCTCATATATATGGAAATTTGCATAAAAACCAAAAACGCACCAAAATACCAATGGCAAAACGAAAATTGAAAATATGGTTAAATGGCACACAAAGGTGCATTTTCAAGGATTACATCAAAATATTACATTGCATGGGCCCTTTAAACTCTTGAATTAATAAAAAAAAACGAAGATGTGAAAAGAAATGTTAGAATGCAGAACAAACAAAAAACAAGCAGTAAACAAGCAACAGGCATTTTAGGCGAGGAAACAAAGTTGACAACAAATCAACAAACGACAAACAATCAAACATCGAAAGTGAACAAGCACAGGAACAAACAAGTATAAATATGTAACGGATATCATTATAGACTATTATACAAAAAATAGCGTTCAATTGTAGATTTAAGAAATAAAGTACATGAAATCCTGAGCAATGAGAGTATAATTATCCATACGCCTATAGGCCTATCAAGTTCAGACAGCATCTTAGAAAACCTTTTTTGAAGCCCCGAAATCCCAGTTAAAAACGTCGGTCATTCCTACCCCGTTCCTCTCTCCTTTTCCTATCTGTGCTACCTCTCTACTAAAGAATTTCGTACTTTCATTGTTGTCTAACAGTTCACAACCGAGAACATCCTCATCAGGCGGAGATATGGACAAGCATGGAGCTGACGATACTGCTTCTAGTTCTCGCCCTTACCTTCACGACCCCGATGGAGCTGGGGAGTGCGCCCCCAAGAGTGAGGCTACACCAGCTGACGCTGCCGCAGCACCAGTTACTGGAGGGAATGGTAAATAGTTCGTATTTTCTTTCAGATTCAGAAGAACTGAGAATCCTTATCTTATGAATAATTCTTTCAGATGTTCTGTAAGCTCAAAGGCTGATAACTGACAAAAATAAAACTGGAAACCTTTATGTCAACATTTTGATATTAGATTGTGACAGTTCTTTTTATCTGTTGGAAGTGCATAACTGAAAGTTCCTATTCCTTCAGTTAATAACGATGGAAAATATGGGCGGCAAAAAGGCCAAAATCAAACAAATTCTACAAGGACTAAAAGGACGAACAACAATAAAAAACGAAAGACAAACCGTTAAAAGAACAAAGAAGCAATCAAAGGACGAACACCGACAAAATGACGATGAAACACTACCAAAGAAGGACTGCTAAAGCTGCTAATGTCCTTTGATTATTGGATTTGTCTTTTGTGTCTTTTACTGTTCGTCACTGTACCTATAGATTGTTTTTAATTCCGTGTATACTTCGTTCTTTATGAATGTGTTTCTCGTTGTGTATGGTTTACTTCTTCTTTGATAGTGTTTTATCGTCATTTGTCGGTGCTTTTCTTTGAGTGCTGCTTTGTCTTTTAATTGTTGATTTATCTGTCGTTTGTTCATATTATTGTTTGTCCTTTTTATATTTGTTTAATTTTGGCCCTTTTGGCCGCCAACAGGGAAAGTCGTAAACATTATACAATTGAGAGAAGAGTTTACTTTACATGCTTTGAATGACTTTACATGGCGTCATCCATGCAAGGCTGCATGCGTCCAAATTACTTGGCTGCGACCAGTAGTACCATAAGCGCCTATAGAAGTGTGTATTCCCGCCAGCCGTAGCCCACCAATCTGGACAAAGCCCACTATTTCAGTCACTCCCTGTATTTTAATCGGTTCATTTTGGTGGTATTTCTTGCATGGTTTCTGTGTAGGAGACAACAAACCGTCGATGGAGGAGCTTGGGGCAGCTGGTGGAGTCGATCCCGCTAATAAAAGTACGGTCACGTCATCCGCTGGTGAAGGCAAAACCATTGCAGATGTCTTTGGGCAACAGGTTTGTTTCAATATTTGGTCATTTATTTGAAAAAAAATTTTTTTAGGACTTTTCCCCAAAATCGAAAAAAAGGGAGAACGCTTTTTTTCATAACACATTAATTATAAAACAGCTAATATTTCGCCTGTAGTCACTCCAGTTGTTTCATAAGTTACATAAGTTACTTCGTTCAGATTCCAGACTCATTGGTTCAACGTTTTGTTTTCAGCCAGAGCTGTTTGCTGTGGTGCCTCTTCCCTGGTGCCCACACCTAGAAGGTCACGTGTCACCCATCCCCGTTTCGTCCCCCATTGATACCAGGGACCCTTGCAGTGAGTGTGGGGACACCAGCGAAAATTGGGTGTGTCTACAATGTTACCAGGTAAATGTTTTACCAGTTAGTGCGTACTTTGGCTAAGCAGGCTTTCTTGTGCTTAGTACAGTTCTATAATTACCGGCTGCATATAAACTTCAGCTGTTTATGGCAGGAATGGTGGTTTGCATTATCGTAAAGATTTCTTCATCACTTTACTTTGGCATATTCTGATAAGAATTTGTCTTTGGATCCTATTGTGCGATTCTCATTTGAGTTCTTGATTAAATGGTGTCGTTCATGTCTCTGTAACTTTCTTCCTCTCCAATTCAAAAAGACAGTTTAGTTTAACTGCAACATCCTTGTTCGGATTATTGGAATAATCTTAGGCAGTTTCGAATTCAATGTACATTTCAATGTTCTTCAACTCCCGTTAGGTACTCTGCGGCCGGTACGTGAACGAACACATGTTGTTCCACAGTATTTCAACCTCCCACCTTGTTGTATTGAGCTATGCTGACTTATCAGTGTGGTGCTATGGGTGTGATTCCTACGTTCACCATCAGGTAGGACCGAACTTTGTCCTTGTATTTTGATGAATTCATAAATTCCAATTGCTGTAAACGCATGCATTGATTCACCAAACTTCCAAGGATGTGGACCAACCTACTCTAAATGTATATGTATCATTTTCAAAACTCTAAGTATGGCGCAATATTAAAATTGTTGGAGTAGAAATATGAGCAAAAAGGGTCCCAGACGCTTGTGTGTAAATTTGACCCTTTTTTTGCACCAACAAAACATTGAATCCCAAAATATTTTTAGATGAAGTTGTCATATACATTATAATATGGACAGAGTTTTACGACTGTATATCAAGAGTGATGCTTCTGTTTCAGTGTTTACAAAAACTTGTAATTTGAACCTAAAATTCAAAAAACCGTTTTTGTTCATTATAGAAACTTAAATTTGAAGGATTGAAGGATAACGAGGTACATGTACATTTTACAAACCCTTGTAGTTCGAAAACTTCAAAACTTTGCAGCATTGGAAAGCCCCGTCTTGTCACGTCGGACACTTGTATCCAGTTTTGTTATGTCTCTCGTTTTTGGGCTGTTTTTTAATTTATAAAGGTTTCCTTTAAAAGGTCCGGATTTGTTTATACATTTATTGTATTGAACGGCTCACTTTGAATAATTGAAGGTTGATTGGGCTTTTAGCTTTTATCAAAGACAAAATAGAACCTTTTGAAGGATACAAGAACGAGATTGTACCATTGCTATAAACACTTGATTAATTCTGTTGATTGTTTCAGATCGTATTTCCTGCGAAGAGAGCCGGTCACATCAGTAAATTTGGCTGTGATGATCCCGGGATATGAGTGCACTGAATGCCATGTCGACATGCAGGGCAGTTCGTGACATCTTGTGTCAAATATTTTTTAAACGTTATAACCGACTTGTGCAAGTTTTCTATAATCAATATAATATGCATGTAATAACATCCGAATTAACCTATAACGTATTCGATTTATTTTCGTGCATTTTCCATTCAGTTTTTGCTTTGCAGCTTTAGGCTTTCCTGGACGGAAGCTTATTCTTAGAAATTCCAAAGAATGATAAATAATGAGACCGTCATGTTTGAGTAAATTAGAGGGGAAAAAACTGAAACAAACCCAATGTTGTAACTTAGGCCTATACAGCGTTTTCAAGTTGAACAGTTTTTATAGTTTAAAAAAATGGTGGCACGAAAAAAAAATGACATTTTGTGTTAACCGCAACATTCATCGTCCACTTAATATGTTTTTGAGCTAACCAGTGGATAATAAGATTGTGGACGAGTTGCCTGGATTCGTGATATTGTTGTTCAGTTAACACTAAAGACGTGATCAAGATCAACAAACAAAATACACTTGGGCAAAAACGACATGATCAGCATTGACACTGAATTGTAAAATTACAGATGTAATGATAAGTTTCTCGCAATACCAATCAAACGATATTGGACAAAACAAGTGAAAACATCAAAACTATCAAAGAACATGACAGGAATTTAGTTGGAATGAAATATAAAAGCAGCAAAATCACAGTTACATGTGTGAAAGGTTTTGGAATTATTTGGTGCTTTTTTCCATGTATCATAGCGCCCTCACCCGGTCGTAAGTCGACATGCCTCTCCAAAACTTGTAGTTTTAGAGGTGATAAACAAATCTTTTTGTAATATAAAGGTATTCAAGACAAGACAAATCCAGTGTGCATGCTTTAAAGTTCCTTTTGGTAATTCGAGGTGCAAAAGAAATAGGAAACGTATATTTTTACATTATTAATTTGTTTTCTTTTATATTTAAGGAGTTAAAAGTATGCAATATATATATCATTGCTTGATTAATTATCTATATAATACGTGAATCTTAATTCTTCTATTATGCAGGATTAAAAGTGTATATCTGATTTTAAAAAATCGTTATGGTTATAATATAGGTTTTCCCCGGCCAATTTCCTAATATGTTCATTCACTTCGGTCATTCATTTTTGAATGAATTTGAGAATCGCTCTGAACACGCGTTTCATTTTCGCTACCAGAGCAGTCGATTCCATTTCAGTGATTGAGCAGCACCTTTCGTTTATGTCCATTTAGATTCGTTTACAAGACTTCTTGTTCGCTTTTAGAGGGCGATTTCAAACATTCACCATTCGATTTCACTTTTAGTTCAATGCCATCGGCACCAGATACAAGTAGGGGTTTCTTTTTCATTAACCGTCAATCAAATTAGCTGTACCTAAAATCAATTTAGAAAAGGAATGCTTGCGTGAATGAATGCACAGGTAACGTAATTGGCCGTCTGTTTCTCAAAACCGAATGCACGGACAATGAAAACTTTCGTTGAATTGAAATGGGATTTAAGAAGTGCATTCAAATTCCGACGAAAACGAATGACGGATTTTCAGGGGTGAATGAACATTTCAGGAAATTAGCCGGGAAAACCTATATACTTTGAGTTGGTTTCTTTCTCTACACAGGGCGAGTCAAAAAAAGGAAACCCAAATGGCGTCGCTATTTTATAAAGAAGTTCTGCATGTAACGCTTCCTAGATCCAGGATGTGAAAGCCCAATTAATAAGCTTTCTCTTAGTACAAGAATCATTCAAATCACTCATGTACTTTTCAAGTCGTGGAATTTTGAACACAAACGCAGTTTTTAAAATTGTGTCCACGATCACGTTTAAGGTACGTGATATTTCAGTAAAATTAAACCATGTCGTATCATGAAAACGATATCAGAATTATCCCATAAATCTCCGGGTAGCCAAGTAGAAGACAGGGCAAGACTATAAACTCTTGACATTTTAAAGCAACTGAGAAGCAGGTGTTTTTATTAAAGATTATGATAAGTGCCATTTCTCATGGTTATGAGAGTGTTCTGATGTGTTTTTTTTATATGTGAATTATTTTCGTTTTGCTGAAATATCAGTTACTTTATTTGTGATCTGTGGACAAAATTATAAAACTGTGTTTGTGTTTAAAAGTCCATAATTTGAAAAGTATATGAGCGATTTGAATTATTCTTTTACTAAAGGATCTTTTACTTTTACATCCTAGATCTTGAACGCGCTACATGCAGAACTTCTGTAAAAAAAAAAATGGGGGCGCAATTTGGGTTTCCTTTTTTTTTTTACTCACCCTTGGCTTTAGTAACACCCATATTGATAACAATGAACCAGTTCTGTATTCCAAAATAGTGGTGCACAGCAAGATTCGACGATTTTATTCGGGATAATCGCGGCAGATAAATGCACACAAGGCTATGGGGGACGTGGTAACCAAATATACATCATGTGAAATGTTTCGTGCGATCGAAAAGAGATGGATCTTTCGTTCACACACAAGTTTTGACACACAAGACAGCTTAAAACACTTCGCTGTCCAAACGGGTTTTTTTGCAAAATGTTACACTTCAGAACACGATGATCTCTTCAATTCTGTTGGTACTCCGCTATGCTTTTGCACGCATACGATGAAATTGTATCCCTCTAAAAATCGGCAAATCTTGATGTGCACGTGCGCACGCAGCTGGAATACCGAACTCGCTTGTTATGAGAAATCTATTATCATAAGTGTAACCAATTAGACCGAATTAATTGGTAATTATGTAATGTCGAAAAACACAAAGACGTAACGCTTTGTTTACATGACATTGTTGGCTTGCCAATAAGATTCAAGTAGGGACGATCGTCGACGAGAGCCCCAATGCCCTCATAAGAAAATGCGCATGTAAACAAAGCGCCGACGTCATGTCTCAGGTGTATTGTAAATGTTTATCAGGTTTAATGACATTCAACTTATTTGGAAAGTGTGATTATCAACATATTCCTTGATTTTGTTTCTAATATATTCTTAACAGTAGGCGAAGTAAAAAAAACACTAGATGATCGTCCGGGTTTTTTTTTCTTTTAAAAAGAGGAGGATGAGGGCCTTTTTTTTATATTAAAAAATAGGGTAAAATTGCCATATTTAGCTTACACGATATGTGCCTTAAAAAGAAGGCCCTTTTTATTTGGTAGGTCTGGGTAGTTGTCTACTAATTGATGACCACAAAACCTTCTTAAAGTGCGTATTGAACTTTTGTAAAGCTGTTGAAGCATATGAGCTTCTGAACCATCTTAAAAAAAAAGTTATGCCAGAAATTAAAAAAACTAATAATAATAATAATTATGCAGCCAAAAAAGGCAGCGGGCGGGGACTATCAACTGGTATTTTTTTTTTTTTTTGGGGGGGGGGCCTTATAACCGACTGTTCAAGTTTTCTATTATCAATATAATATACATGTCATAACATTCGAACCAAACGTATTGGATTTATTTTCGTGCATGTACCATTACATTTTTCCTTCGCTTTCCTTCTTGGAATAGGTTTGCCTTGAAGGAAGCCTTTTCTTAGCGATTCAAAAGAATAACGAGACCGTCATGTTTCAGTAAAGAGGGGGGGGGGGGTTGAAACAAACCCCAATGCTTTAACAAATACAGAGTTTCCAAGAGAAAAAAGATGATGGCACACACAAAAAAACAATGGTGAAAAATGACTACTCTCTTTTTAGACAATCACCTTAAGTCAACTATTAACTCAAAAAATCTTCAAAAATCTTTCAATACAGTTTCCTGGACCTGCAGTTATAACGTTTAGTGTGGAAATCGACCTTTGTCAAGTTTACATGGTTTTCATTACGTTTGTCCGATTTGAAAAAAAGGGAAGAACAATGATACAACTTTTTTTTTGTAAACAGACTCCCTTGTAACTTATAAACGGAAAAGGACCCTGTATCTTATTATCCATATTAATAGCTATCGGAGGCAATGTAAAATCACCGTAAAATTGAAGGGGGAAAAGTAAAAGATATTAAAAAAAAAATCTATGGCTATTTTCTCAAGTAACCGATAACCCGTTTGACAAAAAAAAATACTATATGCCTACAACTCTCCACAACCTCGAAATAAAATAACGACAGTGAATCCCCTTGCAAATAGACCAACCGTGATCATTTAGCTCCGTGGTAAAGTCAGGGACACAAATATTGTGAAAATCATGACATGACGTGACACTTCAGTAATCACACGGACCAATAACATAAACCCAAGGCCAATCTTTAGCCCTCCCACGACCGATTCCGCGAGCGTACATAAATCGGTTACTAGGGCAACCGGTGTCCCTGAGTCCCTGTACCCCCAGGGCAATAGTTACCCGACTTCTATTGCCCTGAATCTATTGGGGATCGCTCCATTGAAATAATCCGCAATGTTGACTCAATACTTTTGTTGTCAACACAAAAGCGTCTGCAATGCACGAGTGATCGCTATTAAACTACTGCTGTAGTGCCCACAATATTTGCCACCGTGGAGGATTATTCAGAAACAGGCTGATGTAGAGACCTGCTCGGATTATTTCCACAGATGATCCGGAACTTTTAAGTTCAAGGGTATTGTGAGTACCACAATGGGTATTGAATGCACGCCATTAGGCTTATACAGCGTGTAGGCTTCACTACGACTGCGCACTTCGATGGTTTCGGTTGGAAAGTTTACTTGAAGAAAACCAACTCTCCCCCACAGAGACGAGAGTTCCATCTGGCGGAAAGACAACTATTGTCCATGTCACGTCTTCATTGTCGTCCCCAAAATCCCTCTTTTCAGTCACCGGAGGCCAATTTTGATTGGAGTTAACTGCGTGGAAAGATACAGGCGAATTGAGTGAGATTAGGGTATTCATGAGCACTCACCGCAAGAGAGGAACGTAGATTTACATGTACAACAGGTACATAACACATTGCTTAGAAACGGGACGCCGAAGCCCACAAGTTTGCACGTAGGCCCGGGCAAAGTGTCGTTCCGGACGGCACCACATGTAGCGTTGTTGGGGTGGAGGTCAGACCAAAACCCGTAAACATTTGGATCAGCAACACAGTTTTGGGTGACATATTTTTTGGTCTTTCCTGGACTGAAACCTGTGACTATGGATATAAATGAGGCAAGCCTTCTGGATTGGAGAAAGTGACGGCAGTGCAACATGGAAATTGAAGAGGCAAGTATGCAGTCTTTCAGTTTTACGTTTTTACAAGCCAAATTCAAACTGATTTCACACTTTTCGTAACTATGGCCTAGGTTTCTGCTCATGCTCATTTTTATGTGCACTGGCAACACACGTATTTGATGGACTTCAATATCTGTATCTGAATCGAACATTTAATTGAATCGAACATTCAAAAGCATTTTTATTTTTACTTCGAGTGTGTCAAGTCTTGCAAGTAGAGATGTTGGAAAAAAATGTTGCAACCTGAGGCCATATTTCCTTCACATAGGTCAGTCATTGCAAAAATGATGATAAGACATGGATCTGGGACTGAGAAACATTTCCGATTTTGTTAGGAAATACTTAAAAAATGTTTTCGACACTCCATAGACATTGTACACAACCGCTGAAGTGGCGTCAGGTTGCAACATTTTTTCCCCAGATGTTTGCTCCTAATGATATTTCAACATGTACTGCGTTTTGTTTTCATTTAGAAGGAGATTGTTTTCTTCTTTCCTGTCCAAACTAGATTAATGCGGGGAATTTAGACTTTTTTGTTCTCGAGTAATACCAAAAAAGAAAATCTGTACAGAAACTACAGATACTATATTTTAATGATTTATTGTTGATGAAAATAATACTGGATTCGAATTTTAACTCTTTCACTTGTTTAAGAATACTTACAACTTTGCTTTACATGTAGGCCTACTATTGAAAATGCTGCTTCGCTCGCTGCTATACATGCTAGGTTTTTAATTATTTAGGGACTGAGACAGAAATCAATAGTACGAGCACAAAACCTTGTGTGTGCCGGTAATTTAAAAACCAAACAATGAAAGTTAGACCCGCTTGTTGGAATATTTCATTATTTTTGTATGAGAACTGGCGGAACGGTATCTTCGATTCATTGTTGATTTCAATAGAATATGAACATTTCTTAACGCTTTTCTTAATGTTGGTCAGATAGAAATCTACATTTGTGCCGGTTCATCGCAACATAGTCTCTTTAAAAAGGGGGGGGGGATCCGTTAGAATATAAAATCCTAATATTCACATTCGTCAGTCAAAATACGGGCCAGGGGGCAATAGGCTTTTTGACGTATATTTTCTCTTTGGAAAAAATGCTGCTAATGATATACAGTGCGTCATCATTCAAGGCAACGAAATCATTCAAGCAGCCTTTTTATATAAAACCGCAGGCCTCGAAGCAAAACCTTAAAACCTATACAAAGTTGTTATATTATATCAACTTTGGAGACTGTTTCATTATGACCCTATAAAAACCTGTATTTTCATTCTGCCATACATATCAACATTTTTTTAAAGCACTGTTAACCCTGAACTGCAGCATTTGACCAACACTTTAGTCATCGTAATTCAAAAGTATAAAGTAGGTACCTTGTATTACCAGTATTGGAAAACAAAGGAAAACAAAGAAAAACAAATACTTGGGACCTAAACTTTTGCTTGTAATAAGTATGACGTTGTATTAACGGTGATCTTCTTATCAGGGTTCGACTGTATATGAATCGCTTGATACCAACGCAGCGCATGCAAATCTTTGATGAAAACAAGGCTGTGAGAAGTGGGCTCTGAATAACCTAACGTATGTTATCTAACAATGTGGGTTTGGCAATAAAGGGGTCCTGAGTTTTTTTACTAAACAAAAGAGGGAATAATTTAAAACATTCCTAACATTTTCCCCATTCACTTACAGGCAATAAATTCCGGTCTTGCAGGGCGATTGAGGAAAACAAAATTACACGGCCTACCTTTTCATGATTGTGTGTTTAATTCCAGCGCAGTCGCCTCTTGTGTTAACAGAAAAGGCAGAGACGTTGTTAGCAAATACGATTCGCAAACACAACTATTGATCATTGTGCAAAACCAGAGTTGGCGCTTGAGATGCAATGTGGACCCATCACGGACGGCGTAGACATACAACAAATAAAATGCTGGACAATTCGCAGATCAAGAATTCTCATTCACGTCAATAAAACGTTATGACGATATCGTTTATTTTTGCAATTTTTTTGTCAGCATTTGAGAACTTATAATTGTAGGTCCCCCTTTCTAAATTCGAAATAAATAGATCATGAAAACTAGGTTTGTGTACCCTGACAAATACATACATTGTACATGTAGGCCTGCTAGTACTATACAGTTTATCAGAGGACATTATTTTCAAAACAGATTTTCCAAATCAGCTCAAAGATTTCAGAAGAAAATTGTGTTGGTCATGTTTGAAAAATCGGGCATCTTTGCGATAATGTCCAATCAGTTGTGCGCGGCTGTAATATTTCAGTGAAACTACTGAACTTTAGTAACCGTATTGGAAAAGAAAAAATCACGATATTATGCCTGTATTTAAATTGTTCTCTGCGCGTTTAGAAAACTTTAATAAGGGCTCTATAAATAAAGTCACATTCGTGGCTGATTGTTGATTTAAAAGGGGTTCTATAATACTGTTCTATTTGTGGCTGATACTTGATTATATAAGGGGTCCGGATCTAATACTGAAATATAGTCCTAGTCATGGCTGAAGTTGATTTAAAAGGGGTTCTAATACTGAAATATAGTCAAATTCGTTGCTGATATAAACTTGATTCAAAAGGGGTTCTCGTGCTGAAATACGGTCCTATTCAGTATTCGTGGCTGATAGTTGATTAAAAGGGGGTTCTAATACTGAAATAAAGTCCTAATCGTGGCTGATAGTTGATTTAAAAGGGTTTCTCATAATGAATAGATTTAAAAGGGGTTCTTATAATGAATATAATCCTATTCGTTGCTGATAATTGATTAAACTTCTTTCGCGAGTACTCTGTACTGTTGCTATGGTTACTCAAGTTTGTTTCGCCGTGATACTAAAACACTCCCTAAAAATTCCATTGCCGGTGGAGTACAAAAGCTTCACTTTCCATGAAGTCAGCGACCCTGAAAGATGACAAAAGGTCTTCTCCTGACAACGTCATCGGCTTGTTCGACAAGCCGAGTTTTTGTCTGTCCTGAAAAAAAAAATCGATGATGGCGTTAAAAACTTTATAGGGTGGTTCGATATTTTACCCCCACGTGCAAAAAAAAACCAATCAGGTTATATGTTTGTGGCATCACTGTGGCGTATAATTGCAGTGTTCGGTGACAGAACTGGGCTGGGCAGTGTAGCGATCAGTGTGGATTTTTACTCCGATGTTTTTGTGTGAAGTGTCTTCAGAACGGTAGTGGATTTTTAATGGAATAGAAGAAGATGTTTAAGATCGAATCATGTTAAGGCTGAACGAGCAAGCGACAGTAAGTGTTAACGTGTTTGGCTGTGTAATAATATCTCACGACAGTGATGCCGATTTTTGGTACAGTTTTGACGCCGGTAATTATATGATGATTGGGTAAATGAGACTTGTAGGTTTGCATGGGTGACATGAACAAAGTATGGAAGGTGTGCAGTCAATACCATGTGAATATTATCTCTCTTGAGTTGTTCGGTTCCGAGAAGAATGCAGTTGTTTTAACTCGACGTTTCGAACAACGTGCTATGTTCATCATTTAGGAGACTGATGTGTGGGTCTTCTCAGAACCACACAATTCAACGGAGATACAAATCACATGGTGCTACCGCAAACTTTCCATATGATGATGGGGTGTAAAATATTCAGGATGTCAATGACTCAGATGACGATGGTTAAGATGACGGTGATTAAGATAAGATGTGATTTTGGTGATCTACATGTGTAAATTCTGATGAACTACTCCGATCCCCAAGTAACATTGCCATTGAAAACAAAAATTTCTTGATAAGACTGATACCCCCAATCATGTACAGTGGCTCTTGCAATATATACAATCATGAATAAACTTGAGGAAAGAATATCTTGGTTTGCAGCGCCAATACATGCAAGCGTTTATTATACATCATTATATTACCGTATACTTCCACAATAAAGAAAACTGTTAATCAAAATATTTACAGCCAACCTCTAAATGAAATGTTCCATGTTTAGGAATGTGATATCGGACACATTGATGGAAGGTCGCGTGTGGCAGTTTTGATTGTTACTCGGCAGATGGAAATAATCCGTAAAAAAAATTGCAAGGAAAGTGGATTTTCGTTTGCGGACTGAAAACTTTGTACATGAAATTCTATACCGACTTTTAAACTTATTGTGAATGAATATCTCAGGGAATTTTGAAATGATAACTGCGTTAGAATAAGGTGGGAAAAAAACACAGAAAACGTATAGGGCAATAATTAATGGTTAAAATTTAACACCGTACATGTACTTATTTATTTCTGGCCTAGCAAAGTATTTTCAAGGGCAGATCTTTTTCAAACGATTCTGCTGGGATCTATAAACGCCAGTCCCCATATCTGGAAAACAGTTGCTAGCAGCTATCAGATTTGTATTTACAAAAAAAAGGTAATCACTCATTCTGTTTGTTTGGCCTGTTTTTGATTGGCAGTTATAGTACTTGAAACATTTCTTTTAAATGTATTTATAGTGGAAATCTCTTCTTTTATCATCGTGCAGGTAGCGGCTCACAACGCGGATGTTTACAATCCGGGGAGGGGATCAGCTCAAAAAAGAAAGGTTTGTAAAACTTGTCATTTTGTAAAAATACAGAATAAGAAATGAATCAGATGTAACGAGAAAATGTCCGATACATTTACATTTCAATATTATCTTCCCGCCAAAACCAATTATAGTAGTCGAAGTTTTCCTTTGTTTCATACACACAACTGACAAGAAGTATAACTTAATTACATCATGGGGGAAGGAATAGAAATTAAGTACCGAATTATACGGTTTTATCAGATTGGGTTGGGCTAGAATATGGCGTGTAACTTCAATCGTGAATTATGTTTAGTTTGGTATAGTGGCACCCTGCTGTTGCAAACACATGTAAACTTGACATCGTTTCCGTTCCCATAACATCATGGGAAACTCGCCCGAGGCTATGACATCCCGAAATCAGAGTGATTTGTGAAATCCCTTCCGAAGACCTCTGGACTTGAATTAAGACAGTAGCCACCGGCCTTGATGGACTCTTGGGACCCCATCTGGGTCTGCACCGCGCACCCCGATTGGCCAGACTTCACCCCCTGGCCCCGATGTTTGGCCCGGGAAAGGGACCTCCTCTGAGATACCTAAAGGGCCCAGTTAAGGAATAAAATCACAACTCATTCAGTAGCTGGGAGGCCACCCGGCAACGCCGTGTCTTTTTGTGACCCGGTCGTGTTGACTTAAATTACTCACAAATTTTGACATGTTTATTTCCTGAACTTTGAAGTTTGTACAAGCGCGTACATGTTTTTAATTGCAACTTTAATAGCGCGGCTCCATTTTGGTAGCAGTCTTTTGATCATGAATGAAGCTGTGTGTACAGAGACGTTGTGTATTCTCGAAACGACAACAAAAATGGAAGCAGCTTTGAAGTTTTGATCGTGGACCGTTTGTTCTGATTTGTTGCCATGTTACAGCGGCCGATCTTTTCAAAGAGTCGGGTAGGTTTTGGGGCTGTTTGTCAGTGCTATTCTGAAGTTATGACATTGAAATAGTGCCGGAGTATTCTGTATTCTTTGAATTTTTTTTACATTTATGAAACCATTTTTTTCCACAGAGGGAGAAAGCGCAGGACCAGCTCCGTAACCGAATGAGAAGACGGAATAATGGTGAGTGCCTTTTTGTTTGTTTTCTATTCAGCTTTTTCTTGACTAGAAGATATAGTAAAATTTAGACAATTTTCCTTTTCATACAAATCCAAAGAATAATGTTCAAAACCTAACCTGTTGAAGTTTCAGCTCAGTGGATATTATACTTTTCGAGAAAACAGTGAGAAAAACATGCACGACCTTTTGATCACGAAACACGATTTCTATACTAGCACTCTTCATTTTCAAAAATCGGTCAATTGACTGATCACTTCATTTCTTGAATTCCTCTGAACGACAGCAATCCAGACTGAATAATTTTACGGGGTATTTAGTACCATTAGACTACGATCTTTGATCCAAGTTATCTTTTTGATAATACATGTAATTCGGCAGGAGGTCTTTTCGGATATTAAGTGCATGATGGTGATCCTCCTATACGCCTTTAAAAAACCCGATAGGAAATGGAAAATATTGTTCACGTAAATAACGTTGGACAACTCGGAAGGCCTATCAAAGCCTAAGTTTGGTCGTTTGCCAAAATCAAGATCATTGTCAAGAATACTGATGATGAATGGCTATATTTATTTCGATGACAGCCAGTTTAACTCTTTTCTATACCCTCTATACTTGTATTGGTATTGCGAAAGAATTATGCTTTGCGTTCAACATTTTAGTGTTATAGTCAAAGGGTTTTATTCGATTGAGACTGACAATGACATGACTGAAATTTAAAACTGTATTTTTTTGTCTGAACAATTCTTAGTGGGAAGAAAAGAATTTAAATATAAAACAATTTAGTTGGTTAAGATTTGCGCTTTTCTTTATAAAAAAAAAATATCTGTCCTATCCTCCCATGTACGTATAATGGTTCCATATGTTTGCATGGTGATGTCCAACGTTTATTTTAGCCCTTTCATTCGATTTTTTTTTCTTCATTATGAAAGGTCCCTCCACATCAATGGTATCCACCCGATCATTCAGGAGCTCCCAGCGTGACAAGGACGAGTCCACTCTCATGCCGGGGGTGAAGTCCTTGTGGGATGATGCAAAACACAACTCAACAAGTGAAGAATGGTAAGACATTGGTGTAGAAGTGGTCTTTCCAAACTTAAACTCGGGGATGGGGAAAATGGATGATTTTTCTGCGACCTCATTTTTTTTCATATTTCAATCAGAAGGGAATGAGGGTAATTCCAGTTGTGCGGTACACTGGTGATTTTATCTCCTTAAAAAAATGAAATAAAAAATTGCAACGTTGATTGAAACAAAGTCCAATTGTAATTTACTTCTTTATCAAATACAACTCAATGATGTTTTCATTCGTAAAGTTGAGCGAGTATTACTACATGTACTAGCACTGAATGCGAGGTGCTTTCATATCTTCCAAAAGACGAGGCAGGCATAGTATCTTCCCAGAGCACACAGAATTCTACTGACTCCATTCAGAGTTGCTATTCACCAGAAGTCTTTTCATGCATCTGGTCAACACAATGGGCAGATGCAGACAGGGCTCTGGAGCGCTCTAAAACGTGCAAAACTAAATCAAGTCAACTTTACTCACTCTTTAGCCAGCAAATTTCTCCAAAAATTCCACTGGGCAAAGAAAAGGTCCTCAGTATTTCACCAACCAAGTTTGCAGACTCAATTCAATTTTTAAAGGAGACTTTTCTTCAATATTTTGAACATGAGAGGGAAGTCAAGAGATTTCAAAATGAGGCTTAAGTCAGACTAGACTGGTACATGTCCAACCATGGTCCAACTACATGTATTTGGAAAGACTGACCTCTTCATTCAGTATCATTAGTCTGGTGGCTGACTATGGAGAAATGTTTAGTAAATTGAGACTAGTTCCTGGTTCATGCCACATGTTTCTTAAATTCTTTTGGCATGGTTGATTGATGCAGTACTGAAGCGGTGTAAGTTGGACTGGTTGTTTCCGGTGCCAGTCTATTTTCTTGAATTGCATGCCATGTTTTCAATACCTTAAGTTTTAGGACTCTCATACACAGTATTGGGAGTCCCAAATTTTCGGACTAGGCCAGATGTAGCCCATTCATTTGTACTGGGCAATCCTATATGAACGCATTGCTTAGCTCGTGTCAGTTAGTCATTGACTCAGTCAGTGAGTGAGATAGGTACAAATTAGAGCACACCAGGCTAGCCCACACACCGTCTGAAGCCACAAGCCCGACTCACCCAGTTCCACTATCTCCTCATTCTCCAGGAGGAGTCAAGAAGCCCGCTACACCACCTTGGCCCACCCTGACAGGGTGGGCGCAGATAAGAGACACAGACAGGGGGAGGTACCGCTGACAGAACTGGTTGGCAGGGTCATGCAGCGGAGAGGTCACTCTACCACTCAAAGCTCGCCTATGACCATCAGGTAGTGAAATGTTGATGTTACTTTAAAAATTATTGTTTTTAATTAAGTAATCAATATTAAATTTCGAAACTAAAGCAATACTTTTACATTATCTAATAATAATATACATGATGTTTCGTTTTTTTCTTCTTCCGCAGAGCCCTCAGACCCCCTGCACCTCCATATGCCATCCAACATCGGGGCCTCATTAGGTGAGTAATTCAGAGGTCATTGAACAAACTTTAACAGAAATGTTTTCACTGGTTATGGACATTTGGCTTTAACCAAACAAATGTCAAACTTCATGTTATGAAACAGCAGTATTACAAAGACTTCAAACTTTGCCTGACTGGTGTTTGAAAAGGGCAGTTTAGCATTTTTGTTATAATTTCCTTTGCGATCAATCTTTCAAACTGGATAACTTTAAATTTACCTTTTAGACCGTACAAATTCAAAGATAACAATGACACCTTTATCTTAAATCAAACAACATTCACCGAGTTTCCGAAGTGTTTAGTTTCTTAATATAATTGAGTATTTGAAACTTTAGTATTTAGTTTACAAATTAAATTTACAAATTTAATGATGCAGCTAATGTCTTGAAAGGAATTAAAAGGTTACTATAATTATACATAATTTTGGCTTTTTCTTTACAGAAAAATACAGCCCGTCAACAAACGGAAGCCTGCAAGTGGAGGGCCTTATGTTGTTGTCCTTAATAGAAGCTCTTCAGCTAACCTATCAGGACCAACGGAGAGCAAGGAACCGAGAGATCTACCCCCACTGAAGCAACATCACAACTCCGCTGATGTGGAAATTGCGACATGGCGGCCAGAGCTGACAATGACGCATGAGCCCTACGTGCACCCGAACGCCGAGGACAGGTCGGTGACAAACTACCGACTGCAGATGCAGCAGGCTATCAAAATAGCAGAGCTACGCTGTGACTTTTCCACCAGCTCCAAGCCGATGCACAAGCATGCGCCGCTTCCTGCCATCCAAGTCGCTTACGAAGTCTCAGACACCCCAAAGGCTTGCAACTCAAATGTGGAAGATAAGGCAGATGCTGTAGGCACTGAGAAAGATCAAGTAGCTCATCAACCTGAAAGTAAGTTGAAGGGCCTTCAAAGAGAGACCTTTCAGAAAGCTAATAGATTCACGTCCAGCCACGAGGTCCTGCAACAGATGCAGGCTCGCAAGCATGCCAAACGCCGGAAAGCACACGGCAACGACTTCAACAACCCCCTGAGAACTCGGAATCGGTTCACAACCAAGATGAAAGTCTTCAAGGCGGACCTGCAGAAGTCACGGGAGTTATCCATCATCCAGGAGGATCAGTCGTCTATCAGTGAACGTCTCAGCAGGCTGTCAGCTGGACGGACAAGCGCCGCATCTTTCAGGAGTGTGGGCTCCTTGAAAAGGATCGAAGAATCTGAAATCCCAAGCATTACCAACAAACAAGAGGTGTCAGGTGCTTCCAAGACTGAAAGTAAAGAAAACAACAGGAACCCAGACGCACTATCAACAGTGAATATTGTAGAACATCCAGACACAAACGTGCTATGTGAAAGCACAGGTACACCAGCTGATCCCGATCCACTGTCTCAAAGTGATGAGATGTTACCTCTACTTCATTCAGATGACAGTGCTGACAGTTCGGATGACGGTGCTGATAATGCAGATACTACTAGTGATTTTGCATCAGACTCGGTAGAACCAACTTCTGAAGGATTAAGCAATGGACAGGACTCGCAAGAGTCTTTGACCAACACAGATCTATGTTCACCATGTGAAATCAGTAAAATCCTACCGCAGCAAGTGCAAGACATGCCACCTGAAGTTGGAACTGACAACTCAACCTCAGTTCCAAGTCAAGACGATGTAACAGACTCTGATACAAAATGCATCACCAATTCAATGATAAATTCTAGCCAATCCATGGACTCGGCGACACCTGAGGATTCAAGATATCAGCATGGGTCCATTATCTCGGACATCTGTGACACTTCTTCTAGTTCTGAAGATGCAAGTGTGCTCGTGGAAACAAAATCGGCTATGAACCAAAAACCTGATGGTTCTTATGTTGAGAAAGCAGACAGTCAGCAGGGTTTTACTGCGAACACATTTGATTTGAGAGATGTTATCTTGCCAGCTGAGACAGTCCAATAATTTTCTCCTGTCTCTGCAGACCTGTCCGATGAAAAGTAGCAACAATACTAATTGCAATGCTGCGTGTTATTAGCATCTGAAGTGTTTTTTTTTAAGTTATGCAGATGTACTAGTTGGTTGCTTTACAGAATTTGAACATTTTACTATATCAAGGGCTGTAAAAGGCATCTCTAGATGTGTAATGTGATGTTTAAAAGGGCACTGCGTCCTAAAACCCCCCAAAATTTTATGCTTTGGATTGTTTACATATCTTATTTCAAATATCTGGTTGAAAGAAAACCAACCTAATGTCTTACCGTTACCGAGAAAAGACGGGAAAAAAAACACGTTGTATACATCGGACACGACGGTGTACGCATAGGTTTTCCCGTCATTTTCATTCAATGTATGATACATGTTGTGTGTCACATAAATATTACACACAGCACCAATGCACAAATGCGGTTTCTTACACGTCTGCAAAAAGCAAACAACTTACGGCTGAAGTCACAACTAGCACGAACAGCCCGATTTTTGGGTTCGCAAAATTGGAACCAGAAATTCAGTCTCGCACGAATAACGCAAAAATGCCCAGTTTTTAAAGGATAGTTGTGTGGATGTTTATATTCTACTTTTAAATGCTCTTTTTGATTAACATCATTTTGTTTAAAATGCACTTGGGCACTTTCCAGGACGCAGTATCCCTTTAACACAACCTGGTCACCCCATTGCCTGGCACGAACCAATTTCAGACTATTTTATTTGCTGGCGGTTTTGCAGAATACTTTTTGGTTAATGGTATTTCAATTTTTATGGAGATTGTCTGCAGAGACATCTACATGTATATGTGTGTGGTTCAAAATACTTCTGTATCATTCGCTTCTATTTACAAAATATATTAACAACTCAATTTCCTGTACAGCTAAAAATGCATTACAACCGAATGAAATATGGTTTAGAAGTTACAGTACACTGAACGAGTGGCTGGTTTTGGTAGGACACAAATTCAAACAAGGATGGGAAAATAAGTACTTAGGCCTATATTTGGGAGGCCGAAAGGAGTACATGAACACACAGCTTGGGCTTTTGAGTAATGTCGCCTATCTTTAATTTCCCATCAATGATGTAAGTTTGCAATAAAGTTAATTAAATACACGAACATGTATAACTGTTGACTGTAATCCACTGTAATTAAAATACAATGATCTAATTGCAAATGCCTTCTTTAAAGATGATTCCCCATGTTATTTTGGGGTTTTCAAACCACACCCTCCCCCCCCCCCTCCCAATTTTTTTTTTTTACAGTCGAGTCTCGTTAATACAAACTCGTTCGGGCCTAGCCAAATTGTTTGTTATATCAGAATTTTGTATTAAGAGGAATATCAGTCTCATTCATTGTGCACATAAATGCACAGTCGGGACCAAGGCTTTATGTTTGTTATAACCAGAATTTTGTATGAACAGAGTTTGTATTAACGAGACTCGACTGTAATTGGTATATTTCTACTTTTTTCTAGCACTACTTTGTACAAAAGTTGTTTACTTTTGAATGAGACGTCGACCGAAAACTTCGGCCAAGTTTCTCATGGAATATGCTGGTTCCCATCTCACTATCAGTATGGTTGCTTATGACAAGATAAAAAAAGAGTGTTTTGTGAGGTGGGAATAAAATTGAATGTGTTCAAGACCACAGGGAAAACATCTTTAATATGAAGAAATTTTATCTACAATTATATAAAAATTGTTTTTGAAAATACAGTCAAAGACAGGCATTCGTTGTCCTAGTTCATGGTAATTCAAAGAAGTTGTGATGATCACACAATGGACATGCAATTAATAGCAACAAATTATTATTTTTCTGTTTTATTTTTCAACAATTACCATTTTTTCCCAAAAATGCAGCAAAATTATAACAGCAGTGCGAATTTGGTGTGTTTATAATCTATACACTTTGTAATATCAACATTGAAATACATTTGTTTTTCTACAAATCTTAACACTACATCATGTACACGGTTAAAATGTCCTTTTCTTATATTGCATAACAAATATTTCTTTTACTTTAATACAAACTGACCAATTGTTGTTCACTATTTTGTAACTGAAAGACTACCTGATGACTTTATACCCATGTTGTTGAGATAAGAAATGTACTCAACATATATCCTTTAAGACAGCATTCATAAATACCTAAGACCGTTTACGCATTCCTATTGGTCGAGAGCCCGTCACGTGGCCGGTCTTAAATGGATGATAAAGACATGGCTAGCTGGTCTTAAACGCTTTTCCAGTGTCACATGAAATTTGGACTCCTATGAAATCCGGTGCCTTTTAACGTTTCATTGGTTGAACGTTCAAATTCCTCCCGTGCATGCGCAATGTACTACCCTATAGGTAACGAGTTGTGGATGGGCATTCCATATTATAGTCAGAGGGGTGTTTCGTAAAACATGATGTAAAATTGTTGAACAAAAAGGTTGGCAACGTCTAGTTTTTGACATTTTTTTATTTTATTTTGGACCAAAAAGGTATTTATGAATGGGAATAAATGTGTGTTCGGTCGGTATTAAATACTCTGTTTAAGACCGGTTTGAGTCTGGATGGGCGATAATTACCCTCGGCATCGCCTCGGGTAATTATCGCCCATCCAGACTCAAACCGGTCTTAAACAGAGTGTTACTATACCTCCCAAACACACATTTATTCCCTTATTAAAATATTTCAGAATATTGTTCAAAAGAAAGCCCTGTGTCAAAAACTTACGCATAGTTCTCCCACAACCAATCGTGATACTTGTTCAGCATGTGGTCAGTGGGCTTCACCTACAAATACAAATGAAGAAGAAATGAAATGATAAAAGAGTTATTCAATGTCCACAATTAGACACCATAACTGTTGTGACATGCTATCAATTGTACACACACGGAGGCCCCCTTCAATGGTGAATGCATTGTGCTAGCTATTGTACAAAACAACTACCCCGTGATGGATTATCTAGGAATGGCTGGCACCTAGCCCATGTACAATGTGACAGAGTCCAGGGTATGAACTTTTGCTGCCATAGCGAATTTTTTTACACCATTTTTTAAATGTTTACCTGGTGGAGGAAGCTGAATTTTGTTTACATATTCAATGTGTCCGAAATTACAAAGATGCTTGGTTTAGAAAAAGTAAATATGTGGGTGGCATGTTAAGAGAAAATAAAATGCTGAGCAACGCTTTCCTTGTAAACATCCTCAGTATGAACTTCTTGTGTGGAGACTTATGCACGCGATGAAACAGGACTTAATATTTTGGGCACAAACCCAAGCGTCTTCGCGTGAGTGTCGGGCATCTTCGGCAATGCATTGCAGTGTCTCTGAAACTCTCCCTTTCTTACCATTGAGGTGTAAGGAGCCCATGGAATTTTTCAAATAATATTCTTTGGAGTCAAACAAAATAAAAACAATCCTCTGCCTTTGTCAAGTAACTTACCGATGTATGAATGAAACTGAATTCAAAAATTTCAGTCTAAGGTAGTGCCTGGCCTTGCATTAGGGCTGTGCATCTGAACCAGGTACCCGAGTACCCGACCGTCAATGTCGGGAACCGGTTCCAGATTATGGAATCGAGTACCCGTAACCATCTTTAGAAATCACTCAGTAACTTCTCAGCGAATGAAAAAGAACAGCTTCGAATGTCATTGACAGAGAAATAATTCGAAATGAAAAACAGACAATGTGGAAAACAAAACCAATTCCATGTTTATGCTCGTGATAGTTGCAGTTTTTACCGTACAGCGAAAGAGCTCACTCTATACATTTGTAACTTGCGTACTGGCGCACCAATATGGGGTAGTATTAGCATGCAGACCTTTATGAACAATCTGAACAGCAACTCCCGCGATTGACATTTTTGGAGTTGGGTTTCTTTAATGGGTACCCGGGTACCCGTATTTTGTTTCAATAGGGTACCCGCTTCCTGTACTAGCCGTAAATGCACACCCCTACCTTGTATCTCTTACCTGCTTCCATTCATTGACACAGAAGATGCGATAGGAATCGTTGCCATATTTCCCTATGCCATGCAGCTCAATGGGGTAGGTCCAGTCCTTGGTCAGATACTCATCTGCATGCAGAGCAATGATTGGGATAGTTCAATTAAGCCTTGCACCTGTTTCTGACTAATTAATTGATTCCCAAGATTGAAATGAAGTTTGGTGTATGAAACAGTTAAGAGTGACTACTGAAGGTCATTCAGTCAGCCAGTCACAGATTCGGGGAGTCGGACAGTCAGTCAGGCAGTCGATTGACTGTCAAACAGTCATGAGTCAGTTAGTAAGTACATGTAAGTGACTCTGTCAGTAAGTGACTCAATCAGTCAGTCAATCAGTCATTCAGTCAGTAACTCTAAAAGTGGAGTGCCTGGCCTCGTTGGTCTGGAGCATTGAATTCGTGGTCTGCGGGTAATTCTGCATGTTGTGGGTTCAAGTCCAGCCTGCGGCTACGGTGCGTGTGCCCTTGGGCAAGGCACTTTGTCACTCATTGCTTCTCTCCGCCCAGGAGTAAATGGGTACCTGTGAGGACAGAGGTGGTTTTGGTTACTGTAGTTCATTTTATCTGCTTTGCTTTGAAATGGTAGCATGGAGCAGTGTACTCCAAGGGGAACTGAGATGGTATTTGGAAAGGTTTTACTGGCCCAAAGAGCAAGCCTGAGGTAATAATGATTAGGGTGGATAATTAGGCTATATACACATTCATTTAGAGGACAATCAATGTACATCAGATCGAACCGGCCAATCGATCCCGTTAGCTCGGTGGTCGAGTGGTAAGACATCTGCACTAGAAAGCAGGAGGTCATGGGTTTGAGTCCCACCCGAGTGATTTTTCCAACTTTCACTCGAGAGGTAACACACTGAGTATACAGTGTTTAAACGTCGGTGAAGGGCAAATCCTAATTTGATTTATATCACCCCGACGCAAAATTCCATATTATAATCAGAGTCTAGCCCTTCAAGTTCGGCAATGGGTCCAGCAATATAAGAATTCTGACCTGATAATCTGACAATCATTTGGGCTCTCTTCTGGTGGAGACCTAGCGGCCTCAGCATCTCCACCATGTCCTTCCAGTCTGCCTTGCGTGTCACCTCAGGATTTGGCCACGAGTCAAAGAACTTCCACAGGACTGGTATCGCTTTGACACCTTCAAGATGAAAATCAAAAACGTTCTCATGGTCAAACTTTACAGACAGCTAAAAAAATACTGTCGAACATTGGCAGGCATGCAAACTGGGAATTAACACACACACACACACCCACACAAATCACTTGGAGAGGATACAGCTTTTTTATCACAAATTTTCAAATTGGGGAACCGCCAACATAGGGCTGGATAGCTCAGTTGGTAAGAGCACTTGAACAATTATCCGGAGTTCGTAGGTTGAAGCCCCATTCCAGTCAATTTCTTTGTTCAACTTTTCAATTGTTATAATTCACCTCGTCAGTTTCCCTGCGGGGTTCATTTGAAAATTTGTAATAAACAAGCTGTATCGTCTCCAAGTGATCCCCGTTTGCTATTTCCTAGGTCAGTATCGTGACTTTGGGCGTGATCCCTAGCTGTATGGCATACTGGTTTCTGGCTTCTGACTAGCACCCCTTGAACAAAGATACTGACTTATTGGGGAATCCCCAACATATGGCTGGGTATAGCTCAGTTGGTAAGAGCACCGGAACGGTTAGCCGGAGGTTGCAGGTTTAAGCCCTGTCCAGTCAATTTCTTTGTTCAACTTTTCAAAGTAAAAAATAGATATCTGTTTGTATTTCCTACGAATGAAAGATTGTAGGTAAAAGGGACACATGTAAGATTTAGGAAAGTAAATAGTAGTTTCTAACTTTTTTTTCACACTGACCTGTCGTACGATTCAGGAACATGGTAGCCACAAGAAGTTTCCATGGGTCATGAAACAAACTCTCCTGAACCAAGTTGAAAGGTGACTTGGGCGGCGTCCACTTCTTACCAGTAGGTTTCGGAGGTGCCTTGGTGGCCCCTTTGCCAAAGTAGGGACTCTTCTTGTGAGTTGTTCTCAATCTGGTTGACGTCCTTTTTCTCGGGGGTGGGGTCATTTTCCGCATCCTCTGTCTCTTTGTATTTCTTGGTGACACAGAGCTACCTTTTGCTTTTGAGCTACCTGCACCGTGCAGAGACAAATCAATTCACAGTGTTTCAATATTATGTTTCAAACAATTTTGAGGACCTCCGGAATAAACTTGATTGTCCTCTAGAAGCCATCCAAGGCCCAGGAAGATTGTACATTTCTACCCCCACCATGAAAAGTGAAGAACTTACACTGTCTGAGAAAACACTCTTCTTCCTTCTCATTCAGGATTACAAAAACACATGGCACAACCTGATTTCAAGAATATGGGCGATGCATGCTAAATTAGGACCCCCCCCCCCCAAAAGATGGTTCTGCTTCCGGTTACCCTACCTACCCTATATTGACAAAAAACAATTCCCTATACTACAAATGTACCTACCCTATTTTGAAATGCCATGTTATCGGAAGCAGAATTTTTGTTTTTGGCCTTACCTGAAAAGTTGGGTTTCTAGGCCTAAACGTTATGCGCCTAGACAATTGTTTTTTTAGGCCTGAGGGACTGAGAAACATTTCCATATTTGTTAAGAAATACTTTAAAAATTGTCTTGACTCTCCATGACAACCGCTGAGGCATGTGAGGTGGCGTCAGGTCGCAACATTTTTCCTGCATGCATCGCCATCGCCGTTTGGCTCATAAATTCTCTATTTACAAAAAAAAATACATATTTAATAATATGGAGCTATGTACAGCAATGGTAGTTTACAGCTCTGCAGCAGTTACTTGCCTGAAGTCTGGGCGGGAGGACCCACCTCACTCGACACACCATCACCATCATCAGGGACTGAATCATGTGAGGGTTTGCCCCCGACATCGATATCGCCAGCACTGACTTGGCTAAATTTACGCTTCTTCGCCTTGCGTTTCATATTGAGTTGTACACACGTCTTTCCGCCCTATAAAATGATCCAAATCATTCCACCTTTTCCCAGCACAGATTAGAAAAGAATATAAGTAGACTGTCACTTGTCAGTAATCTTGTCTTCGATCCTGCTAATAAAATGATGTAGCGTGGTGCAACACGCGGCAATGATGATCGGATATGACTCACGTATAGCTCCATGTTTACACACACAAAACGTAAACAGTGCCAGTACACATGAACACAACCAAAACATACGGTGCCGTAAAGGGCGCCACCAGTAGTTGGAATTGCGTTAACAGTAGATGTCACTTTTACTGCAAACAAAATTAATGGTTCTGGCCGAGGCTGCACTGTATGATATTTGTATAAATTTCGTTCATGCACTCACTACTTTTATATTACAAAGCTGATTGTCTCATAAAAAGAGAAGCTCGTTGTGTTTTTCCTATGGTTAGGGACGGTGACTTCGCAACTTATGTAATTAACTACAGAGTCTAGTTGCGCGTGGCAGTTCGAGTTTTTTTTTAAAAAATCATCCACGAATCAAAACTTGTAAACGAAAAAAAAATGTTAAATACATACCCTCATTCAGTGGAGAAGAAAACAAAATTAAAGAAATATATAATTGAAAAAGTGGGGTGGTTTATAAAGCGTCTTAAGTTAACTTCTCAGGCCAATTGTGTCGAAGGGACTCGAGGTGAGGTGTGAAGAAGTCCACTGATCTTGCTGTGTTGCGCAACAGTGAAAACTTTGATAAATGTAGCCGTAGTTAAATGAAATTTCAAAATGTTCTATCACTGAATGGTTTTTATCTCCCCCTCCCCCCCCCCGCCCCCACTTCCCAGTGGCCCAAGGTATGCCCCTCCCATGTAAACACCGGCAATCGTGGATTGTCCGATATCATCATTCCTTTGTTTGTACTTTTGTCCTAGGCTAGGTCCACGAGTGCTGGTGCTTACATACTCACCTTCAGAACCTTCAGAAATTTATACTGCATGAAAACACATGGAATGGCTTTCTAATTCCACACTATACAAGTGTGTATTTGCCTGCAATCGGGATCTACACCCTATTGTCCCTCTGTTGTTTGTACCTTAACTTTTTTTTAGGAAGACATCCATATCTTTTGTAAAAGTCCGTAAATTGGGGACTTTCGGGAAATTGGGAACCCTATTGTCCTCTATATTGTTCAACACCCCCTATTGAATGCAAGAACAAACTCACATACACCGGTTTGTTTAAAATCGAGGATTGTCTATTGTTCCTCATCATAGATTTTTGTTTATACTTTTTTGCAACGGCTCCTATTGGATTTGTACACGTTGTCTTACTCGATGATGCTTCACATGACTGTGTACACCAAATTTAAATCATCAAAATCACAGCCTACGTTGAAGACCTTTTCCTATGGCCCTATTGAAATATCAACACTATGCTTGACAGGCATATTGCCTCCTAAAGTGTTCAGAATTCACCGCTCGCTACCTGCCCCCATATTGGAAGTTCGAAGGACAGTAGGAAAGAAAATCAGACTAACCCCAAAACGATCGAGCAACACGGTACCAGAAAACTAAACAAATCAATAAACATATAATCTAAATAAATCAGTTTTAAAATTGACAAATGTCCTAAACAATCACAAAGCATTTTACAAAGGGGAGGCGAGACGGCGTTCCCCATCCTCAATGCCTTTTCCTTTTCACTGGATTTCAAAGCCTCTCGAGGCTGATGACGTCACTAACATCAAAGTAGGCTATACAGAAATCAATATTTTTTAACACGGCATATCTTTCAACATAAATGACAGTTGTAACTAGTATGATTCAGATATATAGCTGAAAGTCTTGCATGAAATCTATCAAACTGATGCCTACCAGAGCTTAAAAATCCGACGCCAATGGCACTTATGGAACACCATTCTTCAGATGTATACCTAGATTTATAGCGATTTCTGATGAATACCACGTGACTATAACATTACCACACATATTTTGCTACCATTTACACACTTTCCATAAACACTCATCTTTCTGAATTGTTGCAAACAAGTTTTGTTGAACATTTCATTGATTTTGTTTGCTTTTTTAAAATTTGGTAGTTTTTGGTAGGGAAACTTATTTTGGGCTTATTTTGGTCAATTTTTGGAGACATAATTTATGCAAACTAAAAGCGCATGCCCATCGCTCGAAACAAAACCGCTGTTCCAAAAACCGCCAGCAAGAGTGCAATTTATGACCGCGGCATGGCATTTTGTAAATTAATCACTTATTTTGACATTTTGTTGGGGTAAATCATCAGGGACAGACAGCCCTACCGACCAACTGACCGACCGACCACCAAGCTCCTGCCAGAGCTTAAAAACATCACCGGCCGGCCTCCGGCATTCATGACGTTTAGTATAAAGTCCGTTAATTTCAAATGTTCATTATCATGTGACGGATGGAAATAAATCAAATTAAATCCAATCCCATCAAAGTTAGTGAAGAAAGTTGAGGTGTAATGGTCACGTGTCTTGCCAGTTAAAAGTTCTTTCACAGAACTTGACAAGTTTTACTCTTGGGTTTTTCATGAAGTATTGGCGGATTTTTTCTTTCGGCGCCACGTTTTTGCTTTGGTTTCCCTTGATTCATCGTTGAGGGCGTGCTTGTGGAGACATCAGTGATTAGATTTGATGCTTGCTCATTGCTGGCGCTCGCTGATTGGAAACGAGCCGAGAATTTCAGAAATGCAACTCTACCGTCCTGTAGCGTTACAACAGCAGTGTTGCATTTGGCGGACATTACAATGGAGCTGTTCTTTGCGTAGGTGTGATACCTCATCACATGCTTGCCAGTCTTAGTGTCCCACACTTGAATGTAGTTGTCATGCTCACCACTCGACACCAGGAATCGGCCGTCGGGACTGAATATCACACTTTTGACGTCAGACTCGTTCGCCTGCTTGATGGAATGCTTCAAGCAATGGGATTGGACGTCCCAGATGATGACATCACCGCCATCGGCCCCAGATGCCGCCAGGTTTCCATCAGGGGAGAATGCCGTTGACATCACACGAGTTGTGTGTCCTTTCATCGCCGTGATGTGTGAGAAGCTGTCCAGGTGCCACAAGTGAACGTCGTGGTCGCTGGAGCCGGCGACGAGCCTCTTTTCGTCCGGCGACACGGCAATGGACAAGACGCGATCATCATGACCAAGCTGTGAAACGACTTGCCCCGACCTGCTGTCGATGAGCTGGAGTATCTTTGTCTTTCCAGAGGGGTCGTACATGCTCGATAAATATTGGTTGACGAATAGGCCATTACTCAGCATGCGAAAATCACACGATCTCAAGTTGATGATTTGTTGTGTCTGCCCTGATTCCAGATGGAAGATGCGGATTTCCCACTTGAGCTGACCGAGTCCTGCCACAAGTCTTTTGTTATCGGGGGTGATGACACAATGAGATGGTTTGATCCATTGCTCTTTGAACTTGCCTTTGACCGCAAAGTCTGGAAGGCTAAGTACGTACCATCCGTCGCTAGATCCGACCATGAAGGTATCATCACTGCTAATGGCGACAGCATAGCAGTTTCCATCCATAGGATCCTGGAGAGATTTGATCAGCTTCCCACTCTTCAAATCCCAGAGTTTGATGGTTTTATCATCTCCAGTTGTAATTATTTTGTCTTCGGTGTTCAGGGTCACTGCTTCATACGTGTAACCGTCGTGTTTACTGATCATCAATTCTGGCTCCTTGGTCGATGTTGACTTCTTAAGATTCCCAACATCCCAGATACGGACGTTCTTGTCTTCCGATGCAGTGAGAATCTTGGAACCATCCGGTGTCACAGCGACCGACGACACGTTTAAGATGTGTGGAAGTTTGGCCTCTATTTCCAATGTTTCCAGGTTCAGAACTGCAGCTTCTGACATTTTCAGTGCAGCAACCACGTACCTGAAAAAGCCAAAACCATTCAAAAGAACGATATCATTAAAAACGCTGATCTAGATATATTTATATATATATATATATATTTAATGGGAGTGTCGCTCCCTTGTTGAATGTCACATATCAAGGTAAAATGTCAATCTCCTCAATTAAAAAGCTGAAATTTTACATAAATGTAAACATAAACATACATTTCGTTCGGAGTAACAACCATACAGGTGACATCACCATCTCTCTCGAAGTCTTCTTGTCGATTGAGGAGCGTTCTCTCTGTGCCCTGTCCAGTCCCGAACGTTTTCACGACACCAGTTGAGTGACCGGCAATCACGCGAGAGTTGTCTCTTGAGATGTACATGGTTGCGACAGTGGAGCTAGACTCGGGGTCTCTTGAGTCTCCTAGGTATTGCAAGTCAGGGAAGCTATGGAGCGATACTTCACAGCCGTGGACAGCGAGTAGTCGCCTATCTTGGGAAAGCGCCACCGTCCAGATGGGAAACGTGTCTTCGTCCTCCATCTCCCGGATCGGCTCACCTTTCAGCATGTCCCAGAGAACCAGCATGTGATCTTGAGAGAACGATATCGCCACTTGTCGGTCATCCACCTCAGTTGTAAGGACGCCCTTTATATCATCTATAAATATATGACGGAAGACACAAAAATGACTGAAATCAGGCATTGAAATCGCATGTGTATAGCTTGAGGTGTTTGATGACACAAAGACGTGGCAATCAAGCCTAAAGCGTCTTTCTCTATTGAATAATTGGCCAAGATGTTAACTCATTTTTGTGTTGACTTACCTGTGTGCTTGTTCAACCAGTGCATGGCTTTCCCAGTCTCTAGGTTCCAGATGATCACGACGTGTCTGCTTTCATCGTCGTATTCTTCCTCATCCCAATCCTCGTCATCTGACTCATCTCTCTTCGTCATGAACTCTTTTTTCTTTGCCAACTTGTGTTTTTGTTTTGAATCAGAGATGATCTCTTCTTCCTCGTAGTCCGTGTCTTCATTAGGGTCATCATAGTCGACTTTTGTCCGCAGTCCGGTGACGGCGTACTTCCCGTCCACACTGATGGCCAAGTTTGACTCGCTTAACCCGGTGTGCCCTTTCAGGCGGTGGATTAGATCTCCAGTCTCCATATTCCAGACGCATACTTTCCCTGACTTCATGTACTCTCCCATATGGCTGTACGTCACACAACTCTGATCATCCGGTGCAATTTCGACCCCGTAAACGGTTTCTCTATGACCTGTCAAGGTGTGTACCAAGGTGCCATTGTCTATCTGCCAGATCCGAGCGGTGTTATCTTTGGAGCCAGTTAGCACCAAACGGGAGTCACTTGTGATTGCCAAGGAAACTACCTCCTCTGTGTGGCCCTCTAGTGACGTCAGCAACATGCCACCTGGAGGTTGCAGGCACGTGCTGACTGGCAACCACGGGAGAGACAAGCTCCCTCTTGTATTTGCTTGATCGACGAGGGACTTCATTCTTGGGAACTTATTGGCTGCGTTCATCAATCTTCCCATGACCTCTGGCGCCAATTGGTCAGGATCGTTTGAGATGACTGAAGAAGAGAGGCGTAGGGCGCCAAGCAGTAAGCTGATCTCCGCATCAGTTGTCTTCTCTTCAGCATTATAGAAATCAGCCAGGACATCTTGCATGGAGAGGGCCTTGACCTTGCACAGCAGAAAGTCGAAATTAAAGAGTGCAGATGTCTTTAGAGTGTCCCAATCTTCAGCTTCTGTCAGATGGAAAGGGAGCTGAGTGAGCTTTCGGAGGTTGAAGGTCAGATTGGCTTCAGTTTTCCCCGTTGCACCCGAGAAAGTCAGTGGTTGGCTGGAGACTTTACGATCTTCCTCTGCCTCAGCTGGAACCCCGAAACGCTCGACTTGTAATGCCGAATATCGGCATGGTTTCTTGCGTCCATCAGACCAGGTTCCGTCAAAATACTCGGCACAAGTCTTGTGGAGCTTTTTCTTCAGGTTGGCATCGTGGAGGTACCTCTGACGGGCTGTCTCTATGAACTGACGATGATACCAATACATCACTGTCACACCGTCTGCATCTCTATCGACTAGGTACGAGCTGATGTCATTTCGGACTCTTGTCCAAAGGGATGGAGGGATTCGACGAACAGGTGGCATCCAGAATTGGTAGACATCGTTTAAGACGTCATCGTCTAAGGACAAGAGATCCTCCAGCTCGGTCTCTGTGAGACCGGTAGGCGACAAGGTAATGTAAGCAAGGGATCTAGACACGAGTATTTGGCCGTGATACTCTTCAAGTCTGCCGAATATCAGATTGATCATGTCTTGGATACTTGTCTTGAGAATGCATCTTTCCAGGGGATGGTAAGAATGCCATTGAATGGACTGGTCCAAGACAAGTTTAAGGAACAGAGGAAGGCTGCACTCCGCCAGTGCCTTATCAATCAGTTCAAGTTGAGGGCTTGTGACACACTTTTTGGCAGAAGTCAACCATGCCTCTAAGATACCTGTGCTTTCCTCTTGGGAAAAGGGCACCACTTTAATGTATGGAGATGAGTCAGTGAGTCTTTCCTTGACTGTTTCCAGGATGCCATGCTCTCTTGGAAGTGTGGAAACTACGAGAGCGACGTACTGTGGCAGCACCTTCGGGAGCCAACCCATTCGATGAGCGCCATGTTCACTTGACAACTGATCAAGTGAGTCCAGGAAAAGGACAAGGGGCTTATCAACCGTGGCGAATTTCATGACTTTAGAGAAGGCCGTAACAAGTTTGTTATAATCAGTAGGAACTTCGAAGTCTTGCTCATTATACACCTGCAGTATCTGTTTGCAGAGTGTTGTCAGAACTCGCTGGATGGATGAGGTATTTGGACTTGTACCAAGAAATCGTAGCACCATGGCAGTGCCGGAGCCTGGAAGCCACGACTGCTTGACAAGAGCTGCACACTTTGCCATGATGGACGTCTTCCCGCTTCCTGACTCTCCGTGCAGAACCATTGGAACACCACCTTTACCGTTATCACCCTTCACCCGTCTCAAGACGTAGTCTTCCACCTTCTTGATGACATCATCTCGACCCTGGAACCCAACACATTTGGTGAGACAGAAAGACAGGTGCTGCAGAACTTCCTGGTGTAAGGGATCTTCCAGACTAGCAAGCTTCTCCTTAAAGACACCAACATCGATCATGCTTACCATCTTGGTGTAAAAAGTATCCAGGAAACCTTTGATGTACTCTCGATGTTTCTCATTCTCAAGACTAACCCCATCCTTCGTCCACTCGCCAAGCTCAGTTAAGATTATATTGGATGGCGGGAGTACTTGGGCGATTTTCGTATCACGAAGATCAGACAGTAATTCTTGCGCATCGGTATCTACCTTCCCAGCCTGGAGGTCAATGAACTTTGAGGCTTCTCTCGTCTCACTCTTGCTCTCCAAATCGCTGAATTTCCGGATGAAGCACAAGCAGTGCTCCTGTCTATCAAACGTTACCGTCAAAAGGGCGTGATCAACCTCGTCGTGAGTAACTGGAATACAAAACATACCAAAAGAAAAGAGTTCAGGTAAGCCTGATGGACATGTTGTTTTGGTTATAAATCTGATTAGTATCCATATGAAAGTATGGATGTGGAAGATGTCTTACTCTTTAAGATATGGGCAAAATGGTAAGCATTGTTTTTTTTTCCCCCTTTTTTTTTCAAATCACATTACACCAACCTGATATTCTGTACTTCTTGGCCTGGTCTGCCGTAAGCAAACCACGCTTCTCTGCTTCGTTAGCAGCGAAGCGCAACTGGCCCTGGATCAACTCAAACGTTGTCCACCATTCTCCCTGATTCGCTTTCATTTTTTCCGGTTCGTCTTGTCGATTGAAGTATGGTAGCTTGGAGCTGATTGGTTGAAGGACGTAAACAGGCGGGACGCAGTTGTCGTCACGGATGAACCACGTGTCGAGCGTTTCCATTGGCTTACCGTTGTCAACCAACGTTTCGCGCAATAGTTTGAACTCGTCGTTTTCAATTTTGGGCGGGAATGGTCGGTACCCGTACTTTTGACATAGGAACGTCTGCATGCCAAAAAAAAAAAACAGCCAGGGATTGTGAGTTTGCACATGACTTTATATAAACCATGTTACCTCTCACGTCAAGCAACATTGACAGGTATTTTTCCACGTTATTGTGCCCACATTGAAACACTTAGTATTTTAACCATTCATATTTCAAGAGCTATGCATGCAGTGCAAAGAAGAACCGTTTGCTGAAAGTTGGCATAACGTAACCACAACTTCCCATTTCGTAAACAAACTTGACAAGATATATATAAGAAAGATAGGTCATATGAAACTTTATTTTAAACAAAGTTTAGAAATTTTAGAAATGGTGAAAGCATCAAAGGCAACTTATTTAAAAAAGAATGTGAAATTGCTTCCTATCGCCAGAAGCAGAATTGCTGACAAGGTGCAATTGGTTGAAATTGAATGTACAAGTTGCGACTCACCACAAAGTTTGGACCCACGGAAAGTCGCTGGCAGGCTGCGATCTCCGCCATGCATAATTGTCCCGTCATGTGATCATCCGTGGCTTCGTCACGTACCCCCCATCGCATGTCAATGACCTGGAACTCCAAGCCATGGTTTAACTTGCAGTAGTCCTTCAGACGCGGGTACGTTTCTCGCATCAGAGCGTTACGTTCTGTGGAGGTGTCTATGAAAAGAAAAGATTTAAAAGATACGAAAAATTGTTATTCGATGGTTTCCTTTCAGTTTATACCGCCCTCTACATTGGCAGTGAATGCGATGATGGAGGGGGCTGGAGCCAGTCGACAATCAGTCGACAATGGCAAACCCAAATGGCATGACAAATTTTTTTATTGAAATTATGCATGCAGCACTATCAAGATCTAGGATAATGAAAGCCCAATCATTAAGCTTTCTTTTACAAGAATCAGTCCAATCACTCAATCAAATCATTATGTACTTTTCAGGTTACGGAATTTTAAATACAACCACCCTTTTAAAGCTCTGTTCATTTAAAAGCAAGTGTTCGTTCAGCAAAACGAAAGCAATTTACATAGACATGTATGTGAAAACTTGAGTATAGTAACAACAATCTGCATTTATAAATACCTAACACAGTTTATCTATTCCCATTGATTGAGAGCCAATCACGTGGCCGGTCTTAAACGGAAGTTAAAGCTAGCCTAAACTCCTTTCAAGTGTCACATGAAATCCAGTGCGTTGTACCGTTTTATCGGTAAATTTAACGTTCACAACCTTCACCTAGGCATGCGCAATACTATACTCTGCAGCCAGTGAGCCAGCTAGTATTTCATAGTCCTAAATTCACAACGCAATCACATCACCACAGCTGCATCTGCGCGTAATCACGCAGTATACGCACGACGCGCGCCAATCTCCACAAAAGGAGTTGTTTAAGTCTTACTCGCGAGCTGATATATCTAGAGGGGGTTTCTTAAACCTGAGAGTAGAAATTGTTCAACAACATCGTTGGAAATATTTTGACGTGTTTTGACTTTTTGACCGAAAATTTTGATTTTTGGACCGAAAAGGAATTCATGAATAGGAATAAGTGTGTGCTTGGCCAGTATTAAACACTATGTTTTAAGCCTGGTTTGAGTCTGGAATGCTGAAAATTATCCTCGGCTTCGCCTCAGATAATAGTGTTCAACACCTCATAAGCACACATTGGTTCCCTTAATAAACCACGGTTCCTTTAAACATTTTCACTACAAGCAATGAAAACGCACGAAAAGGTCAAATGCTAAAACACAGCTAACGACAGGGGGATAGGTCGGTACAAGTAAAATAAGGACGGTTGTTACAACTGATAATGTAGTAACCAACGGATAATGTATCACCAACCGATAATGTATCACAAATTGACTGATACTGTATCACTAACCGATATTGTAAGCAAAAATTGACTGATAGTGTAGTAGAATTTGTATCCGATAATGTATCACGTGTCGACGGATAATGTAACTACAAAATAACTGTATCCGATAATGTATCACCACGGAACGGATACTGTATCAACCGATTAAGTACCAAAAATCAACCGATAATGTATCAAAAATCAACCGATAATGTATCAGTACGGGGAAAAGGTGTTTAAAAAAAGTTTGTTTTATGTCCTATATATCCCACCCCACTTTTTGACCGGGGAAGGGGGTCTGGGCTATTGGATCACCCCACCCCCATTATTTTCTATTTAGAGAAAAAAAGGTAAATTTTGAGTTGGTTTTCAAACTTCCCAACCGCCGAAATGAATTAAATAGTACTGAGAAAGGGAGAACAAACACAAAAAGCTTGAAATGTGCTGATACATCTGTATCATGAACACCCCCCCCCCCCTCCTGTTTTTGATTTTACCATGGAGCTATGGGCTCCGTGCACAAGTGCCCCTTCAACGCCAGAAACGGAGAGTTGGGGGAGGACCTAGACTTGTCCCGGTCCATCCACTGGGTTTTTTAAATGATGCAAAGTTATAGGGGGAGGGAATAGTCTGTGAGACCATCGCAAGTTAAATGGAACGTATGCGCGCGCCGACGTTGCCTGACAATCATGCGAAGACGTTCGCTCGTACCCCCCGTCCTGCAAACAGAACGCTGGGATACTCTGATGAGCTTCACAGAATCTTGTGAAGGAAATGGCCTATGACCTATGTATAAAGCATCTGGCTGCAGCTGTTCAAGACCGCATTTAGACAATGTGCTCAAATGCTATCCGAAACTTCCCATAGAAATACGCACATTCCATACCGGATGTGATTTCTGTTTCATTGCGGATCATGTGGACAAAATGTTGTCGTCGCATAAAGCAATCCGACCGTTCGTAACTCGAAATGGAGCCTGAACAAGTGACGGGAATTGTAAATTTACAACACAGATAAGTTTTTACAAAATTTCCTACATTATTACGCTTTTTTCAACGAGAAAAACATCTCTGAACAGGAATAAAAGAGTAATGAATCAGTCTTAACGGCCGTTTCAAACCATGCAGAGTCATGACCTTGATGACGCGCAGGTCACTGGTCACGCAAAATATAATCCAACCAATCAGAGCGTGAATTCATCAGAGTATCCCAGCGTCCTGTTTGCAGGGCGGGGGTACGAGCGAAGCGAAGACGCTGCGGCTAATAGCCTTGGCACATTCTGGAAGTGGCGTTGAACTTTACGCGCGAACCAGTACAGTACAGTTCGCACATGCTGTGTCCCGTCCATTGATCTCCATACGGAGAGCACGGAGCCCATACGGAGGCCAAGTGTCCGGAGAAAAGAACTTGTCCACATTTCGGCGCAGATGTGCGAATGCAGTTACCCCCCCCCCCCCCCCCAACCCGCCTCAAAAGCTGGATACGCCACTAGCCTAGGAAGTAGAGCGTCTCCAAACCAAAGCAACTCCCTCCCAAATTCACCAAAAAAATATTCTTAATGATAAACTTTCCCGAGTGGGGACTTATCATAGCAAAGACACTTATTAGACTTTAATTAATTTGAAATATTTCCACCTTTTTCAAATAAACTGATTATCGGTTGATTTTTGATGCATTATCGGTTGATACAGTATCCGTTCCGTGGTGATACATTATCGGATACAGTTATTTTGTAGTTACATTATCCGTCGACACGTGATACATTATCGGATACAAATTTTACTACACTATCAGTCAATTTTTGCTACATTATCGGTTAGTGATACAATATCGGTCAATTTGTGATACATTATCGGTTGGTGATACATTATCCGTTGGTTACTACATTATCAGTTGTAACAAAGGTGACTGGGGGATGGGAGGTTGCATGGGAAGGGATGTGGTTAGGTGTACAACGGGGTTAGGGGAGGAAGGGAGAAGGTCTACGGCAAAAAAAAAAAAACACTCAAATGCTACACAAAAAAATGGACATAAAGAAAAAGAAATACAAATAAGTTCAGGATTGTGACTAGGGACCAGATCCAGATTATTTGTGATTTCCATTCCAGATCTATGTCAGAATAAACGGTTGGGCTTAGTACCCCGTGGACTCTCTCTTTGGAGTCTAATTACAAAGAGAACTTGTTGCAGTTTCTGAGATCCCTATGATGAATATCCCTCCTACTTGTACTTGGCGGCAGCCAACAGTAAACGTGTTTGGATGCAATCAGCGATTGGAAGAATTTCATGCACATCTGCTCCCTCCCTTCAGCCAATGTGTAGAGGTTGCAAAACGAAAATACACTTCCACTCTACTGGTACTGGCTTATTTCCGGACCATCACATTATATTTTGAGTGCCTCCAAAATATTTCCATTGCCCCATTGTTCTTAATTGTGGTATCTCTACTGTTTTGTTTTTTTACAAGAAGTAGTCATCGACAAGAAAACGTGGGCAGGATACAACTGCACACTACATGCATAGCAGCACGATTAGTTACAAGCACCAATTTTTTTGTTGGAGGCCATATTCTATAAGAACTTTATTCTTTTTCTTCGTTGTTGTTTTCTATGATTACGACGTAGTGGTAGATGAGAGGTTATCGCATAAAAATTTTGAACTTGGAGTGAAAGGGTTACATTTCACAAATAAGCTTGGTAAGCTTCTATGTTTGCATAATATTAAATAACTGATACACTGCAAACGGAAAGCTCACTTGTTGCCCAGGCCACTAAAAAAGGAAATATAATTATATCACAGATGTGCACTTAGTTTTCACATGGGCATTATCCAATAGATTGAGAGTGCTTACCTGTAAATGTTGAACTGGTGAAAATCCGGACGACTTTGGAGCGTTGCTTTGGCAACTGGACGCTCAAATCCCCAAGTAACACAACTCGCTCTGCGTCTGCAGTGTTGCTCGCTTCCTTGCTGGGCGCCGGCGCCATGTTGGGGCAAATAGTACGGCACCGTATAGACAGACAACACAATATCAAAAGGATAACGGTGTTTTGAGAGCAACACAGTCTGTTCCTAAGCCATTCTGACTCCCTTGAGCCACGTGCCTGTGGGCTTGTGATGAGGTAGATTGTCACTGTCGGCTAAACACTTGTGATGAAGCCTCCTGCTTTTCAACAGAGTGAGTGAGTATCGACGACACAGAAATTGTATTGTTGGCAACTCAAATTTAGCAAGTCATGCAGAGAAGTTGTAGGCTAGCACGAAAATGCAAACACAGTGTTGATGTTAGTGCCATTGTCAACAAAATATTGATTGACTTTGACCCTTACACGCTGGCGAGGTTGATAATGCCAAGTACTAGATTTGAATAGGTCCTTCATGCATTCGGTTTTTCCTCGGGTTAAATTAGTTTATATTGTATAGCTCGATCTTAACTGTAATTGTAATTGAAATGATGTTTCTTTCCACCTGCTGCTATTATTTATGAACACATTGCGTTCTTAGATCCACTTGCAAAGCGCAGGGTCAAAACAAATCGCACTGGTCCAAAACGAACACAGGACTAGGAAAAGTTTACGCACGGGTGTCGCCATGACACTAAATATTGCTTGTAGTTGCTAGGCAACTTGTAGTTGCTATAAAGATGCCTTCGGACTGAAGGCTGTGTGTAAACACGTGTTGCGCCCACTTCCCTGCCTTTCGCAAAACAAATTATTTTAATCAAAATAATTAAGGATTACAAATAGAACTTTTAAAAAACTACAAATATTTAGAGATTACGTCACCAAATCGCAGAATAATTGCTCAAGCATTCATGTAATGTGGGTAGACTGCAGCATCGGCGGCGGAACAGTTGTCAAACTGGGGGGGGGGGGGGGGGGGGTGCATCACCAAACCGGGAAACTAGCTCAGTATAAAAGGCATCTTCCATGGGGGCAGCAGCGTATCCAACATTTCTGTTTTTTCATTTTCCGCACATCCTTGCTGAAATGTCGACACTTTTTTTTTCACCGGACACTTGGCCTCCGTATAATCGAGTAGTGTTGGGGGGGGGGGGTGGTTGGAGGCAGGTACCATCTTCCAAAACTAGGGGGCACTCTTTAAAACCGGCTATTATGTAAACTACACATTATGTGCCCATTTTCACGGCACAGTATTCTTGTCTCTTCTGATGGATCACATACAAAGACATAGGCATAGAAGTTGACGAATACCACGTTCCAAAACTTGCAAATATCATACGACATCAGGTTGATGATTTGCTGTGTCTGTCCTGTTTTCAGATAGAAATGTGTTTTTTCGTAAGGTCAAATTATTTCCGTGACCGTAATTATATTGTTTCTTTCTACCTGCTGCTATTTTGTATAAACAATACGATCTCAGAGACACCTCTAAAACAAATAACAAATAACAATTCTCGAAAGTAAACAAATTTAATACAATCCTGTAACTATAAGGCGTAGATATTCCCTGTCCAACACCAACAATTATCAAGCAACACGTACCCGAAAGCTCCCTAAACAAATCAGCAAATCAATAAACATAATATATAACCTAAAAGTAATAAGAGTTTTTAAAATTGAAAAATTTCCATAACAATCACACAAACATTTTACAAAGGGTGGGGGCGTTCCTCCTTGTTAATGTAGGCGCAGTTGTACGCCCCCCCCCCCCAAGAAAAAAAAAAGTTGTCTACCCCCCCCCCTCCAAAAAAAATCCTACTTGTTTTTGCAGAAGCCAATTTTATAAGTTGACTTCCGAATTATCTCACCCCCTACAAAAACAGTCGTGAGAAGGGGGCATTTGAACACTATATGGTATTAAAGTATACATGATTTACAGGATTTTAACAGCGCTCCCCTTTTTAAAATGTGGTGCGGACCCACCTCACCCTCCCACACCCCCTATTGATTTTCGGAGGCCTAAATGTCAGGAGAAAAAAAAAAGGTCTACATTTTAGCACGCCTCCCAAGATCCACCCCTGCTAGCCCCTCCCCCAAAAAATATAGGCTCTAGGACCACGCCTACCTTAATGCTGTTTCCTTTTCACTGAAGTTCAAAGCATTTAGAGGATGATGACTTAACTAACTATTAAAGTAGGCTATACAGAAAGTAAATATTTAAACACGGCATGTCTTTCTAACTAAACGACAGTTGTAACTAGTATGGTGATTAGATAGTTGCTGTACCCTGTTGTGTTGTTTCTTTCTCCTTTTTTTAGGGGGACATTGCTTTGCTTTCCCTTGAGTCAGGCATGATATTCACAATTCGTAATCAATCACCGAAATCTTGAAATCACAAACCATTAATTAAACCTCTACATTGTTGTAAAAAAACAAGGGCGATATTTGGCTTCTCGTAATTCCCTCGCTAACGCATGTGATAAAGCGTGTGCCCATCAACCACCTTCAATTGTTGTTTTCTTCCGAATTAAACCATTTCAAGCAGAATATTTGCGCAAGGTGCTTGGTACCAATCTTCTTCACTTTTGGCACGGATTTTCTCGTAAAATCAGATAAAATCGGAATAGTTATCGAGTAAATGTAAATGTCTGACCATAAGTCTTAAACTATTTTTTTTCTACCTATCGCTACATATTATTTACATACCCACTTCGTAGTTATTGAAGTCTTATAGCTGTATATTTCAGTTTGATTATTTTTGTCGTGTTAAATTTCAACTCAAAACTGTTTACTCATCAAGGCGGCTTATCCAAGTACACGTACAATCTTCGGCTTTCTGCCAGCCTCCAGCATTCATCACATTCGGTGTGAAATCCGTTAATTTCACATGTTCATTATCATAATTATGATGAATGCAAATATAAGTTTTCCCGGTCAATTTCCTGAAATGTTCATTCACTTCTAAAAATCGGTCATTCGTTTTCGTCTGAATTTGAATGCACGTCTTTTATCCCTTTTCAATTCAACGAAAGTCCAATCGTTTTCATTGTCCGTGCATTTGGTTTTGAGAAACAGACGGCGAATTACGTTACCGGTGCATTCATTTACGCAAGCATACCTTTTCTAAATTGATTTCAGGTACAGCTAATTTGATTGACGGTTCATGAAAAAGAAACCCCTAATTGTATCTGGTGCCGAATGCATTAAACTAAAAGTGAAATAGAATGGTAAATGTTTGAAATCACCCTCTAAAAGCGAACAAGAAGTCTTGTAAACGAATCTGAATGGATATAAACGAAAGGTGCTGCTCAATTACTAAATTGATTGAACTGAAATGGAATCAAATGCTCTGGTAGCGAAAATGAAACGCGTGTTCAGAGCGATTCTGAAATTCAGATGAAAATGAATGACCGATTTTCAGAAGTGAATGAACATTTTAGGAAATAGGCCGGGAAAACCTATAAATCAAATAAAACCCAATCAGATCAAAGTTTTAAGGGAAAGTTAAACTTATGGTCACGTGTCTTTCCGTACTATGATGGTTTCACAGAACTTGACAAGTTTTACTCTTGAGTACTTCATTAAGCATCGGCGGAATTTTTCTTTCGGTGACACGTTTTTGCTCCCCAGACATCGTTGGGGGCATTTTAATTGAGACAACAGTGTTTGCATAAGATGCTTGCTCATTGCTGGCGCTGACTGATTGGTAACAAGCCGAGAATTTCAGAAATGCAACTCTACCGTCCTGTAGTGACACAACAGCAGTGTTGCATTTTGCGGACATTACAATGGAGCTGTTCTTTGCGTATGTGTGATACCTCATCACATGCTTGCCAGTCTTAGTGTCCCACACTTGAATGTAGTTGTCATGCTCACCACTCGACACCAGGAATCGGCCGTCGGGACTGAATATCACATTTCTGACGTCAGACTCGTGTGCCTGTTTGATGGAATGCTTCAAGGAATGGGATTGGACGTCCCAGATAATGACGTCACCGCCATCGGCCCCAGATGCTGCCAGGTTTCCATCAGGGGAGAATGCCGTTGACGTGACACGAGCTGTGTGTCCTTTCATCGTCGTGATGCGTGAGAAACTTTTCAGGTGCCACACGTGAACGTCGTGATCCCTGCAGCCGGCGACGAGCCTCTTTTCATCCGGCGACACGGCGATGGACAATACATCATCATGATGACCAAGCTGTGCCATGACCCGTCCGGACCTGCTGTCGATGAGCTGGAGTATCTTTGTCTTTCCTGAGGGGTCGTACATGCCCCATACGTATTGGTTGACAAATACCCCATTCCTCAGCATGCGAAAATCATACGACCTCAAGTTGATGATTTGCTGTGTCTGCCCTGATTCCAGATGGAAGATGCGGATTTCGAACTTTGGCTGACCGATTCCTGCCACAAGCCTTTTGTTATCGGGGGTGATGACACAATGAGATGGTGTGATCCATCGCTCTTGGAACTTGCCCCTGACTGCAAAGTCTGGAAGGCTAAGTACGTACCATCCGTTGCTAGATCCGACCATGAAGGTATCATCACTGCTGATGGCGACAGCACTGCATTTTCTATCCATAGGATCCTGGAGAGATTTGATCAGCTTCCCACTCTTCAAATCCCAGAGCTTGATGGTTTTATCATCTCCAGTTGTGATTACTTTGTCCTCAGTATTCAGGGTCACTACTTCATACGTGTAACCGTCGTGTTTACTGATCATCAATTCTGGCTCCTCAGTCGATGTTGACTTCTTAAGATTCCCAACATCCCAGATACGGACGTTCTTGTCTTCCGATGCAGTGAGAATCTTGGATCCATCCGGTGTCACAGCAACCGACGACACGTTTAAGATGTGTGGAAGTTTGACCTCTATTTCCAATGTTTTCAGGTTCAGAACTACAGCTTCTGGCATTTCCAGTGCAGCAACCACGTACCTGAAAAAGCCAAAACCAAAATATGTATCTATATAATGGGAGTCTCGCTTCCCTTTGTAATGTTAGATATCAAGGTATTTAAGCCTTGTTACTCTCCTAAATTCAATGCTGAAATTGTATCCACATGTTACTTTATAAAAGTAAACGTACATTTCGTTTGGAGTTACAGCCATGAAGGTGACATCACCCTTTCTTGCGAAGCCTTCTTGTCGATTGAGGAGCGTTCTCTCTGTGCCCTGTCCTGTCCCGTACGTTTTCACGACACCATTCGCGTGACCGGCAATCACGCGAGAGTTGTCTCTTGTGATGTACATGGTTTTGACAGTGGAGCTAGACACGGGGTCTCTTGAGTCTCCTAGACAATGCAAGTCAGGAAAGCTATGCAGTGATACCTCACAGCCGTGGACAGCGAGTAGTCGCCTATCTTGGGAAAGTGCCACCTTCCGGATGGAAAACCCGTCTGCGTCCTCCATCTCCCGGATCGGCTCACCTTTCAGCATGTCCCAGAGAACCAGCATGCGATCTTGAGAGAACGATATCGTCACTTGTCGGTTATCCACCTCAGTTGTAACGACGCCCTTTATATCGCCTATGACGGAAGACACAAAATTATCAGAAA